CTGCCCCGATGTTCTCGCCGGCCTCTGTGATCCCGACAGCAACGAATCCGACACTCGTCGCCCTTCCATTTCAGCTAGCTCCTCCCGATGCCGGCGGCCTTCTTTTTAAGTATCTAAATCGAAGACCGGGCCCGCTTCCAATGATGTGGGAAACGCTGGGGCGCTGGTACTGCTGGGCGGCACAGTCCCTTGATGAATCAGCTGGCTCTCTCCCACCCATGGCTTTCACAGCGCTCCCCTGCTTTGGAATTTTCGAAAGCCTGCGGCTATCGGTCTGACGCAGTGCATAGCAACGCATTGCTCCAATTGCGCTGGGTAAACAAGCTTGTTTGCCAGGATTTTGCATGCTTAGTGCGGGCTCCATGTACGAACCTTGGTCGGAGCACGAAGTGGTCACAGAGGCCCAGCTGAGTTCTGTTGCGCCTTGCTTACAGCGCAAAGCTTGTGCCCCTCAGCATAGCACTGCGACGATTTGCTTGCTTGAGCTGGGAAACTAAGCGCCACTACTTTTTCGAACGAATGCTTCCTAGGGCTCATATCCAACAGTGCGTTGATTCTGCGTCACTTGAAAGCAGTGAAAAGACGTACTTTGTCTTCAGGGCGGCCCTACTCAAAGCAAAGTGCAGCAAGCCCTATACGAGCGGCGTCGTAAACCACTTAGCAAGTAGATAGGATCCGCGCTTACTTCTCAAAGAAGAGGCAGAGGTGAGCGACACCATGATGCCCCAGAAGACGGTGGCGGCCAGGGCCAGCCACTTGAGGCAATCCTGTCCTTGGGCTTTGTCCACGTGCTCCGCGCAAAGAGCCGTTGAGCAGCAGAAGAGTCTCACAATCAAGGAATCGGACACCATCGCCTCCATCAAGCCATGTATGCAGCACAAGATGGAGCAAGTGACAACCCTAGACAAGCTTGCTCAGCTACATGCCCACTTCACCACTCCGTACGAGTTCTAGGACACGTTTTTTGGCAAAGCCAGTTCTCGGGCTGCTGCCGGAATGCGTGCTGCGGATTGCTGGCACATGGGCCTCTAGAATCGCGCAACACCTAGCTTGAAAGCATCCCAACACTGAGCCTCAAACTCGCGGACCTTTCCAGGTCCATTTGCAGCCATTTGCTTCCGTCTACAATTGCGCCTGCCTTCCATAAGGCTGTGACTGTATATTGCTTTCTCAGGTTCTCAGCCTTGGCAAAGCGCTTAGACTCTTGGGGCGGCAAACGTGGAAAATGTATTGCATACATTTCCCCCCCCCCCACTAGGCATACATTATGAAAGGGGTCCCCCGCTCTTCGATTCCTGTTCCGCAAATACTGTAACGTCATTCAGCCTCGCCATCAGCTGTTCCCTGGAGTCCTCCAAAGAGTACGTCTCGGGGCGCTTGACGAGTGCATGCTCCAACTGTGATTTCAGACTTTGGACCATCTCCTCCTCGTTGAACTTCTCGATAGATGTAGAAGATTCTATGCCTCTGATCTGTTGCTGATAAACTGATATCTGTTGTGAAGCCTCACGGTGTATCTGATTTGCACGTATAGCTGATTCCTGCGCGGCCGACTTCTCGCTTGCCATGTAGGATTTCATCAATGCAATCTCCCGCTTCTGCTCCATGATAGTTCCTTCAGCTTGCCTCATCTGTTGCATTATAATATTCGACTCCATGTCTTTCTTCTCCCCGTACTGAAATGCGTTCATTTCCACCTTGCGCATCTGTTGGGCTTCTTCCTCAAACTTGCGCCATGCCTCAGCCATGTGGTGTTGGTGGTGACTCACTAGATGTCCCGACTGCTTGCTGGCAATCTCGCATCGTCTTTCCAGCTCCTGGATCCGGATGGTGCTTCCATAGTCTTCTTGGTTAAGATTCGCCATTGCTGCCGACATTTCATCAAGTGTCTTCTGATATTCCCCGATCTCCACCTCCATCTTATTCTTCTCTTTGATCACGGCGCGAAAATCTGCACTGGTGGGTGATTTTGACCTCCCACCCTTCGATGTCGATCTCACGCCCTTCTGCGACGTCCGTGGTGTCGCAGGCGAAGATGATGATCTTCTCGGTGGGGATTCTCTTTTCTTCGACTCCTGATGAACATCGATCTGCTTCCATGATCTTGTGGGAGTAGATATGTCGCTGAATAGCGCGGAACCTCCGCTCCCAGGTTCGTCCTGTGAATCTGCAACCATATCCATCACCGCAGGAAGAGCCATCAATCCATTGGATCCCTCTGAGCTGCTGTTCCCAAAAGTTGCAGTACTTGGGCTCGCCGAAGACGCCATTGTACTGTGTAGGTTATCGTTCCTTTATTGTCCCTGCACCCGCAATAAACCAGCTGTCTCCCAGTCCAGTGTAGAGCATGTAGTTACGGCTGATAACCTGTCAAGAGACGGCAAGGTGACGTCCCGTGGGACGCTATGCACCGAACCCTCAAGCTGTAATACCAACCACGTAGAAAGGTGTATACGGACGATGCCGTTATAGCCGAACCCGTGTAAACGTTGTAAGGGAGAAGGAATGATAGTTACAACAGTGGTCCTGACAAATGCAGCGCAAGCAAAGTGTTTTCGCTCTCAATGCCGATCACGTATGTATGCAGTCACACATCAGATCTTGAACCTCAATTGTGTCTTGAGCCAAATGGCGATCAATGGAACTTGGGAAGCAACACCAACAAGGACCTCAGAACAGCTACCCAATTTCGGCACGGGGCCTAGAGGGTTTTAACACCTAGTATGTTTTTTTGCTAACCACTTAGCTAACCACTTAGCTAACCCCTGGCTAACCTCTTAGCTTTCCCCCTAACTTAAGCCCTTAGCTAACTAGTGAGCATTTGTTAGTAAAAATTAAATCTTTGCCCCAATGTCCTACTAACTCTAACAAACCCCCGGTGCATCCCAGGAATGCAGCCCCGCGAAGTGGAAAAGAGACCCGCGAAGGGGAAAGAGCTCCGCGAAGGGGAAGAGCCCCGCAAAAGGAAAGAGCCCCGCAAAGAAGGGGAAGAATGCAGCCCCGCGAAGGGGAAGAGCCCCGCAAAGGGGAAGAGCCCCGCAAAGGGGAAGAGCCCCGCAAAGGGAATGCAGCCCCGCGAAGGGGAAAGAGCCCCGGAAGAGCCCGCAGCCCGAAGGGAATGCACGCCCGCGAAGGGAATGCAGCCCCGCGAAGTGGAAAGAGCCCCGCGAAGGGGAAAGAGCCCCGCGAAGGGGAAGAGCCCCGCGAAGGGAAAGCAGCCCCACGAAGGGGAAAGAGCCCCGCGAAGGGGAAGAGCCCCGCGAAGGGAATGCAGCCCCGCGAAGGGAATGCAGCCCCGCAAAGGGAATGCAGCCCCGCGAAGGGGAAAGAGCCCCGCGAAGGGGAAGAGCCTCGCGAAGGGAATGCAGCCCTGCGAAGAAAAATACATCCGCGCAGGGGAAGCGCCCCGCGAAGGGAATGCAGCCCCGCGAAGGGGAAAGAGCCCCACGAAGGGGGAAAGCCACGCGAAGGGAATGCCGCCCCGCGAAGGGGAAAGAGCCCCACGAAGGGGGAAAGCCACGCGAAGGGAATGCCGCCCCGCGAAGGGGAAAGAGCCCTGCGAAGGGAAAGGGCCCTGCGAAGGGGAAGAGCCCGCGAAGGGAATGCAGCCCGAGCCCTGCGAAGAAAAAAAATCCGCGAAGGGGAAGCGCCCCGCGAAGGGAATGCAGCCCCGCGAAGGGGAAAGAGCCCCGCGCAGAGAAGGAGCCTCGCGAAGGGAATGCCGCCCCGCGAAGAGAAAAGAGCCCTGCGAAGGGGGAAGAGCCCTGCGAAGGGGAAGAGCCCGCGAAGGGAATGCAGCCCCGCGAAGGGAATGCAGCCCCGCGAAGGGGAAATCGCGAAGGGAATGCAGCCCCGCGAAGGGGAAAGAGCCCTGCGAAGGGGAAGAGCCCCGCGAAGGGAATACAGCCCCGCGATGGGGAAAGAGCCCCGCAAAGGGCATAGAGCCCCGCGAAGGGGATAGAGCCCTGCGAAGGGGGTAGCTTCCGGGCTGAAAAGGAACCCGGCGCAGGGGAAGACTCGCGAAGAGGAACAAGGTGCAGGGGAAGGGGGGGGTGACGGGCCATGCCCCGTCGAGGGGATGGGAAGGTTCGAAAAGAAGGAATCAAGGTGGAAAACAAAGGTGGGGAGGTTGGAAAAAATGCAATCAAGGTTGATTCAGAGAAAAAACAAGGTGAACAAAAAGTGTGGCAAGGTTGAAAAAACATGAAACGCCGACCCTGAAATTGAAAAAGAAGGGGACAAGGTAGAAAAAAAAGCTTAAGGTTGAAAAAAAGGGTCCAAGGTTGAAAAAAAGGCATGCCCAAAAACAAACTAGGGGTGCAAAAGCGTGCCGAGGGAAGTTTGGATTGAACCAGTGGATCAACAAACAAACCCTAAACCCTGGTTGCTGCAAGGGACCAAAAGCCACCCTGTTGATTCATAACCCACCGGGTTGAGTTTGATTGGCGGGCGTGTGCAATTTGAAAGGGGTTTCGGATCTTTTTCGGTTGAAGCACCTCCTGTTGATCTACAAGGTTGATAAGTCCGGGTCGACATTGTGATGCCTACGTCCGACATACCTTCAAATTTTCACAAGAACCAAGCTCCCGCGTTTAAGTTTATTGAGTTTGGTCTTGGACCACACCCGGCGCAAACGTCGCAGTGACCACCCTTTCTATCAGAAAATCCTGAGCCTTGTCATGCGGAACACTTTTGCGCATGCTACGTGGCGAGCTTCCGAAAATATCGGACAATCACAACCGCAGCGATGCCAACTAGACTTGGCAGAGTGATGACTGGCTACGCTTCCTCCCACTGACATGGACTCTTGAAGGGACCCCCCTGTCAGGTGCCAAGTTTGCGGGAATTAGGGGGCAGTTCGAATTGTGCTTTTGTCTCGCCCAGCTGAATCTGTTTCTTTAGCCACAGGCATAGGTTCGTCTCAAAAGGCAAAATGGCGAGGCATTCCTTTGGTCTAAATTTCTAAAACCAACCAAAATGGCGGGTCCCCCGCGAGGGGCTGAAGCCATTGCTTGCTCCTTGTGGCTGTCCATGAAATGCTCAAAGCAAGTCCTTGGCAATCTGGGCTGCTTTCCAGGCGGGCGCGTGAGTGTTCATGTGACCGAAAGTGGATACAGGAAACGGGCGCCACTCCATGCGGATATCTTTATTTTGCCAGGCAGGTACCAGGAGGAAGGGCTGGCCAAAGCCTGACTCAAGTATTAGCCCAAAGTCCGCAAAAAGTGAATTCGCCGTAAAAGTAGAATCCGCCGACCCTCTGCCTCCCGTCCCAGCCTCCTGCAGAGGGGACGGATGCAACTGGAAGTGATTGGAATCAATGATAGTTTCTGGGGGGACGAAAAGTGGATTCCCAGACCGGTCCCGGGACCGGTCCCAGGACCAGTCCTGGGACCAGTCCTGGGACCGGTCCTGGGACTGGTCCTGGACCGCTTCATTACTTGCAGTCAGCCAAAACCGGTCCTCTGACTTGTCCCAGGACCGGTCCTGGGACCCAGGTTTGGTCCCAGAACCAGTGCTGGGACTGGTCCCAGTCCCAGGACCGGTCCTGGACTGGTCCTGCTGGTCCCGGCCAGGACCGCTTTCAGGACTGGTCCAAGCCGGCCCCAGGATCGAGTCCTGGTTTGACCGCTGGTATCGGATCCCACTTCGAACCGCAGAAACCCGGTGCCACCTCAAACAGCTCCACACACCTGTTTCCTCCAGTGTCGCTGTTTCCGGACAGTCCCAAGTCCCAGTCCCTCCCTGCGACCGGTTGAGGGGCACCGACGGCCTTGTTTCTAGGACCAGCTCAACGTGACTTGGGCGCGAGCCGGCCCGTGCGGTCATTGACGGACGAGCTGCCGTCTGTCTGACTTTTCCGCTAATCCTTGTGGTAGTAGAGGATCCCTGGATCTAATCTGCAAGAGAGTCCAATACGTCGAGTCAAACCGCGCCAGACTCAGACCAGCCTGGACAGGGTCCCAAGTCCCGGTCCCTGCCGGCGACCGGTCCAGGGCCACTACTGTCGCCGGGGCAGTTTTGGGAGGGCCAGTTTCAGGGACAGGCGACTGCTCCCGGGCCAACTCGAAGTGACTTGGGCGCAAGCCGGCCCAAGCGGACTAGCTGCCATATTTCTGACTTTTCCGTTAATCCTTGTTTGTGGTCGCAGAAAATCTTATAAGTGGTCCCTGGGTTTGCAGACGTGTTTCAGGACCGGTCCTTGTGACTTTTCCCTTAATGCGCCGAGGGTCGGCGGCAGCAGGCGGGAGCCTGGTTAATAACTAATTCGCCGTAACGTTAGAATGACTCGCCGCAACTGCTTTCTACGCAAGTCCCTGGGGGGTGGTGTTACTTTGAACCACCGTTTGGAGGGCAATTCTGAAGATGTCAACATGATGGACTCCCTAGAGGGAGCAAAGGCCTCCAGGACCAACTTTCTAGGTGCCAATGGGCGATGTGATGGGCAAAGGCGTGCCTCTGCTGTCTTTGGACGTGTCACAAGTCACAAGTCGACACGTTGGACGGAACGGGACCCCAATGCCAAAGTTCTACCCAAAACGTGGCTTGGCCGTTTTGAGGTTCGGAGCACCCCTGATTCGTCAATCAAAGCATCGCAGCTTTGCTTCCCGAATGTGCACGGAAACACGTTCGAATACAAAATGCCAGAAACAGATATATTCTGAACTCAGGACTTGCATGCCAATCATCAAAATCTCACCGCTGCCCTTCCTTCTGTGCACCCCTTCTACAACAAAGCGCGCACACACACACAACCCGGTTGCGACCAGCAACCCTGGTATGGTAAAGAGAAGCACGTCTTTTCACGGTTGGTCACTTGTAGCGAAAGCAAAAGGGACAATGAGCAACTGGGAGTCTTGGTGCAGGCTGCTTACCAGCACTTCCCGCTCGCTTTCATGTGGGTACCACATGATGTGCGATGATTCCCCCCGCCTTCATGGCTTCTGTTTTGCCCCGTCAGCTGGTTGCCCAGTGCCCTTCTTGAGCTCATAGGCCGTCTGCCCCCGATTTGTCTGGGATAAGTTTGGCGCTCCTAAAGTTTCAATTGAGCCTAAACCGTTCAAAGGCAATGTTGCTCCAATCAGGTCTCAAAGCTACAGCTTTCACCTCCCAACAAAGATGTGCTCGATTCTGGTCCATCTGTAGCGCACGTTTGGGTGTAATATGATGTCACCAAAGTTCAAACATAAGGACAGCCCCTCAACCAGCGCGAGTTCTGCCGAAGCTCAACAGGGTTTGTCGCGAGCCCTGCTCCTGCTGCTGGTCTGGCAGAATCCTCTGGGCGCAGAGCAGCAGCAAAAGAGAGAAGGAGGTCACCTGACGCCAAAGCTTCCCATTGTGGACACCTCCCCATGGCAGGTGTGGTTCTTCTACGCCTCTAAGCCAAGGAGGGGTCGCTCGTAGCTTAACCCAACTAAGCAAAACGCACCAAAGCATGCCAAACCTGATTTTGGGTACCTGAAGTTGCTTTCCCGAATGCGTAGCCAAAGGATTTCCCGAACGGGTCTGGGGTGGTCTGGGTTGCCAGGTGTGTTGCTGCGCCCGCAAGTGTTCGCAATTGCGCGCATGTGCTCGTAAGCGGTCGCCAAATGTCGCAGGTGGCGACAGTTGCCGCGCCGTTGGGGAGGTGCGAGTTGTATAACTTGCAACATGTTGTTTTCGCTGCGCCTGTGCGCAAATTGTAGCTTTTGCGAAGCTGCGTATCGTTTCGCTGCGCAGGCGCAGTGTGTTGGAAGGTTGCGCGTTTGTGCCGTGCAACATAGATGCATGGATGAACAAGAAGGCAAATGGATAGATAGAAAAACCAATGCGTCAACAAGCGAGACAATGGCGGGCAATTGCCCCTGTGAAAAACAGTTTGATTCCCAATAGCTTTTCGGCTACAAACAAGTAATTCCAGCGTGTAAATGCTCAGGATACGTGGGATCAGAAAACAAAAGAGGGGAGCGCCCTCAAAAAACGCCGCTCCTTTAGACAAAATGAGCTGCTCCCATTCTTCGTAGAACAGGGGGCCTCTTGCCTAGGGCCACGCAGATTGGCGCTCGCCTGGGTCTGCGGGCAGTTGAGGCCGCGGTCGGTGACCTCCGCCAGCTTGGCGGTGGCCGTGGACGGATCCACCAGCTGCCGCAGCAGAAGCAGCGAGAGCCTCTGCGAATTCGATTGGGTCTTAGGTCCGGGCGCATGTCCAACTTTTGAGCGGGTTCCTTTAAACAACTCATAGCCAGGTGGTCGCACTTCTTTCATACAAACCAGCGAACAAGGAATTTGCAAAGGACATTGGCCAAAATACCCACCAAAGGCAAGTTGATGTCCTGTAGACTTTCCTGGTTTGCGGGTCTCTTGGTTTCTTGGATGGTCGGGGGCTTGGCTGTAGTGAGTTGTTCAGTGTCTAGCATACCCAGCAGGCACACAAGTGCTCTTCAGGAAATGGTGAGGCATATTGAGTGAGCGTTTATCAAAATGAAAATGGTGGACCGCCTTGGTTGGGTTTGGGACCACGGGTTTTCTGAGGGCACTGGAGGCCACCCTTGTGATCGATGAAGCCAAAGGGACACTTGATTAACGGGCAGCACTTTGGCGAGCGTCCAGCCCGGACACCGGAGCAGGATCTAGCGCTCATATTCCATTGGGGAAAGGGCACCGTCGCACCCACTTTACCTAGAATCTTCCCACTTCTCGCCGGCGTCCGGGACAAACAAAATTGTATCCGCACAGGGGGCATTGAAAGGCTCTCCTGGTAGCAATAGTGAGGGCCCTTGCAATGGCTGCAAATCTGGCAAAAACTCGGAGTAGTCAAGAAACGGAGACGACTAGCAAAGCGAAACCCGAAAAGTGAAGTCTGTACCACGGCGTGCCTGCGATGCAGTGGAGAGAAAAACTGCCAAGACAGGGGAGACTGCCGGAGAAAGAACAACTCAGGTCGTGAGTGAGCCTTGCAAGGTTTGCCCCTGCGGGGCCCCCCACCAACCGAGAACAGAGCTATGTACAAGCCCAGCTGCGAGGACGACGACAGGTCAGGTGACCCGAGAGGCCGGCAAAAACTCTTGTTGCCAAAGAAAACAACTCGGACGAGATATCAGGGCACTAACATAGAGACAGCAAACAACTAGCTCCTGTGATGCTGTCGGTCACTTGCCCATTCAAAGAGAAATGAGTTACCAATGGAGTGAGGAGTCCGTCAGTTGGTGCACAAACCCATCCCAACTCCACAGTGTCGAGCTGGGGCTGCAAACGCTTTGTCTGACGTTTATAGTTTCCTGCCCAGCAGCAATCACGCCACAATTCTCTGCGCACCTTTTGGGGGAATCGCAAATGGGCTATTCATCACGCAGGTTTCCTTGCCCGACAACGGCGCGGGCCCCAAAACGGGCGCCGAGAGGCACAAAGAGAGGCTTCTTCCATTCCTCCAGGGCCCCATGCACCTTCCTCAGTTGCCCAAACATGACGCTCGTATCATAAATGAACACAGTGACAATTCGTGACACATACCTGAAATAAGCGAAAGCACAAACTACAATTGGCCACGCGTCATCAGATTCTGGAAAATGTTCGCCTGAGACATGACATCACATTGAGCGTGGGCACGACTCACATCACCGAGGCCATAGGCAAAGTCAATGAGACCCAACGCCGCGACCGAAACGATTCCTGCATGAGGCATGGTGAGAGTCTGTCCCAATCCCCCGCTTCAAGCAAAGTTCATGAAACCACAATCCGGAATTGGTTCGACTTTACACGCTCTGGCACAGCATTCTCCGCACATGGCTGCTTCAACCAGCATCCAACAGCCAACTCAGCCTGAAGCACCTTCAAACTTGGGAGACCCCTGGGGGTCTCATCTGGCCAGTCATTTGTAGAACCCAAACTCCCAACTCAGCGGCTTGCGCCAGTTCCCCCCGAAAGCTTCAGCCGGAGTACCCCCAGCCCTGGAACCTCCCGGAATCCTCCAAACCCCTGGGCCCCAAAGCGGATGGATTGCCCAACCGCCGCTGAGCTGCTAATGAGCCCATCGATTTGTGGGGCTGCCTTGGTTGGGGCTGCTTCCTTATATCAACTATCCCGTTCCACACAATCAAAGGGGCACATGCCAACATTGTGCTGGTGTGCCTCAAGGAAAAAACACACACTTCATGAGTGTCAAGGAGCACAGTTGCATTTTGCCGATGTTACCCCTGACGATGCAGGCAGCCGAAAGAGGGTCATTTTTCTAGACTTCATGCTTCTAGGTGCTCAGATCCATTTTGTCTAGCCCGCACTGAGACCTCTCGAGACATGACGACCCAAATACGATTCTTTACCCATTTGTTTTATATCCCCCCCACCCCTCCTCCACCCCTCAAAGTGGCTGCCAGTGGCGCCACCATTTAGACTTGAATTCCGAGGATGTCACTTGAGTCACTTGAATGGCTTCTTTTGCGGACCTCAACAGTGTGCCGCTTGGGCTTGCCATGTAGGACATTGAAACACAATGAACCCGACCCAGTTTCCTAGTGACCCAGGCAGAACAAGTGCCATTCTTCCTGTCCCGAGGTTGGCTCCTCGGAGCAACTCAACTAGCAAATGAACATTAAAAGGGACTGCTGATGTTAATACCCTACCGCTCAAGGGGCCCAAAAAGGGTATATACCCAATATGAGGTGAGAACACATAAACGCCCAGGCCGAATGATTCGGTCCTGGCCAGGCTGAGAGCTGCTTCAGTTCCTCCGTGCCCGCTAGGTGCAGCTGCCTCACCGCCCGCAGCAGCAAGGTGTCGCACATGAAGCGCCGGGACACGCAGATCTGCGCCGCAGCCGCCTGCAAACAGTGGGAAACCGGAGAGGGGGTTGGGGGGAAGGGGGGGTTGGAACCTATCCTATTCCTCAAGTCAACAGGTTCTCCATGGGGGGTCATGAACCTGGGGTCCTTTTGGGCGAAAACGGATGGGCAAAAGGAGCCAAAGTAGAACCAGATCTAGGAAGCAAGCTGAGCAAGTGACACCTACTGGGCTCCCCTTGTGAGTTGTTTCCCGCGAAAGCTTCACCCGTTCAACCCATGAACCGAGGAGCCTTGGTCCAGGTCCTTCGCTTTCCCAATTGCACTCAACGAGCTCCATCCAAACATGAAGCTGCAATGCACCCGGGGGAAATCAAACATGTGAAACATCATGTGTCACTCTAGAAGCTTCTAGCCTGAGTTCTTGAACTCAGCGAACTGGACTGATTTGAGGACAGTACCTTGAACCTCACTTTCATGTCCGATTTGAAGACAGCCATCTGCGCAAACAAAGCATTCTTGGTTTGGCTTGATGCTTATCTGCAGTATATACCATGCTTTCTGTGAGTGTCAAACACAAACAAACGAGTTTAAGCTACAACAACTAAACGTTGCGTCACATACACACACACACACACACACACACACACACACACACACACACACACACACACACACACACACACACACACACACACACACACACACACACACACACACACACACACACACACACACACACACACACACACACACACACACACACACACACACACACACACACACACACACACACACACACACACACACACACACACACACACACACACACACACACACACACACACACACACACACACACACACACACACACACACACACACACACACACACACACACACACACACACACACACACACACACACACACACACACACACACACACACACACACACACACACACACATGATTCCTGGAAGCATTTTTCTCCAAATGGAGGATCTTTTGACAACAACTCCCCTGGTTTCCAGTGGTGTCCCTTTGGTGGTTTTGGTATCCCATTGGTTTCCCTTCAAGACCGCCCCCGAAAAAGCGGATCGAGCCCATGCTTCGAGCTCCAAGCCCCGTGCCTGGTATTCGGGCAGCGGACAGCGCCAAATCCTCCAGTGCGCCAGGATCTGACCATCGGACCTCAGGGCAACTCGGGGTCCTGAAAGGGGCATAGGCCAGGCTCGTCGCCCTTGCTTTTGGTCGTCTCCTCAGACTTCTCTTTCTTTCAGGGTACCTTTCAGGGGTTGATTGACAAGGAAAACAACAGCTCGACCTTGTTCAGTGCTTGGGGCACTGAGCTGGTTTCCCGCTGATGGACTTGGTCAGTCTCCCATGCATAGCGATGAGCTTTCATGAATACCCTCAAAAGTGGTTGGTGGCCATAAATCCTAGGCAAAAAAGTCCATAACAAAGTCGCCAACTGAAATTCATTCCTGCATTCCTTGGCCATCTTGGCCAGTGGGGGTACGCAAATAGCAAAACACAAAGGGAACATAAAGAGCCACAATCGAACATTTGTGAGAAGGGTTCCTTTATTTGGCTCCTCCTCTGTTCACGTTACGTACGTCAAAGAAATAAGCAGCTCCCCAAAATGCTCCGCGGAAGAAACAGCACACTCACCTTGCATTTCGTGAGAATCAGCTATTGTTACCAGTTCATTGAGGAAACGGGAAGGGCACACCGAAACACAAGAAGATCAACGAGAAGGTTCCAAACGCTTCGCAGCATAACACCCAACCCAACGGCCAAGGCGCATCTGCCGAATCTGCGGCAAATACGCTGAACCGGAGGGGTCGGACACCGGGTCTGCGTGAAGGCTCCGGCACTTGGCCACCACCAGCTGTGCTAGCCTGTCTCAAAGGTGGCAAATGGGAAAAGTTAAGACTGATCTACTTAGATCCGTGCTTTTATTCTTGTTCCCTTTTCTTGGTGGGGGTAAACAACTAAAGCCGCTTTGTTGAGGGTACCCGTTTTTGGGTTGTTTAAAGCTAAGCCAAAAAACGCAGGACCCTGGTTGACCCATACGTGGAAGCTGACTGAGGGCTCCTACCCAATCTTCGACCAAAACGTCAAGGCTTATGTGCGTGGAAGAGCCAAACAAAACGTTTGGTTTCAACACGGGTTAAACCAAACAAAGGCGAAAGCTTTGTTTCGCTTCCTTTAGCGCACCCAAGCACTCAGGGTTGTAAGCTTCACATGTTTAGCTTAGTTCCTGATGTTTCTGGCCCCAGTTTGCAAAAACCACAAACCAATGTTTCAGCGTTTCAGTGTTTGAAAGGTTATTGCCCGCACTGTTGAATCGATTGTCAGGTCTGCGGGCACCTCCGATTCTGTTCTCCATGCTGTCCCCCCAACCTACCTCAGCTTTCTGCTAGCCCACAGCCCTCATTCAAATCCGACTCGCCACGCGTCACGATTCCGAAATAGGACTTTGGGTTCGGTTTCCCGTGGCTTCCCCTCAGAACCCCTAACTGGGTGGAAGTTACCCCTGTGATACCACTGAAAGGCCGTTCCCACATGCCTCATTCACGCAGGGAAAAACGCTCCCGATTCCCAGAACCCCCTGCTCCAAAAGGGGTCCCTACCCTGTTACAGCCCCCTAAGAATCCAACTCTGGTTTGGACTGGCCAAAACCTGGTTTGCCCAAAACAATTGGTGTCCCCTGTGTTCGTTTCTTTAGGGTATATTCTGAAACGCCAGGTTTCCATGGAAAATTGCCTCCTTCTTTAGTCCGGGGTTGACATCATATCCAAAAAAAGCGGGTTCTTGGGGACTGTCGCCAACCTGCCATGGCTCAAATGTTCACCACGGTCCCTTGGACAAATTTTGGCCTTTCTAACCAAGGTGAAAGGCACCCTCCAAAAAACACTGACCCCGGGAAAACCAACACATCAGGTCGGTTGTGGGATATGTCTAGCTGCTCATCCGCCGCGCAAAGCTGCCATTGGGCATGCACATGCGCATGCGGCGGCGGCCGGCTCGCATGTTGCCCCATGGCTCATCAGCAGCGAGTTTGGCGGGTGCTCTCGCTTTCATGCATTGCTCCAACAAGTCCGGACTTGCGTACCATTTGCACTACGAAAGTGAGTTTGGCAAAAGGTTTAAAGTAAACTAGGGAAGCGAGTTCTTGATGTGCAGCTGCGTGGCGCAATTGCCATGTCTGCTTTCAAGTCTACCAGTCCATGGTGAAGCTACTCCTCTGCACGGCCTCTGTGCACGTCTGTGCCGCGGTGTGCAGGTAGCAATGCTGCATTCGCTAAAAAAAACGTTTAACACCCATGGAGCAACAACAGTGATTCCTCGAGAGCCAAGTGGGAAGGGCCAGAGCGTCTTCAAACAACATGTTGAAAAGCTAGCATCCGCTTGCTGGAAAGGGGTTACGTTCATCTGAAGCCTTATGAGCATCGCAGGCGAGATCTCTTCACCTCGTATCTGACTCCTTCAATCTGTCAATTGTCAGTCTAAACGGATGTTTCGATCCACTTTGGAAGCATAAACACATTCAACGCAGAACTCGAGAAATCAAAACACACATAAGCACGTGAATACATATACATAATAGACACATATTAATCTCTGCGCGTTTGCATCAGCATTGTCATTTCCAAGCCCTCCACACACCAGACCATAAGAGCCTAGCAGGGCCTTACTTTGGAGGAAACCAGGGGAGGGGGATGGCGTAGGTTGCTGCGCACAGCCCTTTTCCTCAGAGTCTGAGTCCACATCGACAACCTCCGGCTGCGTGCCGACCTGATCGAGCTTTCCAGGCCAATTGCGGAGGCGGGGCTTGGCTCATGCCAGCAACCGGGAAACACTAGGGGGAAATCAGCCCAATATCCACTAAATACCAGGGTTGATTGGCTGAATTCCTGCCGATTTGCCTCGTTGCTGGCTTCTTTGACCAGAAAGATGCCGAAACCAAATGCTAGATGCTGACTGGCCACAATGAAAAGATGCGTGTCATCGCTGGTTGATGCCATCGCCGTGTTTTTCCATCGGATGACCAGATCGTTCCAGCAACCATGCTTAAAATTCCTCCCTCAACCCAAGCCCTCTGTCACCCCAACACAACCCTGTCTCCCTGCCTCTGACATCGCCGTCTCCGGCATCGCCGTCTCCGGCATCGCCGTCTCCGGCATCGATGCGGCCGCCGACAGGTCGGTGCCCGTCTCCAGCAGCCACTGGGCATCCACCTCTCGCTGCCAAGGCTCGCGGTAGGCCAAGCCCAGAAAATCAAAGATGTCCTGCGCTTCCGGCGAGCCTCGTTGCCATGCGCCCCAACAAATAGGGTTATTCTGGGGGGCCGTAAAGCGTGGAGTTCTGTACCTGACACGCCCCAGATAAAACCAGGGTTATTGTGGGGGGCCTTGGCGTGAAGTTCTGTACCTAACAGGCAAAGGGCCCCTTTGAGAGGAAATCGATCTTCCAGGTGCCTGCCGCAGATGTGTGGCTAGTGCTCCGCGCAAAAGCTGGGGAAAACGGAAGGCTCCCTGTTTTGAATGAATTTGTGTGCTTCGTTGTGCATTGCTAGGTGCAAACATCCACCTCAAGGGAACGGGGCCCAAACCACCACTAATACCGTGTTTTCTGTTGCTTTCGAGGGGGCCCCCTCTTAAAATCAACTCCTCATTCACCTCCAATGCACTTTTCCCATGGCAAGGTCACCCTTGTCAGTCCTTCTCTGTGATGAAGCGATGCTGATCGATGGGAGGACCCGTCCAAAGCCTATGTCGACACGCGCTGCAACAGTGCACAGCAACAACTCCAATGTAGGAAGCTGGATACAGATGGGTACACCACCAACAATGTTCACCGTTGCTGGTCGATCCATGGAATGTTGACTCTAACTATTGCAGTGAGAACATTGATTTATTATTGCCGAATACTTTCTATCTGAAATACCGCAAGTTGTAACCGCAAACAAAATATGATCCGAGGTTCGATTTAGGATTTGTTGTTGTGCTTGTTTTGATTTTCCGTATGCCCTATGTTCGTTGCATGCTCAAGCGCCATAACTTCTCTTGTGCAGTTCCCAAATCGCTTGCTTTCCCTGCAGCACGATACCCTTGCTGTGTAGGGGGATCATTCTGACTGCAGTGAATGCAGAGGCGATGAGAATCCCAATTAAACTGAAATACATTGCGGGTCCCATATCCTCACTGTGACCAAAAAGCAACTTGTTGAACTCCGGGATGAAAAGCGCAGGCTTTTCAATTTTGATTGCTGTCGACTCCATATTCGCACTGCTAGTCCGCCACTATTGTGTCCTCTACAATGTGAAAACCAGAGGAGACCTCAGAATTGGTCAAGTGTTCGGTCCTTCCAGATTGCTGGCTTTCCTTGGCTCGGGTTCATTTCCAGTGATCCAGGGCCTTTCACCTCAGTGCCGTTGAGGCGCAAGACACTTGACTTAGAACTCATTGCCAAAAGCGAACTCTCCGGGCCATAAATAGCAAACCATCAAAATACCACCAAGCCACGTACAACAACATACAACAACACAAAAACAAAAATGCCACACCACCGCCAAGACATCAGCTAAGCACCACCAAGACACCGAGACACCACTAAGACACCACTAAGACACCACTAAGACACCACTGAGACACCACTGAGACAGAATTGGAGGTCGTAGAACATGCTAAGCAACGTGAATGAAATTAAGATATTTGTTACTTTAGGTATAGCTCACAATGGCGTCGATAAAATTACAATGTTGTTGTGAACAAAAATGCTAAGAACAACGTATGATCTTTGACCAATAGGTCCCAAATGTGGCGCTTGCCCTTTTCCATTCGCACACTGCGCCTGTATGCTACCAGCATGGCGAATCAAAGCCATCCTAGGAGCCAGAGGCGGAATCCAGATGGTTAAGGCATAAATGAGACACAAACGGGCAAGCAGGTTCGGGTAATGTTCACCAGTGAAAGTAGATGGCACAATTCCCTGTCTGGGGAAGAGGATCGCTAAACCCACAGATTTGTGCATTCCATAGTTTCACCTATTTGGGCTGTTCCACAATCGCCCGCTGTCGCCCCGAGCGCCTCTGACCGCGGCCATTGCCCCGTGCATGGTTTGCTTGGCAAATGCCGTGGTCCGACAGGCTAAAGCCTCGGCCCAAACGAGCGGGGCTGACCAAATGGCATGGGATATGTCCCCACCTTAAAAACAAAAAAACATGACTCGCAGCACTTGTTGGATATGTGATTTTCCTTCTACCCCCATGAGGAAACAAGTTTGGTTGGAAGGCCTCTTTGTTTGGGGCATCAGGACTCCCAGTAGGATTTGATTTTGCGCGTTGATTTTGGCAAGACACGTTTGATTCGAGGGACGTGCAAATCAGGCGAAGGTTGAGCAAAATTATCATTATTAGGCTGGTGCGTTGGCAGGCAGGCTTGCAAATGCACAAAATGTTTGGAAGATGTTTAACATTTCAAGATTCTCCTTGCGGAAAAAGGATTGGGCACTTCCACGTTTGTGGGCGGGAGGGTGTCCAGAATTTTCTCCCGCCACCAGCGAAAAAAAGCTCAAACCACCACTGCTTAACTATCTCCACTTTTAGTGTGTCCAAGAATAGGTCACCCTTTCTCTCCTTGACATGGAATCTCCGAAAGCTTTGCAGGGAGAGCGGGTTCGAGAGCGGGTTCGAGAGCGGGTTCCATGGGAAAGAAACTTTGCTCACCCCTGCCTCTTGGCCCACATCTTAGCCTACAACAAAATATCTTTAGAAGGGACGCGCCGGCCAGATCACCAAGATGCTAAGGGCGAGCAGGCCTGGCATTGCCTCCTGAAAATTCACAGCATGCTGGGCCAGCTTCTTGCTGGGACAATGAAGGAAACCTGAAAGGGCAACAAAAACAAGAGGTCAATAAGCTCCGCAATTCTGGCAATGACAACCAACGTTTGGTTCAAACATACCACGGCCATTTGGAAGACTTGCAATACAACGCTGATGAGAACAACCTTACCTGAAGTTCCTCCTAACAGAGGAATAAACTCAGGAAGTGTGGAGGTGACCGCGCTACTACGAAACCAGTTTCGACAGCCAGCAGCAAAAAACAAACCCTCGGCCGGCCAACCCAAAGATGTCTTGCAATGCGACTTGAAGAGCAACACTTCTTTGAAGTAGCTGTAAAGGATCCATTCGGCTGGGCAAAGCTCCACCTTTGTGCACAAAGCCAATTCCCTAGAGATTCCTCCGCTGTGCAAATCACAACGCAACTCCCACACTAGTACAAGAAGCACCCCCACCAAGAGTTATTCATCGTGGGCCAGCTCGTTTTACCTGCAGGTGAGCCGATGTTCATTGAACCAAGCGTGATTTAAACCTTTGAGACATGCAGGGTTGTAAAGAACGGACGGGGTCTCTTTCGGACCTGGCTTCATGCCTTTTCTCCCCGAGTTGCCTAGTTGTTCAAAGCGCCAAACCTAACCCAAGCCTAAAACATGCTTGCTAGACCAAGATCTGACAACTCGTCGGACAAGTCCAGCCCCTCCCAGGTTTAACACGTGAGACATAGAGGGAGGTCTAGAAAGCCTTATAAAATAACTCTGTCCTAAATTGTTCTTGACTACTTGGTGACAAGGGTTGAAGGGAACTACCTGGAAAAGAGGGGGAGCTTGGCCCAACTCTGTACACAGAACATATCATGCTTTCAGCAATTATGTTTCATATTCGGCCTACCATGAAAAAGAGACCACAAACTGGCTACTACCAGCGCAAGTCCCGGACTGGCAAGCGCCAAACCCGCGTCGAGACGCCGGCGCGGCGCGCGAAGAGCCGCATGGAGCGATTGAAGGGCCCGGACCCGGTGAAGGAGAGCAGGGCGAAAGGAAACCTGAGCTGCCCCAAACCCTTTAGAATTTCCATGGAGAAGGGCGCCCCTTTTGGGTGAGTTGAGTTTCAAGGGGAACTCCCCCCAAATGTGAGCACTGGAGGTCTGCGAAACCTGAGGAATCCAACACAGAAGACTTCCAAAACGAAGCTGGCCTCACAGAAAGCAAAGGCAATTTTTCCTCCTCCCGCATTGAAAGGGAATTGAAAAAGCCAAGTCAACAAAAAAGCGAACCGGACCTTGAAAATTCAATACAGAAATGATACCGAAACGGACAGTCTTGCAGTTTTTCAAGGAGTAAACAAAAAAAGCAGGGAACAATCAAAGACATGGGAGATAGAGCGCAGAAACGTAGATACACTCTTGAGCCTTACAGCTTGTCAACCAATACAAACACACTAATACGCAGCACATGGAATCGACAAATGCACAGAACACCCAAAGGACAAGGCCATCAAGGAAATCCATCAGTTTGGGGGCTTGACAATAGTAGGGGCCCTTTCATTGTCGGAATCGCTCATTTGGGTTGTCTTGAGAGTATGGCACCGCCAAATTGGTCGGCTTCGTTTTGACTTCCCTTTGCGACTGTCTTCGCTCACAAGAAGACTATCTTCTAAAGTCCAAAACTATATGACCCACATAAATATCATATGGGGCGGCATGTCCCCTTTAAGAGTGGGCTTTCTCGGGGTGGATACCTTGCAACTGCAGCAGACATGTCAAACAAGGGAAGATGAGCGACAATGATACCTGAGTTGCTCGTTGATTCCTTGCCAAAGTCCAACTCTTTGCGGGATATGTCATGAGCAGCTCTAAGCTCCAAAAGTCTAAGTTGCTATCTCACTCGCTGAGATGGTAGGAAGAAGTCTCATTTGCCTCCAACAACGTGGCTTGCTAACTGTTTAACTTCAAACTCGGGGAGTGAGGCGCCTCGTGAAGTGATACCGAGCGAGTTCGGCCGCGGGGCTCGAGGACTGGGTGTACCTTGAGGTCGATGCGGCGATACGTCTCCTTCTCCGGCAGCTTGCAGACCCCGAAGTAGCACGCGGAGCTGGTGGACACGTCCCCCTCGTGCCACTTGGAGCCTCAGACTTTGCCCTACAGCGGGGGGCTGGCTTTTTTTCTTCAGTGGACACCTCCTTGGTAAAAAATATGAGTTGGGAAGGATGGCCTCCCGCAAATACAGAGGTGCGCAAACCCCCCTTGAGACAAACAAACGTCTTCCAAGGGGGTCTAATCACAGCGCCAAGATGAGGCTTCCCGTGCAAGGAACCTTCATCACAAATGAGGCCGGAGTCTCCGATTCCGGGGGAGCCGCTGTAGTTTGCCCAAAACGATTCCCCAATCCGAATTTGATCAGCTACCCCAAACCTAGAACAATATCCGGAAGATATCAAATCAGCATCTCTTCATGGCTGTTCCTACCCACCAGACCCGAAAGGTTCGATTGCAGCCGTGGGGCCTTTCAGGTCGTGGGTCAGGAATCCCTGCTTCGTGAGGTCCTTGCTCGGTCTGATGGTTTGAAGCGGGCCCGGGTTGGCCTTTTCTAGACAAGGAGTACACGCGCGGACCGTCTACTGCAATGCTCTGAAAGAACAAGCAAACCAAAATCGACATCAGCCCGGCGCGATTGCAACTCATGCAACGTAGCAATCGCACATGGACAAGCAATGCTAATAACAAATGACAGCATTGACAAGGTCAAAGGCAAACACGATCAACGTAGATGCGCAGGCAGGCATGTACTGGAAAGCCAGCTTCGAAGCAAACGCACACGGTCAGCTAATGCCACTGCGCAACAGCCGACACGCATGGAAACACAACTGCGCACGCGACCCCAGAATGAGACTGGAGGCGAGAGGCACGATTCCATTCCATCGCGACCCAGGAGAACGTCACAAAGGAAAGCGAGATAAGCACAGCGACTGCAAAAACAGTAACACAAACAGCAATTAATCATGATGTTCAGTTTGGAAATTCGGACCAGTCCAACGGACGGCGTGAAAATGCTCGAACATAATTAATCAACACCTGGTACAAATTGGGACCCAACCACCTGCTGCAAGCTTCTGACACGAAGTTCTGCTCCCAGTTGGCAAACAGAAAAGGACTCTCTGAGCGGTGGGCCGTTTTATGTACCTTGAAAGCGAGCTTTTGCAAGATGGCAGAATCCAGCTTGGCTTTCCGATTTTGAGCTGAAGGCTCTCAGGCAACAAGGGCAAACAAACTATAAATGGAGATCTCCAGGTGTCGTGGGGCGGTTGGGGGAGAGCAAGGGATCGGCATTTTCTCAACTGAAATAAGGAATTCCCCGCAGGGCCTACATCAGTGGTGAGCTCGTAGACCTGATGGGTCGCCGTAAAATCGGAAGAAGGGATCCATGCTCTTCCTGGCCGAGCGTCAGCTATAAGGTGGCCCAGCACTTCCTTGCAGGATCCCAGGCCGAACTCCTCCTCTGGGCTGCGCGCGGAGATCAGCAAGTCCACGTCCTCAGCGAAACCAAAACGAAACCCGCTCGGTGTTTGACATATGAGAAAAACATAATGCACAAACATACGTCAACCATGTGAAGACAGGAATATTGCGCGGGATAAATCTGATACCTCAGCTTTTGCTCTTTCCTCCCTGTCCCCCCAAGCCCCAAACAAATTGCTTGATGCTGGCAGTTTATTGCAAGGGTCGCTGTGAGCCAATTGTCTGCCCGGCTCGGAGGTTGCATGCTTCTTTTGTTGATCCCAGACTCTAACCCAGGGGTTTCCAAAGGCCTTCGGGGACATAAAAACCATCCCTGGATCCAAGTCTGCCTTTAAATCAAAAGGGAGCCGTGAGAGCCCTCCAAAAAGACGCGCCAGGTCGACAGGAGCCCAACCCGGGAGGCCTGCTCGCCCTTTCCTTGCAAGAAAGGCACGTGGTTGAGGCATGCCAGAACGTCCAAAAGGCCGAATGTATGCTTTGAGAGGAACCCCGTGAACCGGATTCATCGGGGACACTGTAAAGCTAATCGCCCTGCTTCCGCTTGCCGCGCGTCCCCGCAGCTCGCTTTGCCCCTGCGATAGGAGCCGCAAGCCTCCAGCCTCAATGAGACCGGACTTGATTTTTTCAGGACAGGGTGAGGCAAAATTGGTTAGGCAGAAGTCAGCCACATTCTGCATGTCATCACCCCGTCCGACAGCATCATGGCCGCCACAATCTCGAAAACTTGACGCACGCCCATCGGAAGCACATAACAATCGCGTCGCTGTCAGTTTGGTTTAGCTGCTTGGGTGGGATGCTTCCCTTGTCTCCAGCTTACAAATCACTTTTGTTTGGCCAATTTGTGTTGAGTTTCCAAAACTGCGGTGATGCTCTGGGGTGTTCTGCGTCGTGAAATCCTTAGCGACTCACTGGCTCGCCCTATCAATTAGAAGGAACCTTCCTTTCCTCAACCAGAAATATGTAATATATACATCTATATATATATATACATGTGTGAAAACCTCTCTCACAGCTGGCACCCTCAAAACGGAGACGCCCCCCTCCTGACCCCTCGGCTCACCGGGGGCCCGGGCCGGAGCCGCGGCCCGAAGCGCCCTTGGCAGGCCTCGCGCACGGCCTCGAAAAGTTGCTGCACCTCCTCCCGGGGGATGCGCTCCGCGAAGTGCTCGTAGAGGTCCAGGCCAATCACCTGATCCTCGCGAGGGATGCAGAAGGGAGGCCATAGCCCTGACGTGTTTTATTTTACTTATTCTTATTTTCAACATCTATATTGTCCCTGTTTGGGGTTGTTATCGTGGTTTTGAGCATCACAAGTTCAGGTGAGTGTTTTTTGCAACTGCTTTTGTTTGGCGCGTCACGGGACCGGGCAATTTTCAGTCAGCTCAATGCAATTTTTGAGGCGGTTTGGGTGGGTGTGGCCCTAGTCACCTAGTCCCTCGTGTTGGGGTGGTCGCAAGTCGCAAAGGCCTTCTCTTTGATCAAGTCAGTTAGCATTCAACGCACACCGTCCCAATGATTGGCACGTTTCATACATCGCATGTTGCAACCCTCACACGTACACAATGGGTCGAGCTGTTCTGGGTCCTGATTCAGCTGCAATTGGCCATCCTTCACCCTCTGCCTCACATCTGCCACACTGCGGCACCCCATGCCGTGCCATCTCCTGCGCGCCCAGGCCGGTTCCGCACCCCGTACAGTGGGCTGGGGATTTTCTGCACCGCTTTCAGCAAGGGCCAGGGGTCAAATCCCTAAGCCAATTCAAACCATCCAGGGATGACCTGGCAAAACCTACCTCCGCTTTTTGCCCCCCAAGCCAAAGTAATGTGTGATTCTGGTTCGTATTTGCAAGCTTGACAAGGTACACATGTTGAAAAAGAGATCGCTGTCTAGGGTGGCGTTGAAGCGGACATGAGTGGAACCCTGTCAAAGTGATGTGGGAGGAGTTGAGTGGTGGTAGGTTGCTGGAAGGTTGCAGGGCACCATCCCGGTGCGTTTGAAGAATGACTGGAAAGCCGCATCCCCAAGCCACCCAATCTAAACATAATCCAAGCCACCGATTCAGGGTCTGCCTGATCCAATGACGCATCCATGTGAACTGACATTTGTGACCTGCTTGACCTTGAAATGGGGAGTGACTAATCCGGAATCTGCGGTCAACATTTTCTACGCATTAATGTTGTCTGAACCATGGTCATTTGCACATGAAGCCAATTAGACCACGGCACACACAGTTCTTCAAAGGATACATCCAAAAACCAAATGCTTTGCTGGGATCCTCCAAATCAGCTGCTAAAAGTGTTTCCCCAAAAATGTCTCACATGTATCCTCTAAGGGACTTTGTATGAACCATGTGTAAGCCAAGGCGGTTGACGCAGGACCGACACGAGCCAATCGACTGGAGATTTGTCACTGGCGCCTTGCGGTGGTCAGCCCGACGCCCCAAATGCCCTGCAGCTCGTTCAGCGCGATGGTGGCCTCCAACAAAAGACACGCGCATTAAAATTGCGCTTTAGCAATAAACATGCAGGCCCTTGTGAGGTCGCCTTCCACTTTAGTGTTTGCCTTTGGTGGCTGGGGTAAAAAGCTGGGAAACGTGTACAAACCACTACAACAAAGGGAGCTACTCCCATCTGGCAAAAGGGTTCGTCGCAGATTGATCTTGCACCCAATCAAACCAGCACCCTCTGCAAACATGGCAAGGTCTGGGATGACCCTATGACCGTTTTAGATCCAACGATCCCTCAGGGCCGGGGTGGAGTGTCATGTTGGACCCCTGAATGGCCGTCCACATCACTATGAATGGTCAAGAACATATGGCCGTGAGTCCCGTGCTTTGGGCGCTGACGTTTTCTCGCGCCTCGTCCTCGTGAAGGCCCTCCACCCTTCCGATCTTCCCTGCAACGGCTGAGTTCAAGTGGCAGGTTCGATGCCGCAAAGCTGCACCAACCCGAAATTTCCAGAAGCTCTAACTTCTCTAACCTGGCACCTCGCAAACTAAAGTGGTCGACACCCTCAGCATCACCAGCAGCTTAGTCTAGAAACATGACTTCCGTTGGTCGGCGGCATGCAGGCGTCCGCCTGTGCAATCTCTATAATGAGCCGAGCGTTGCACCTACGATGGGTAGCAAAAGATGCTTCCATGTGCCACGCTGCGCTAAACAAAAAAAACTGTGCATAGTGGATTCCCCAAATAAAGGACATATGTCATGATGAGCTTGTTTTAGCCTGAGACCGCAAATCAAGGTGCCACCTGAACACCACTTGTCTGTCAAGGGATTGAGATGTCCCACCCGGACTCTTTCAGTGGCTTGGGGCAGAAACACCTGCCTCTTCTCCAAAACCTGCTTATTCAAAAAGCTGACGGGGCCCGGCGCCGTGTCTAGTGGTTCATGGTTGCAAGTGGGCGGCCCCAAAAGGGAGCTCGTTGTATATCTGCGCCGACAAAATGGCTGCTTGCTTGCCGTTCCTGACAAATTGTCCTTACATGTCCCATTTGAATTTCACCAAAGACAGAGTTTCACAATAGCAACAAAGATGTCCACAACACACAAAGAAGGGATTTCCAAGACCTTGAGCGGCCAAATGGAAAGAGAGACCACCAATTTTCTGACGGTTGTTTTAAGGTCGCCCCGCTCCGAAATTGCTGCTTTTTTCACAGAACTAAGCCTTGCAGATCTTGCAGAAAGCAAAATGGGAGGCATCGAAGGCACTGGTGACAGGTACGACCTTAAGCCCAGTTTTCAGTGACCCTTGTAGAGAAAGCGGACCCTTTTGGGGGATGCCCATTTCTAGTGGGACAGCCAGCAACCAAGATCTTCAAAGTCCCTTGGTCCATGCCTGTTTGGAGAAACTCCAGCAGCTTCTCCCGAGTCTTCTTCCCGAGCCTTGCGGCTTCTGCTCAAAGCAATTCACCACGGGTATCCGCCAACAGGTGTCGCAAAGCCACGGCCAAAATATGCATTTGCTGCAAAGGACACGGGAAATTTGGGCTGCACGAAACGTTTCGCCTCCGGAGCTCCGGGCGCTGCAGGTCCCCGGGCCCCGAGATCTCGAAGGCGAGGCCCCGCAGGAGGCCTCGAGCGAGCGAGGCGGGGCGCCCGAAGACTCTGCGGATGGTTGGCGTTTCGTTCTTGGCTTTGAGGGGTGGGAGGTTCTTGTCTGCTTTTTTGTTGTCTTTTTTTGTTGTCTTTTTCCCCAACAGCTGAAAGCTTTGGGGTCTCAGCCCAGATAGGCTCCGGGTGGTCCGGGGCGGTTCCACCAGGGTTCCACAAGGGCTCCACCAGGGTTCCACCAGGGTTCCACAAGAGTTCCACCAGGGTTCCACCAGGGTTCCAAAAAGAGCACCGCATGCCCTTGGGGATATCACCCTTGGGTGTTTCGTTTTTGCCCGTATATTGAAGATGTTTGTTTGCAAAGCCCCTCGTGCTCTTGGGAGTCATGGCTCCAAGAGGCCTGCTGTTGTTCACATCGGTCCCAATATACAAAATGGGTACCAGGGAGCCAAGAGGTATGCACTATGAACAAGGGATATGCACTTCCACTCTCAGGTCGCTTGGGTCAGAAGATGTCAACTACCCCCAAACCACCCTAAATTATACTAAAGAAACTCTGTGTATAACAATTATTCATTTACCCACAGGGTTCCACTTTCGACTACCCCAACATAGACAACCCAGGGGTTCTACTTTGGTGGCCCCTGGGTTTAAGTCTTCCCTTGACTTGGGTAGTCCAACAGTGAACCCTGCTTACCCAAGCTTCCCCTCGTTTTGGGGTAGCTGGAAACCGGCTGTCAGGCTCCCGGAAGCTGAAGGCCCCATGTTCCTCTGACCCCTCAGCTTCCATCTCCAAAAATCCGGGAAGGGTGAAATGCAGGGACACATTTCTTCTAGCCAGGCTTGATGATCTTTGAAAGGCTCGGATCGACCCTGAGAGGGAGGGAAAGTACTCGGATTGAGTAACTTGCTGGGTAGGGCTAAGCAGGCCGTCCAACCCAGGTCAGGCAGGCTGGCTCCTTTGTACCCATTTGACACTGCGGGCAAGTTTCCACCTCGCAACTGACTATGGGGGGATTCAGCAAATAGTGTTGAGTAGCGAGTGATAAATGGGGAGACCAAAAAAAAAGTTCTTCCGGAAGTTACCCCCTCACCTGAAAAGCAATAAGGGTAGGACAAATCCGGAATGTTTCCACGTGGATAAGAAACAGTTTTTGGGGCTGGCAGAATCTGAGCTTGTTGCATCCAACTTGCAACCTACTCCATCCCCGTCCCAGCAGCTCCTCTCAGTTTCAGCAGACCCGCCAAACCCACCAGACCCACCACACCCACCACCACCACCACCACCACCACCACCACCACCACCACAACAACCACAACAACAACAACAATCAACCTTACAATGTAAGGTAAAACGGCCACCAACCAGACAAACCAAGAAGAGCTCACCGCACTGAGGTCCCAAACAGCCAAATTCTTTATGAGACTCTTCACTACAGCCACCCAGCCACATGCTTCAGGGATGTTCCAGGGGTGGTGCAGGGAACACACAGGAAGGTAATACAATAGTTTGTTGAAACGTAGAGAATAGAGACAAATGCACTGGGCCAGCGCTATACTACACCGACACTAAGCCAATTCGAAGCAATACTAAACCGACTCTGAACAGTACTTACTGGAAGGCTACTTAGGGCCTTAGTCTGAGCCCCATGTTTTAGATTTTCACGGTTGAGCCCCTGACTCCACTTAGATCCAAACTGGCCGAAACCGAAAGCAACCAAGTCCAGTAGATTCGCCTTGGATTCAATCAACAAAAGGACCTCAAGCTGCGGCCCGTATAGCTTTTGTTGCCCTTAACCTCTCCTCGATGCGCATCCCTTGTCATAAGCAGAGTGTAGTTGGTTGGCTATGCCCCGGAACCGCAAAAATCCCAAGGGTCAAACCAATGGCCCATACAACGAGATTTGGGTGTGTCCATAGAGGGGCTAAGACCCCAGGGAGTGATCCAAGTGGCGCTTGTTCAACAGCATGGAGCCCGCACAGCCAGCTTCCATTGGCTGTTGTAGTAAGCAAAAGAGTACCCCTGAAAGGCACACCTCGAATAGTTTATGTTTAAACAATCTAAGAATCCTCCAAAATACCTTTTGAGCAGCCGCAGACCCAGAAATTGCTGTCATGCTGTGATCTGCCGGGGGGCTAGCAGTCATTCGGTAGGAACGCTCACGCCAGCCATCCCCCAAAGACTCGTAGTGCTTCCTAGGCTCAAGTTGCACGGAACCCCATGGTCCAAGGCAGTGGGGTCGAACAATGGCTTTTGAAAGGGGGAAAAAAGGAAACCAAACCAGTTTTCTACCCTTGAGGTCTGGCCATCTTTCAAAGGCTCCGAGCAATTCACATTGGTTTGCGTCTAGCTCGCTTTGTTCGGCCCACTTGTGCGGCAGCGGTGAGCCAGGAGTGGCTAGAGCTGGCTAGGAGACTAGACTGGAAAGCTCTCAACGACGTGAGTCAAGAGTTATCTACCCGAGTGCTTTTCAAGGTCGGGATCACCTCCAAGACGCAAAAAACCGAAGGCTTCTTGGATCTGCCCCCCTCGCCGATCGCGCTTACCCATATAACAACGAATTCAACCGGGCACACATCCTCAAGCCACAGGCGCAAACCTGGAGCCGCGCCTCTTGGAGGCAAGCTCGTGGGATATGTTCAAACCCCCAGGCAATGCCCCTTCACAGGGAATCCACATGGTGAGAACAGTTGTCCATCACTCCCAGCATCTCCCGGCCAAATACCTACCTCAGCTTTTGCCCCAACCAAAAAGCATCACCCGATTTAGTGAATCTTAAAGTGTTGAGCAATCGCTTCCCCCTATGATTAAATCCAACCCTATTGAGGAATACGTCCCAGGCAAGAATCCAAACAACCAACCCCGATCCTGTACTTTGAATCGATCCAATACTCAGCCGAAACCAAACTGGCAGCCCTTATCAGGGGTACTTTCAGCACGTCTCTTGTCCAACTGCTGCCCACCAAAGACGGACAACTCTCAACAGGTGTTCCCCCAGATATTATTCAAGTGTTAAGACAAACATGTAAACATAGCATTTCTACCCCGTAGTGGACGGGAATCAATTTGGCTATCGAAAATCAAGGGAACCCCAGGTAATTGATTACTCTGATAACAAGTATTATTCCCCAAAAAGGAATGATTACCTATTACTACGCATGGGGTGGAGAGTTTTAATATTGCAGGGAAGTAATCAAGTTCAAAAGCGAGGGAGTCGCCAAAAGTCCAAGCATCTGCATGCGTGAGAAGAGATCGGCGAGCTCATGGTTGTTGCCCCGCGCAGGTTCTGAGCGCCTCACCAGAGCTCGTCAATCTAAAAACGATTTGCATGAGCCATGGAAAACACTCCTTTTCCCCAAGAGGCCATCAGCAAATGGTGTTCCCCCTTGCTCGTCCTATTTATACCAACGACAAACTACCGACAATATTGTCAGCTGCTCACATTGACATGGCCATTTGTGTGGGCCCGCGGCCGTTGCGTGGACGTGGGCGTTGTGTTCCGGAGAAGGGTAAGCCCTTCCGCCTACAAATGAATGCACCCTCCAAATCCCTAATCTCCTGATACTAAATTAGAAATAGCCAATACTAAGCAAGCATATGATCCAGTTCTAAACCAGCAAGTTTCCCGCCTACCCCAACTCCAGCCACCTTGGGGGACACATAAAACTGAAACATGGCGTTGACTTCTTCTGCTTAAATTCCTTATTTACTCGGAAAACTACACATTTGGACGAGGGCTTGAGAGCAGAACGCCATTTTACCCGAGCATGCTTATTAATTGGGAGGGGGTTGGGGGTGTCGCGTATTCATTACTATGCCACTCGGCGGAATCAATTTAATATACTGAAGAGTCATTGGGCCCACACCAGCAGCTCACGCACGTTCATATAGATTCAACCTTTCAGATATGGCGTGTCCGACATGAATGACTTCCCCTCTCCCGACCCACCATTCCTCGCCCGAGGACTTTTACCTAACTGCGAATGTTTGGCCAGCTGGCCGGGACCTGGCGCACGTGCCCGGACGATGAAGCAGCACTTCACCCACCCTCACCAACTTGTAATTCCAACACCCTGAAACCAGTCGACTTCATCTATGGGCAAAACCCTGCACCAGGTGTTAGGTAGTACCTGCTTCAGTATTCGTAAGGTTTTCGCCCAAACGTGCGAGCCCAACGGCGAGGCGCTGGCACGCAAACTTCTGCTTGCTCCGCAGCAGGCGCTCCCGCAGCGGCGTCAGCTGGCCGTTGAAGGCCGACATTTTCGGCACTTCCTCCACCTCGCGAAGTGCGACTCGCCCCGGCATGCTACCCTCTCACCAATTAACACATTGGAACCTGAAAGGAAAATGGTCACCGGCAACCCCCTGCTAGGTTCCATTTTAATTGGTGTCAAGGGGTATGACACAGTGTGAGCTTCTTATCGCTGCACCTGTCATAGTTCAAATCCGGTAATTTATCATTCAAGCGGTGGTCAGCGACCTTGTACAACGAACGTTTCACGTTTCAAGTGAAAGAAACATGGGATTCAGTGCCGAGCTTTCTGTTTGCTGCTAATTAACGTGGTCGTCCCAAACAGTATGTCAAGTCCAGCAACTCCCCCTCTGAGTTCGTGCAGGAAGGCTGTGAAAAAGCAACAGGTCTCCCCAGCGCCAAAGATCGAGAAATAAGATCTCTACGCCATGCGTAGTGAGCCATCCCTTGCAGGGGATCAAGCCATTGCAGAGCAAAGGGAGGCCAGTCTTGCTGACTACATTCGGTTTGTGAGCCGAACCACAAGGAAACATGGAGGTCAGAAAACGGGTTTGGAAGAGCAAAAGTGGGTCCCCCCACCAGCCAACCACTCCCGTTGGAGAATGTGCACGCGTGCCCAACAACAACAAATGAATGGCACGATGGACCGACTCTTCATGGAACCAACAGGTGAAAAGGTCGACTCGCTTTGGACAACTGGGCATAGAGCGCATTGACTTCTTGCCGTTCCGAGTGGGCGAGTCACGCACCATGAACTTTGGGACCCAAGCGGCCTCGCTTCCGGAATCCTGATGTGGCTTTGCCTCGGCTGGCAACATCTGAATCTGGTCCCTTCCCCCCCCTTCCCCCCCCCCGGAAGTCGCTTGAGCAAGGCGTATGCCACGAAGCGGCCCCAAGTCCATTTAGAAGGAGCTGGATTTCGATGTCTCTTGGATTTCTCTAAGCCGAGGCACCGAGGCAGCATCTGCGCCCCAGGCCAATTTTCTGAAGGTCGGCGACTGGGATGGAGGCTTTGGTCTGCGGTTGCGCCTTCCCCTGTTTCAACATGCCAGGGGTTCACACCCCCAGGCCAATTCAAACCGTTCAAGGGTGGCCTAATGGCATAAACCTGAGCTTGTGCCCACCAACCGAAGCTTATATGGTTTTGGTTCTGGCCCATATCTAGTGCTGAATCTCAATGCCAAATCAACCCCGTTGGGGTGCCACAGAACAGCGTTGCTTTGGACGTCAAGGCGACTTACTCAAACCAAGAGGGAAGCACAGCATAACTCATCACCTCTTCCAACTGTTGGGACAATTTGGGTTTCAGCCCTTGAGGAAAGCATCTTAAGGGTCCCTGGACCGCCAAATTTATTCGACATTAGTGTGACATTGGAACGACTCCGTAAAACAGGGAGCACCTGAATCGCTGGGGGGTGCATTGAGTCAAAGGTCAGCACTGCTTCACCTGTCCAAAAAGGCAGGCATCTGAACCTGTTTGCTCTAATTCACCGAGCTTTATCATTGTGAGCTCGTTTCACCCCGCGAGAGCGTTAGGATCAGTGTAAAGGCATGTCGACAAAGGGTCATACCCGCTTCCTCCGCGCATGCCCGGGCACTGGTGAGAATGTCTTTGGCGAGGCGTCGCCAAACTGCGGCGGGGCGCCCGACTTTCCGCGACGGAACTCGGAACTTTGCCGATTTCGACGGCTCTGGCTGATCCCAGTCCTATATTGCTGCAAAGCCACTGCCGACCTCGTGACTCGACTGGCTAAGGACACTCTACGATGAAGATCCCTGGCAACAAACAGCTTAAAGCTTGAAACTGAACAGCTATGTCGGTAAAGGGAAGCACTGCTGCAACCACAGGGAGGGATTAAGGCTTTGAACAGCCTGGCCTTGGATAGGACCTGCTCACCCAAAATGACAAGCAAAGCAGCTGGGTGATTTCTAAGGGCACAGTTCCCTCCAGTTCGGCTGACCCAAGTTGTGCTTTCTACCTTCACCTTGGTGAACTTCAAGCAACACTTGGAAAGACTTGGCATTCAGCTGCTTGCATGGGAACGGCTTTTGACCCCAAGGAACGGGCCACATAAGTTGCCTTCTGTAGGCAACATTCTGAGTGATTTCGCACGCAGAAGGTCAACAATCCATGAGAGAGTGCTTGAACACCGCACCCCTTGTCAAGCAGGACTCTTTTTGCAATCCTGCAGAGTGTATCCTTTGGGCACTGTGGACAAGCTCACAAACAATCGAGGGTAGCAAGTTTACAGGTTGGGACAGGTCCCCAGGGAAAAGTACGTAGATAAATCCCTTGACAGAAAGGAGCATGCTGAATGAGGCTGTGGCTATGGACCGTGAACATTAGCAAGGGATTTGCCGGCCTCGATAGCTGTGTGCGGGCGCTTTGCCTGAGCACGTGTCTGCGGCAGAAGTACCAACTTGCTGCCAACTGCAAATGTGTGTCATCTTGTAGATGTCCTTGGTTTGTTCAGGGCCTTCACATGGATTTGCCCTTCAGTTGCAATTCACGTTCCGGGTTCCGGGTCCAAAAATCATCAACTAAGTGACTCCCTTCCTTCAGGTCCCAGAACTGGATGCAGGTTGGATCATGGGGGGTACCCCATTTGGCTTCGAAAGAACGGTTGAAAACCCACACCGCCAACCTAAACCACTAAAGGGTATCTGGGATGCATCTCCAAAGGCGCTGAATAAGCCACATGCATCTGTCCAACACTTGCTAGCAACAGCCTCAGCTTTTTTTGCAGCTCCTCATTTAATGATCAAACACCTCCTCCTCAAAACCACTTAAAATGCTGAGAGCGAAGGCAAAGCTGAGTAAACTAGCGCACCTGCACTCGCCGACACATCAACAAAAATAGGTCGGCTGGATGCTTATCTGAGGGGGTTGGAACTATGACAGGAACAAACAGATACACGCAGCATGTTCCATTCAGCACTTGACATGTCGTTGGTTTTGTCATGTCGGTCCCGGATTGCTGCACCCTTGCGGCTTGTTTGGTTGTGCCCGCGAAGCTGCGCGTCTGCTGGGAAGCCCCGCATTATTCACCGATGGGCTTATTCATCCTCAATTTCTATTCCCCACTCATCCACTAGGAAACTCAACTCTCGGATGGACGTCGCTACGTTCTCCGAGAGAGATCCTGGCAACGCGCTTGGCAATGAGGCTTTCTGTCAATTCGATAAATCGGCTCATGCATAATTATCTGCAAAGTGGTCTAACTCATTGGACATCTTCCCACTGCTTTGCACCCATTTGGGACAACTCGACACATCATGATGGTTGTGCAGCACCTAGTAAGCAACATCTGGAGGGGTCTTTGGAGTGTGGCGGTTTCCAGCGCAGGCGCTGGCGACTGCGACAGCGACGTCGGAGAAGTAGCAGCGACGTGTGCAGCGCTTGCCTTGGCCAGTGGAACCCGGAACTCGGAAGTTCTCGCCTAACATCCGGCCTTGGCCCCTTGGCTTGAGGAAACCAAGGGCGGGTTAGGACGGACGAACCCATAAACTTGCCGGAATTAATAGTGAGTTTCTATTTTCCTGCTTGACTTGAGTTGAACGGTTTCAACTGTGTTCCAATGACACCAATGAAGAAACAAACAATAACGCGAAACATCTTCTCCGAAGCCTCTGGGCAAACGGGCCAAGACAAAAACAAGCTTCTTCAACTCGTGTGTTTATCTGAATCTCAAGGTGTCATATGTAAATGCATGCAGGAAGAAATTGCTGGCCATTCATCAAGCTGACAGAGGTGGGAGACCCTTTGGGGTAAGCCTCCAGAAAGAAACAAATGCCAGGCGCCAAATCTCTGCATGTCTGAGTGTGAAAGGGGCCCTTCTCATCGAAGGAGTGGCAGCGGTCTAGGAGACAACCTAAAACACCCAAATTGCAGGGCAACTTTTCAAAACACACAACTTACTTTGTGGTAGACGCGCCTTAGCTATCCCAAGACGTAAATCAGGCATTCTAGTTCTGACCCTCCTGAAGCAACATAAGAACCCATGTTCCGGGAAACTCGCAAAACGGGCAACTAATTGGGATTGGCCAAGCCTGCATGGTAGGGCCCAAGCCCTGTAGCCCCTTTTCACCCACTAACGGAAGCCAACCGGTTGCACTGTTTGCTGGTTGGAGTCACAAAGGCAGATTTGTTGATAATGTTGCCAACGGTCAAAGATCCCAGCATCTCACTTGTTCAGTGGATTGGCAAAACATCTGGACTTGTTTCTCACCACTAAAATGATTTTTTTGCCAAAACTTGCACTCCATGACTTGATATTCAAGAGGGACACTCCCAAACAAGGAGCTCAATGCATCCATCGCTGGGTCTCGGAATGTTTGGGTAAGTCATGGTAAGTCCAGAAACTGGGTGGTTCTTATTCAGGGTAGCCCGAACCAAAAAGGAAACCACTCAAAAAAAGACACGCCCAACCGCTGGGAACTGAGAATGGCACCCAAACAAATCGCGCCCCCATCGAACTTGGGAGTCTCCCATTCCCCTGCTGCGCGCCTTTCGCGGGGAGGTGTTCGCTCCTTCGTCCCTGCCCTGCGTCGGGCCGAAAAGCTTCGAGCGTATCCTGGTCACTTCCATGTCCGCCTGCGGTCGTTCAGTGTTTGCAGACATCTTATTAAACAAGGATTTGCGAGACTCTGGACGGTAAAGTGGGATTTCTTATTGCTCAACATGACCGTAGGGGTATTCTGCGCTTCCCATCACTCACAAGCCAAACTTAAGCAATCCCAAAGCAAGAGCCGCCAGGCGGGCTGGTGATACGTAGCTCAGTTGCTAAAATGTTGGCTCACAACAACTCTCGAACCTGTTATTTCCCCTAGCATCCAGCCCCAACACTTAGCTGCCCCACCCCTGTCAGCCTAAAGAGTCACAACGACTCTCGAACCTGTTCTTTCCCCTAGATCATCCCCTAGATCCAGCTCCAACACTTATCTGCCCCACACCCTGTCAGCCTAAAGAGTGGTATAGTAGTCGGCAGATCAAAAAAAGCTGAATGGCAGCTCAAATTGGGGTACAACCCCAACCATCCTTGAGTAATCTTGCGAACAGTATCGGACGATATCAACTCTAACGAGGAAAGTGAGCAAAGGGCGTCTCGGACCATCGCTGAGTGAAAACGGATACCTAACAACCTGCAAGCATCAGTAAGGCCATGGCCCTGGGGATGTTTCCAAAAACTGACAGACCCGGGTAAGAACATGTTGGGTATACTCTCGGGGCTCTTGACATTTTGGACGTCATGTCAAACTGAGCCAGGGTCAATGGTTTTCGTGCAGGTTTCCTTCCCAATTACCCAGACTGTTCTCAGATGCCCTGCTAAAAGTTTAACGTGTAGTGGTTTGATTGCAACTACCACTGACGGGATGGCTGGGAACCACCAAGCTTGGAGGCACCTAACATCTTGTGGTTCACATGCACTTCCCTGCGAAACTCAAGGGCCAAAAGCACGGGATCTCAAAAATGGACTGCCAAACTGGGTCGGCTCGGAAGCTCCGCCTGCCGCTTTGCCTAGGGCGAGGGATTCCCGAGATCAGCTTCCCTAGGGTGGTGGGGAGCCCGGTGGTTTAGAGAGGGGTTTCCCATTTACCGCGAGAACCAGGGGTTTTGAGTTCAAATCCCCGAACCACCAGTCCAAACCAAGAACTATGGGATGCCTGATCAAAGCTACCCTGATAAACCAAACGAAACACTCTAACACTGGGCGTTCATAAAGTCTACGAATTGCAACATGTTAATGCTCTTGTCGCTTCCTGGGGAAAAGGCAATCTATGGATATTTAGCACCTGGGACTGAAGCATTGCAAAGAAAGTCCTCAGGTGTTTGTCGGCCAAGCCGTTCTGCAAAACGATGTTTGGGTGAAAACTTTTCAAATTTGCCATGAAACCATACAGGGGTCTCTCCACAGAATTCCCCCTGTACGGCCAAGATATGGCCTAGGGCTACGCCTCACTGAATCGCTTACCCCAGCTCGTGGCACTGCGGATTTGGGAAATCCAGTGCAGAATGGAACGGTGAGAACAACTGGGCTAAGGCTTTTTTGCCAAAGACCACCAATCAGTGGCACTGTATGTCATTCACGTGAAAACCTCGCGATACCTCGTCTTCAACCTAGTTTGTCGTCAGCAAGGCTTCCCTACAAACAACCCTTGCATAGCTATAGATTTCCTTTATGACTAACTAACATGATATCTTTTCTACGTGGGTTGACACACTGGTGGTCGACCCCTCACATTCTCTTACCCCCTCCCCTTGCTTCCTTAGAACACAGGTAGTTCCCACAAGAAGGCCTGAAGAGTTCAAACAACACAAAGCACAGCGGGGACATTCCTCCAAAAACACATTGGGTGTGAAATCGGCCATCCACTTTTGGCCGTCTCTGGGGAAATGAACAGATGTGCGCTTTGCAGCACCCAACACGCCACTTTACAGTTTATGTTGGCATTTGGGGGCAACAAGAAGCCCTTGGCTTATTTCTTTGAGCCCCGCTTGAAGAGAACCCGAAGGTCCATCGGCAAACCAGCTGCACGCTCGGTCCGCGCCAAAAACGGATAAGGGCATACACAGGTGATGGACGGATGTGCGAGTCAGGGTTGAGATTTGATTTTTTTGACTCCCCCGTTCCCGCAGCAGCTGACATGAAACCCAAAAACCCGCCATTTGTAGGAGAAGCTCCTTTCAGGAAACCCCTCTAAAAGGGTTCCATCTTAACTTGAAAGGGCGGTGGCACTCGAAGATCTAGAGGTGAACCTCTCCTTGCGGAAGCCAACCGCCCGGCCGGTTCAGTGCCTATGCCCGCAATCCCCAAGTGGAAGCCATGAGACTAGGCCCCGAGCCTACCGTGTTTTCCTTGACCCGCACTAATTATATACCCTTAATCAGGAATCCCCAAACAAGGAACCTTCATCATGAGGCCCCGACTTGTTTCCCCGTGTTGGCAAGCTTGTAAACTAATTTGCCCAGTGCCATGCCATAAATTCCGAAAATGCACTCCTGGGATGGCCCGCATCCGAAAGAGGCTTGGCAATTGAAACTTCGGATTGTGGACACCTGGGAAACTCCAAGGCACAAATCCAAATCACTGGAGATTGGTGTAACAAGTTGCGTTTCTTCGTACCAGGGCACTGGGGAGGACGGCGCCGAGGTCGCTGGCGGCCAGCTGAATTGGGCCTGAGAGCCGTGGATTGTGACTAGTCTGGGTGCCAAGTAGAGGGTCTGAACAAATCAAACAAGTGCCCAAGAAAAATCACTACTACGGGAGAAAGAACCGTTGACAAGGCCAACTAATCGCGCCCCAATCAAGTGCGGCAAGTATTACCATCTCCTTTGGGCTTCCTTCCGGGGAAAGTGACAGTTGGCCGTTTATTACAGTTGGCTATTTTGAAAGCGGCAAGCCTGGGTTCGTTCCACAAACCTTTCCAGTTGTGTATTGGGAAACCAAGAGGGCTTGAAAGGCGAAGATCCCTATAGTGCATCCTCCTGTTTAAGGCCTGGTGGTGACTGAGTCCCCAATCCCCCAGCAAAACAAGGCCAAAGGGTGCCCGCAATGCCAACCGGAAAATCTTGGATGGCCTCTACCCCCAAACCACATGGCTTCGAAGAAATGACTGGCACGCATGTACCCTCTGCTTGTTGCCTTGGAGGCCACGTTTGCGGAATCTTCTGGTCTACACCCCAAAATAAAACCAAAAAGTTGCTAGTATTCTCAAACACCCCCAAAGAGATGAAATCATAGGGAAAAAGGGCAACCAGTCGTGAGCGCTGGATTTTGCAGGGAAGCCCTTCAACACGAGTGAAATACGACAGCCCATCTGCGGGGTCGGGCTAGCATGGTGGCTCTATTGTCTATACCCTTTCTCATGGTCACCGTGGCGCCAACAAAAACCAGTGGCATTTGGAAACCCAACTTCTGCCCTCTGCAAAAAAGGGCACCACATCTGACCCATCCGGGTATGATCGTCGTGGCGGCCCAATCCCGGGGCACACCTCAAAACATATTGTCTGAGTCTGCTTCTGCTTCGGACTTGGCTATTTCAACAATACAAAAAACAAAACGTGGGAGAAGACCCGAGTGGTGCATATCCAAAACAAAAGGGGGTCTGTGCAAACATCATTCATAGGTGAGTGGCAAAAACGGGTCACACTGCAAGCAGTTGTTGCATAGCACCATGTGAGGACGACGTGTCACCACTGAGAGGCAACCAAAAACCGAACTGCGCCGCCTCCGGCGCAAGGCGCTGCCGCGCCAGGCACGCGATGAGCCAGTCAGTGGTGACCCAGGCCTTTGGCCGGTCGAAGTGAAGCTCCCAATCGAACACACCCGCGCACACAAAAAAAGAAAAAGAAACACAAACAAAGCAAACAAACAAAACCAAAGCAACACACAACAAACAAAAACGCACGCACAAGCAATGACTGAGTGTGCGCGTGTTTGTGCCGAATGGGTTACCATTTTGGGGGGTTCTAGTGCTTACTTTGTCGTTTGGAGGGTTGGTATCACCGAAACTGGGCCTACCATGGTGTCTCAAACAGGGCCATGTTTCCCCTCTTGGTAAGGAGCCCCTTATGTGGGGAGAAGGGAAGCGCTACACTCTCAACCATGAGCGGCTGGTGAGAGGCCCGTGCCAGTTCCAGGAAGGCTCAGCCGTTTCCTGTCTTTATCATGCTCACCGCCACATAATTACAGCTATGGCTTGGAAAATGCGTCCCTGTTTGGTGAGAATACACAACATCTCAGCCAGAGCTTTTCTCTTGGTGGCAGGGGTGGTCAAGAGCCAGGTTGAACCCAGACATCAACAGTGGCTTTTACCATTGGTGGGATTTACCCCTGGTCACATGGTCATGGTGATGCCATGGTTTACCCAGTAAAGCGCAAAGGCTGTCAACGGCACCCATTTCCTTGCAAATAGATAGCAACAACAACATGGAAACGTCGTATAGATACTGGATGGCAGGTCCCAAACCTGGAGAAGAGTTGCCCTTCAGAGTTTCTGATGTTCCCCGCAAAGACTATATACAGTAAGGTGGTCTGTTTGGTTCCCCTTTAAACCAAGCTGGAACAACGACCCTCAACCAACACACACACACACACACCCGTTTAGGAAGCCTTGATCCCGCGAGTCACACGCCTCGGGGTTCAGTTGGATGGCCTCGCGCTTCAGCCAGGAGTCCAGCCTCCGAATGGATCAGGGCGCCCTGGTGACCTGGAGGCCCTGTGTTGGATCCGGTGCCGCCTTTCGAGGCAAAAAGGGCAAAACAAATTGACAACCGATTGGTTCTAAGATGCTGCACAAATGTTGGCTTTTGGTGCAAGCTGAAGCCTGTTTGTGAAACCCGTACCCCAACAAAACAGGCATTGCATTCTTGTGTGGGGCATGTCAATGTAATTAATTTTGTTTTTTGTCTTTTTTGTTTGGGACGGAAGCCCTTTCTGCGGGTTGGTCAATGAGGAAACCGACATTGCTATCACATAACATGGCCAAATTACTTGGGCGGGTGAGCGGGTCCACAAGCCCACCTTTATGGTAGAAACCTATAAGAACACAGTCACCTTTTGCAACCTGTTCTTCGAAAAGTTGTGTATATTCCCAAAAGGAACAAAACCACTTGTTAGAGGGATCAAATATTTTTCCGATAGGTAGTCTTTAAAGGATAACGTAGCCGGACACATTCGATTGAAAACAAACAGGATATTTTCTGCCTCTTGGGCAATGCGCGCCAAAAGTGCATGGGTAAGGACCGGAGGCGAAGCAGCCAGGCCGAGCTTTCTGAAGCAAAGGGATCGCCCAAATCAACCGCCAGTTCCGCTTTGCCCGGAAGAACTTTGATGTCACACTCCGCGGCCAGCACAATTTCCGAGCAGTCACCAAACAACTCCGAGCACCACAGGTGACCCGCTGCCAATTCACATGGCTTCCCAGGCAGCCGCTGCCCAAGCAAAGCCAAGAGCCGTCGCGGAGGTTAAGGGCAAAAAGCCGAGCCCCACGCCCGCCTGCTAGCAAGCCATCTGCCAAGTCCCTTCTCACGGTGGGCAGGAAAGGAGCGGTTCTCATGCCCATTGCCAAACTTGCCGGTCACCAAGGCTTTCGTCAGAAGGTCCGGTCCTGGCAGCTCGCTCAGGGCGAGCCGCCAGGCTGCACTGTAGATTACCCATAGCCGAGCGAAAGGAACCCCGTTTTGCTGACTCAGCCCCTTTTGCCTAAGTATGCCATAGATCTGCCAAGCCTACAAAACATCCAGCCATTTCAATAAGAGATCCGCAAGTAAAGTCCCTGCATCGTGGCGAGCTCGTGTTGCCAACGGATCGGTGAGCTGGCCATGAAAATACAGGTGTGTGTCAAAGTAGGGGCCCAAAATTGTTGATGCCCTTTTTGGTTTCCTTTAAACCCAACCTGAGAAGGTACCCTCAATACGACACAAACTCATGCCTGTGCAAATTGTTGACACAAGTGATCCCTAAACACACCTTCACCATGATTTTGCACCCCCCCCCCGGAACGTGCTATAATTTTGCCGAATGATACTGATGAACAACATCCCCTAGGTGGATCCCGCCAGTCAATCTCGGGGACTCCGTCTTTTCCGCCGGCCTCTCGCGGGTCAGCTCCGGCGCCAGCACGGCGTGGCTGAGACCCGCAAGCTTCGGGCTCGGCGCCTCGCATGCAAAACCCGGTAGCTTGGATGGTTTTAAAGGCAAAAACGAAAGGGCACTCGTCATTTGTTGGCCGCCCCCCCCTTTTGACCGTTTTTGACAGACATAAGTGAGATTGTGTACGATTCGTTTCAGGCACTCATATTTGTTTCCCACAAACGCCCGGGAACTCACAAAGCTTCCCAGGTCCTATTGGGTTGACACCGGCTCGCATATCATCAACCAGAGAATGATTGTTGGGTGCCCATCGGTCATTGTTCAGGATCCAACCTCCACTTTCCATTCGGACCTTTCCTCACATTTTGGGCGGATTGGAACCCTTGGAACGAAGCACACACTTCCCGACATTGTAACTTTGTTTTAGTTCATTGCATTCAGGGGCGCGAAAGTGCAATATTGTTGGGTAGGGTATCCAGGTTCAGTTGCCCTATGGGTGAGGCGTTGTTTCTTCATAGCCTCTGGCTGGAAGCACAAACCATGGAGGTTCACCTCCTCCCTGAACCGATGTTTTAAACTAACCCTGCCAAAGTGCGGGAAAAACGGAGGAACACGGTTTTGGAAGCCGCCAGACCTCGCCTGGAAACTTAATGTCCCCATTGATAGGTACCGCTCCTTCCAGCACACATATTTATTCTTCGGAAAAGGATTAGTTCATGCGTTTTGCCACCCTCAAAGTTTTGGGAACGTCAACGGACTCTCCTGAAGGCAACAGCGAAGGATTAAAGATAGCCGTTGAACAGCTCAGCAAAAACAACTTTCTTGGGTTCGATGATGCCCCACCTGTGGACCGTCAAAGTGCAACAAGAGTGAAAGAACTAGTGGAACCCGCAGTTGGGACTCAAATGCTTACTAGAGACATGAACCACGGATCAGCAAAATGGCAAAGCAGCCCAAAGACCGAAAACCACCCGGAACCGGTTTAATTTGAGGTGTGACCTTCTTGGGGGACGGGACGGCGGGAAGGGTCGTAAAATTTGACGTTCCGCTTGACATGAGATAGCCCAAACTTCTCAGAGGCCATTCCGGAAATTCCGGAGGCCCATGGCCAACAAAGAACCCCCTTACGGTCTTCAGGGCTTCTCTGCGCATTCTGTGGCGCAGCTGCGCTTCCGGCTCCTTTGCCAGCAACGTCGTCTCGAAGCCGAAGAGCTGCTTGCTTCACGCTCCACGAGGTCGGAGAAGGCGGAAAAACACCCAAGCACCCCGGAAATGCAACCAGTCCCCAGCCATCGAAACATATCCCAGAACAAGCGCGCTGCAAGATAATCAAAAAGTGACCCTTCTGCACATGACTTGTGCACTACTGTGGATGGACAAAATCCTGCACCAGCTGATAGGTGGCTTGCAAAACTAAAATTTGTGGGGGTTGGTCCATCTCAGCTGGAGCGAAGTGGATTTCGTCCATCCACAGTATGGTGCAATTTCAAGGCCCGGTCCGAGGTCGTCGTCTCGGAGGTGCTCAAGCCATGCGAAAGTACCAGTAGGTCAGCTGCCGTGTTTGCGCAGCCCAAGCAGGCCAAGCTTAGGATGTTCCCCTAGCAATAACTGAAAACAATCCACACCAACAAAGTTAAAGACCTTACAATTGCCAACAGCAATCAAGGGAATTGACTCAACACAAATCAAAAAGCCTGAAACTTGCGCAGTCGTTTAAATTTGCAGCCAAAAGGTTTAGATATTATAGCTAAGCACGTTCACCGACCCCAAAGGACACATCTTCCAGCGAAACGCAGCCTCGAAAACGTCGGCTGCGCCGGCGGCCAGCAGGCGGTCGCGCCATAGGCCGCGGCGGCTGGAGGAGGCCGAGGCCAAGGGCACAAGGAAGACCTGTCGCTCTATTTCCGAAATTCAGCAAAAGCAGAATTAAACAAAAGGTATGTTTATATTCCGAAATAGAGAGGTCGAAATCTCAACATATTTACTATAAACAAGAGATCTCAGATTTATGTTAGGGGACGGGTCTGAAGGGTTCGGCAAAAGGGGACCAGTGGGGGGGGCGGAGGGGGGGGGGGGAAATCTCGAGTACTTAGGGAGGTTAACATCAACCATGTTTGTCCTGTTGGGTTCCCTTTAAATTAAAACTGGTATCCTTTTGAATGAACCAGAAATGGGGGTTCCCTTAAAATTGCGCGTACATCTGTGCGCCAATTAGTTTCTAGCCCCGCTCGGTTCAACAAGTACCATGTGCTAGAGCCTTCCGGAGGCTGGGGTTCGGCCGCATAGGGCTGCCTATCTGGTGGCAGTTGGGAGTTGCTCGGGTTTGGTTTCAGGTCAGTCTTAAGCTGGCTGAGAAGGCGGGCCCAGTCTTAGGTTTGTTTGTGGTGAAATGATGTAGGGCCGAGAGGGTGGGTTTGGGCTGGCTTCGCGTATTTGCACTAAGTGTGGCAGGCTTAGCAGTGGCTTCAGGATTGCTTTAGGGTGCGGTTGCGTGGGTTTTGGGCTAGTTTTGGTGGTTTGGGGCAACAACCTCGAGAAACTCTCAACTGCCACCAAAGAGCCAATAGGCCTACGTCCAAGTCAGGCCGGTGATACTGGGGATGCGGCAACCCAAGCAACCCAGCAACCAACCAAACACCCACCCAGGGTTAGCCCCAACCCGGCCCGCGGCTAGTGAACAACAGAACGGTTCTGGAAACACTTTTGTGTAACTCTGCTTTCTTTGCGGTCCTTGTATGTGCTTTTTGGGTGTTCAAACATCACCTTTTCAGCCATTTACGCATAAGTTTGCTTTTGGTGAGGTTTGCAGGGCTCCCCAAACCTCCGTGGGTCATGGGGAATTTTGGCAGTTGAGTTTAGGCGGAGGTCTCGGGAACGCTTTGTGGCCGGGCCTTGGAACGAAATGTGCCCCTTCCGGTGCGTTGATACAAGACGGGGATCTCCAGTGGACAAACAAAAGTGTTTACAAAAGAACATCAGGCCAAGAACCCAATTGAAGCATGACCACTGGGAAATCATGGATTCATACATTATACCATTGACAAACAGCTGGATGTGAGACTCACATGAAGCCTTTTGCAGCCCCCCTACCTTGCAACATGCACCCAAAACGCACAAGCCATCCCGCAATCAGAATTAGGGTTTTCCGCATAGCCCTAGGGTGCTATGCACACGATTGTCTTGCGATACAAGCTGGGGCATGTGTCTTGGAACCTGTCTAGTCAAGAACGGGCACGTTACGTAGACACCAAGCACGTATAATACCAGCATCTTCTGCATACGTCAGTAAACAAATCTCAAAGCGAGCTGGTTGATGACAAATCCGGGCGACTTGTGGCTTTCGGTGTTTTCAATATCAAAGTAGGTCATCCCCATGAAAAACTTGTCACCTTGACGGGGGATCCACTTGGCCACTCACAGGCATTGGCCACACATTTTGTGTTGGGTGACCCGTTTTTCAGGGTTCTAACACGTGGACATCCAACAGTGGTTGGTGCCAGCGATCAGCGGCTCCGTGGCCTTCAAATCCTTCGCCCACTGCTCCGAAGCCATGGACTCGTGCCATGGCGCCAGCGCCGCCGGAGTGTCTAGATCAGGTGCCTTGAGGACAGGTTTTCCGATATCACCTTAGGCCCAACCAGTAAAATCACGCAAAGGGAACCATAGGAAGCACAGAAAGAAGCTCCTTCAACACGCGTGTTTTACAGTACTACCCGATTCAAATATCGCCCTCAAACAAACAGCTCTTCTGAGCTTGCTGCGGAAAGTGATGTGTCAAACGATTAAAAGAAGGGACATCTAGTGTACAGTAGGGAGCCCTGGAAATCTGTGTTGCGCAGGGTCGAAGACAAGTCAGTTCAATCACTCATGATTATACAGTGTTAGGTAGGACTCCCGGTCCCAAAACACTACTGGCAGCTACTTCGAAACTTTGAGCGTAACAATGTGTATATGTATGTATATATATATATATGTATATCCTTTTTAGTGTGTATGGTCGCATGCCCTGGTATATCTTTACTGCTGTGTGTTCACATTGCAATTATAGTAGTATACAACGACATGCATCCACTACCCACACAAACACACACACACACATGTATATATGTATATTATTGTGTCATTGCCAAAGGCGTTCACCAACCTGGCCAATGCAAATTATTATCAGTCTCTCTTCCCCCCTCTCCCTCCTCACCATAGTGAGGTCTAGCAAGCCTCTAGAGCCGTGGTCAAACGGCTGAGGTCAGTCGCGACGATCCACCGCTCGAGACAGGGTCAGCGGGGCCAAAACAAACTATACAACAAAGGGTTGATTGATCCTCGGCCAATATCAAAGGCATCCTGAAACAAGAAACCCGTTTGGGGTCCTCTGATCAATTGTGTGTATTGGGCTTCTTGCTCAATAGCTGCTCTTTGCTGTGCCCCGGTACAAATGAATGGATATGCATTCAGAACCAATGGATTCTTGCAACTGACCAAATGACCCGACCCAAAAAGCGATGTTCAAATCGTATAGTACAGTCAAGATAAACATATCAGGACCCCGTTGGATGTGCCCACCCCTCCTCGCTTCGAATCGAATCACGGCATCCAATAATTGATCGAAGACAGAAGTCTGCGCTCCTCCGGAGAGAAAAAGGCGTGTCAAATCCTGAAGGTTCCCCCAAGAGGACATGGGAAACGTTGGTTCTATCTTTGGGGACTGTGTGGCTGAAATTTGGAGCTAGTCCTCGTGTCCCTCCCAAATGGACTATAGACTATGCTGGAAGCCAATCTTGCACTAATTCATTTAGGTGAACCTGGGGAATACCCTTTGTAGATGCCCATGCTTTGATAAATCTGAGTGCGTTTCTCATTGGTTTCTTACCTTCAAATTTTGGAATGCCTATCCTGGTCCAGCTGCGAAGGAGTGGAAGTAAACCGCGGCCCCTTGAAGTAGAAAAAAGACAGTGGTAGCACATGGGCCTCAAAGTGCTCGGTTTCCCATGGGTCATATCACTTGGATGCCTTACACTTGTCAACTGGGTCCATTACTATCCCCGATGCCAACAAATAATAAACCCAACAAGTGGACAGCAAAGTTTCGGAAGACTACCAGCATCTCGGGGGATTCACTTCCACTAGCAGAAAACAAACAAACTAGTTGTACATACTCTTCGGATTTCCATTAGAGAAAGACTACTACTGTAGTCTTTAGCACACGGGCCGCTAGAATGGGGTTGTGGGGTACTTTCAAACCGAATTATGCAAGTCACGATCATGAGAGAAACATGTGCGCAGTATGTGGGTTTGTCTCAAAATAAGGAAGCTTTCAATTTGGTCTGTTTCCTTTTGGCTTCCCTTTAAAACAACCCCAAAAAGGGTACTCTGGGAAAGAATGGCACGCAGCCATTTAGCACTTTATAGCACTTTCTTCGCATTAGGAAGCCCCTTGGTGTTGGGTGCTTGGTTCGTACGCCCTCTTTGCACCGCGACCGGACACAGCAACGCCTCTCGTCTCTTGCCAAAAGAATGCAACATGTGTTCTCTTCCCTAAGCCACCCCTCGAAATACAGTAAAACACCCTCAACTTCTACAGATATCTGTGTAACCAACCTCTCTATGGCAAGCCGCGATCTTGGCGACTCAGGGCGAGTGCCCAGCTAATCTACATGGCACTTCTCGGTGCCCAGCCGATAGGCCGTCCAGCCTGGCCTGACCGGACCGGGCGGTCACAGGTCACAGGCCCAGAAAAGCCTGGCTTCGTCATCTGAGCCACGGTCAAAATCACTTCTTTCCTCGAGAGGGCATGGGACATGGAGCGAGTCCGCTGGCTTGAAATTGAGTCCCCCACGCCCCCGACTAGACCATAGACTGCCAATTTGGATCGAACCGCATCTTGGTTTCGCTTCAAGGGTGAAGGGTACAGCCTTGACAAGAAGGATTCAAAGCTGGAAGCGCGTAAACCACCCAAAGGACCTCGTTCAAACTGGAGAACACACTTACTAAGATTCTCAACACCAAGGGGTAGAAGGACACGTTGGCTTTCTTATAGACCGGCTCTGTGGCCTCTTTCCGCCAAAAGCCGGCGCGGGTCACCCCAAACTGACCCCCGGGCCAAATGAGCAGCCGGGTCTGAGAGACCCACACCCAGTTGAAAAGGTCCACAACCTCAGCCCAATCCAATCCATCTATCAAAGCTTCAAACCAACCACACCCGATCCTTGAGACCCCATGTTTGGGTTCCCTCCATGAATTTGCAGGGGAGCATGTTGCTGTCCAGGACCCCGGCTCTGCTGGAAATCTGTCCATTCAACCCGCTGCTCAAAGGTTTGGCCCGTGTGCCGTTGCCACACCAAGGTCACACGAGTGTCTCGAATTAAGCGCCCTCGGCCGAGATGGGCATGGTCCTGGAAACTACCCTCCCGAAAACAAACAAACACAAAACTGGAACCTGAAATAGACCTGCTGGCTCAAGACCTGGCTCGCAAAACATGGGACCAGCTTTTTTTCCGCCCGGGCGCAAATCGAAAGGCTAACGGGTCAAAGCCAAAGGGCACACAAATTGCGCAGAACAAGTCTGTCACAAACTGTCGACCAGTTTGAACCCCAGGCTGTCAAGAGCTCATTTGCAGGCGCCAGCTGCAACTACGTAAACAGTAAACAGCAAATACAATATAACTAAGCTCGAGTCAAAGCTGGTATACAAATGCCCCAAGAGCCCAGGCTGTTCTCCGTTTTGGTTTGGAGGCCCACAATGAAACAAGGTTCGATTCCAGAGCCTGGGTTTCTTGAGCGTGTGCATGGTCTGCGGTTACCTGTTCTGTGTCCTTGTTTTTTTCTTGGGGACCCCCCGTTCTCCCAAAACATGTAGCCAAGTATGCGCAGGCTGACTGCTGAGACTGCAATGGCCAAAACAGTTCAAACTCTTGCATCTTGGCTAAAGCGATCATCAATCTGTCAACAGGCCTTGAAAAGCTTGCCAACTCAATAGGTAATATGCCGGGTAGCTGAACACCCATTTCTGCAGGAAGCATCTAGGCCGGATGCCGCCGCTGACGCGCGAATTCCGCAAATTCGATGCCTGAAAGGCGTGAGTGAAACCCTGCTGCAACGGATGGAATCCGTTGGCCTGCATCTTGCAAGGCAACGGCACATGACGCGAGTACCAAGCCTTCCTCAGCTTTGGCCGCCCCAGCCAACTGTATATATATATATGCATTTTATGGGCCATGTTCAAATTGAGTGAACCTGTAGATCAGGGAAGACCGCATTGGAATGTGAATTGGTGGGAAGTGTGTTTACTCATTGCCTATCATCATCCCCCCCTCGAAAGCGACTGGGCAGCATAACCTTGCAAACGACCCACAGCCTCCACTAAACTTGCACTGTTCCTGCTTGCCTTGTTGGCCTGCTTCAAGATGAAGCAATTGCCCAACGGTGGCTGTCTCAAACATTTTTGTGGCCTCCAAGGGCAGCCAATTGCAATCTGCAATGTAGCGCTTGCCCAATCTGCCATCTCTCAACCAATGTAACCTCGTCTTCCCTGGTCTGGAGGTAATACCCAAACGGCCAGAACATGGCAGCCTGAATGTGAACCCTGTGTCCACATTGGATCCTCTTTGTGTCACCCAAGTGGTAGGTCGAAGGGAAACAACATGAAACAACGAAACAACCCCAGCTTCCAACCTGAACCAGCTAAACCATGGAACCGCGTTTTTCGGCTGGCGCTCATGTTGCCATCTGCCGTCTTGCCAACTGCGCTCGCGACCTCACTTCGGGGGCTCGGGCATGGGCTTGGCCAAGACGTGGTCAATCTCCTGCCAAAGCACAACAAGTTGCCCTCCCACCAATGAGCATGGAAGTGTGCAGGCTCTCTTTACAAGAATCACATCGTTTTCCAAAACGTTTTGGTGCACCAAACCAAAGTTTTTTTCTTTGGTTATGTTCCAATGTTCGGAGGAATTGCAAACAACCATTCCATAAGGCCAAACGAAAGCGCCACAGCGGCTTGCAACGTATTTGCCAGGGCAAACTACAATTTGCCGATCGAAAACGAGAGATCTCAATACAAGGAGCCTGCATGGAGCGAAATGGGCATGCGCCGAAACCCGTGAACCCCTGGTAGGTCCATGGTAACCAGAAACAATACTGAATCCAACCAAATGAACCATTGTCCATAGGCACCTGCTCATGAAGCCAGTGGAGTTGGACCATTCTGTGAGTTGGATTTCGAGGCCTCGCGGAAAATCGCGAAACAACATGCGCAAAGGTGCCTCCCTGTCCATGGTACAGCTGTGGAATACATGTAAATCGTTCCCAATGAGTTGTCCCGAAGGCAAGCACCTCACTTCTGCTTAGCCCTCAGCCAAGGCCCATGGCTCCAGCAAAGCAAACCCGCCATTAAAAAAATGTTAAGGCTGGTCAATAATTGAAAGCTGTTTTTCCCTTATTATGGTTCGCCCCCCATTGTTGATGGGGACCAGAATAACAGAAAGTTGCTTTGCCCGGCAAGAAAATTCAAAAAAAGTAATATATATTAAGATATATATCCACAAATAAATGTTAATTTAAAAACAATCCCCTCCAGCCCCCGCTCCCAGAAAACAAACTATCAGTCGCTTTACTCAAAAGCATTCCCCTTTCAATTGGTGGCCCACTTGCTTATATAAAAGCATTCCCCTTTCAATTGGTGGCCCACTTGCTTAAAAGCATCCCCTTTCAATTGGTTGCCCAAATGCAAAACCCAAAGCCAGCTGAAACCTCTGAAACTTGAAAACCATCCCCAGCCCTGAAACTGCAAATTATTTATTAAACCGTCTTAGTGGGCTGGCACAGGCTCTGCGGCACCATGCTGGTGAAGATTGCCACGGCGAGGTACAGCAAGGTGAGCGCGTCACCGTCTGCTGCGCCAAATTGAGAAACAAGTCCCAGCAGCACCAGGAATGACGGAGAAATGAACTCCCCTGCGGCCAGCACAGACCCCGAGTTGTACACCTTTGTCTTCCCCAAGGTCAAATCGGCAGGTATGGTCAGCCGCTCTGCGCCTCCGCTGAGCTCTGGGCGCCTGCTGGAGGCACGATGTCGCGCGCTGCCACTGTCTTCCACTATGTGGGCTCCATCCTCCAGAGCTGCAACCTTGGGATTCGCTGCCGCATTTGCCACCCGCGCTGGCGGAGGTGTCCCCAGGAGGTTCGTGATCCCGGCACGTCGCGTCATGGCTGCACGTCCGACAAAATGGCCAGAACAAATTGACGTAACAGTGTTAAAAAGATGCAGGACAAGGGTACCCGTACCCCTCACAGACCCCACTGAACCACAACAATGGCATCCTTTCGGGGGACCACATTAGTCTGCAAGCCCCCACCCCCCCCTCCCAGAAAATAAGCTATCAGTTGATTTACTCAAAAGCATTCCCCTTTCAATTGGTGGCCCACTTGCTTAACAGCATTCCCCTTTGAATTGGTTTCTCAAACACAAAACCCAAAGCCAGCTGAAACCTCTGAAATTTGAAAACCATCCCCAGCCCTCCCTGGCTCAAGCTCAAGCCCTCCCTGGCTAAAAGGCACACCCTTTGAATGGCTACAGAAAGAACTGAAAGGGAAGTGACTGCAATACTAAAGTAGTATTCCAAAAAGTATGCTCAGGAAGAAGTGGTTGCAATACTAAAGTAGTATTCCAAAAAGTCTGCTCAGGAAGTGGTGGTTGCAATACTAAAGTAGAATTGCAAAAAGGAAGCGGCTGCAATACTAAAGTAGAATTGGGGACGTCCCAAAAGTGAGCCTACTTTTTTCTAGCGCCTCCATTGTTGAGGGGGGGGGCCTTTATTAATCAAATCAAGTGCCAACATTAGTTTCTGGGACCTGGGAGGGCTCATGTTTTGCCTGTAGGGGGAACCGGGTGAAAAGGCGTCGGGGAAGTGAGGGGGCATCCTGCCTTTGGCCATTTCACGATTATGAGGCGGAAAGCAATGCTCTGAGGGTGGGTGTGCTTGGGGATGTCCACAGGTGTGATTAGGCCCTAGGCCACAACATCATATTTACAAACCAAACAAACTTTGAGAGAAATATAGGGAATGCAAACAAACAACAACACCAAGAAAAAAACAACAAAAACAGTGTCGAGGGAAATGCGTTAGTCACGCCAAACTACCTGAATACCTGTTGTCTTGGAGATTGTTGTTTTTTTTCCCTCGAGGTTGTTTTGTTTGAGATTGGCCATTGCTTGCAGATCTCTCTCACGCAAGAGCTTTCTGGAAAGAAAGTGCGGCTACGTTCCTCACAGTAGACCGCTAGAAACAGTGTGGTGACCCAGCTTGCTTCGCAGGTGTGTTTGATTGACAAACATCTGGTGCCTTCACTTGCAGTTGGCAAAGGCAGGAAAATGCCATGACTGAACCCCGCTATTCAGTGAAAAAAACAAAACAATCGCATCATATCTGATACATGTTACATATCAACGATGCAACCCCCCGCCGCCCCCCCCCCCCCCCCATATTTCCTATAGAGGGCAGTGTCCCGAGTGCATTTCGCCATTGTAAAGTAGTGCTATCTAAACCAAGCTTGAAGTATGCGAGACATATGTGGGAACCGAGCTAAGTACAATTAAGCTAAGCCAACACATTTAGCGAAGGACACATGCTCGAGATACAAAAGGAAGGCACTAAACACATGCTGAACCTTCTAGACATGTACTGTGTGCGATCATATGCGACGAAAGCAAGCATGGACAGAAATCCATATGCAATGGCCACCCAAGAATCCCCAAGGAACACATTCCATAGCTTCGTGGTCTTCAGATCCGTCAGAACAGGAAGTGATGGATCACCTTGCCCTCGGGTCTAAGACGACCCGAGGAATGCCGATGACATCGGATCATCTTGTGCTCCTTAATGTTGACCCTTGATTTTCTTACCCCCCAGTTCATCAGGAAGGTCCCTGGAAGAAAGGATTCACCAAAACGGGACTCCCCTAATACTGTGGATGGACGAAATCCTGCACCAACTCAGAAACCTGGCATGATGATTTCCCTGGTAAATACAGACAAACAATGGCTTCCCATGGCTTTAAGTTGGTGCAGGAGTTCGGGTAGGTCGAAAGGTCTGGGCTGACATCCCCTTTCCCACTTATAACTGAGTCCATTCAAGTACCATCCTCAAGATTACCCTCTAAAAAGCGGTTCCGGAAACCACCCGCAAACGTAGTTTTGATTCGTCCAGTGTTCAAACGGGACCCCGACAGACCGTCCCAAAGCGCTGCCCTGCGCAAAGCCCCAACCACACCGCTCGCTCGCTCGCTCGCTTCGCCTGGAGGCCACGCTGCAGTTCCTCGAGTGCCCGGTCCACCGCGTCCAGGGAGGGCGTGCTCTGTGGCGCCTAAAGCGCGAAAGCGTCGCTTATGGCGGAGTTGCAAGCGGGCACCTTCCCCCTATTTGGCCTAGGTCCTCCAGTAGAAAAGGAATAAGGGTACCCTTTGTTCTGTAGTCTATTTTAGTAGGGGGACCCTTCCACAACAAAGGGTAAAAGGGCACTACTGGAAGACTTAGTGGTGGTTTGGTGTGCCTTCCCCATTTGGTCTCTGAAGGAGCTGGGGTTCAAATCCCCAAGCAATCCAAAGTTTTGCCTGTGCACTTAGATTGTGCTTCCAAACCCCATGAACTTGGGTCTTTCTCGAGTTCCCGTTAGGACATCCTTAAGAAAAAACAAAACAGAGGGCACTTTTGCTGGTATTTAATTTCAACGGAAACCCCTTTTAAAAGAAACGGCAAAAGGAGGTCTGGCAAACTGCTCATCTCGCCCGCCTCGCTCTCGCCGATGATGCCGTCACGGATCAGGGCCTGGTGAGTGTCCTGCGGATAACCCGTGCTGCAAGTTCATTCAACTGGGGTCAGGTTGTCCAAGTGAATTCCGCTGCATGACTTCACCAAGTCCAAGGGGGGAATTTTGGCGCTCCATGATTTTAAGGCAACAAGCTTTGCTTGTCCGTTCTGAGGGGTGCCCTTTTGCAGACAGTTTGGAATGTAAAAAGACCGGAAAACGCTCAGGGTCTGGCCCCTCAACTATGAGGCAAAGCCAGACAGGCAGGCTTTGGGGACGCATCTCAATGTGTGGATCGCCTGTGACTCTGACAACCATGTGACTGTTTGTTCCATATTGGTCTTGGTGAAAACTCCGCTAGCATCCAAGTTGTGGGACATGTTGCCATCACACCCTTGATGTGCAACCCTGCAATGGCTGTCCGAGTTCCCCATTGAGCGGTCTACGACCATGCCGTTTGATCTCAAGAACATACAGGTGTTTAGATCAGGAACTATCGCCAGAAGGAGGGCAATAAAGCCTGCAAGATGCAATTTGTTATCCGGTGCTTCGACCATAGTACATAGTAGCAAGTATTCAAAACACATGGGCCAGTGCCAAAAGCACCTTCCAACAAAGGCAGCAGCGTCGACTTTCGTGTTCTGCTCAATGGAGTTCAACTCTTTCCATGCCTTCAATTTTGTCTTAGGGCCAATCAAACATATTCGCACCCATGGACTCACTTTTTGTTGCCTGCCGAACATGGACCTCTGGCCAGTCATCGAGCCCTGAGCCCGGCGCCGATGTTTAAAACCATTCAAAACCTGAGCCGAAGTGCGATCCTCATGTATTGAACCCCCACAAGAACAAGCCGAGGTCTTCATCCCACTGGCATCGCATGCTGAAAGGAAACCACTAGTGCTCTTTGCGTGGTATACTACCTCAGCTTCGCACCCCCAATTACGGATAAGTATTTCGTTTGATTCTCGTCCATACAAACTGAGTTGTTTTTGGGGTTGAGAGCCCATGAAATCACCCGAGCCTGCACCAACTGCTCCAACTGCCGCGTGGCGCTGTCCAGGTTCAGGGGCTCATTTTGGCTCTCCCGGCTTGCCTGGCACAACCGGTGAGGCAGTCCAGTTTCGCACGTGTTCTCAGGTGCTTGTGGCAAAATAATAAATCAATCATATAAAGGTTTATGCTCACTTTCTGACAAATTTATGTCTGTTTGTTTTGGGGTTGGGAGTGTTTCATTAAAATACAAGTTTTCGTTGTGTTCTGAGGCACCTCCTTCCTGAAATGTCGGCACCAGCGAAAGGACCTCTTCCCGTCGACGAGTCTGGCACTGACTCACTTCTGTGGTTTGCTAGCAACATAGGTCCGGTCAAACAAACCGCCTAGGGGGACTCTGGCAGATCCTTTCCAAAGCATGTTTCACTCCCTGCGCGTGCAATTGAAAGGCCCGAAATGCAGGGTGGCCACGCTTTGTTTTGGGCTTGCCTTGGCTGAAACACAAGCACTGACTTGTCGGGTGCATTGACCGCATGGGCATTTGTGGCCCACAGCTAGCGCTGCCAGCATTGAAAGCCTATTCGAGCCCTGCTGCTGCAACAGCATCACGTATCACACTCCCTTGGTGACATTGCCCTCATTCCGCTTCCGCAATTCGCTGAGGTACCTCTGCAGCCGTTCTTTCATGTGAGCAGGCAGCTGGTGCTGAGCTGCAAAATCTGCAGCAACCTCCGCCACATCGTCGGCCTCGTAGAGCACAAGCTTTTGAGGCGGTATGTCCCTCGAAACACTGACCTCGGCAATGAGTATGGGGCGGATCTCCTTCTCTACGCTGCAGTCAGCCTCCCGATTTCCCACTGCCGACGAACTTCTGCCTGCTTTAGCTTTCGCTCGCTGCGCTTGCTGTTTAGGCTGCCCAGGCAGCTTCTGCCGGCGGACGCTGGAACGAGGTGGCTCGATGCATGTTGAAGAAGTACCTGAACCGCCAGGGTCTGCCTGAGGTGCTCCGTCCACCAGGACCTGGGATTGCTTCGTGCACAATGGTGAGACTGGAGAAGCTGCCTGCACCATGGTCGAATAGTGGCGCTTTCCCAGAGACTCAGAGCCGTTTCGCGCGTAGGGTGAGTCCAATGTTCCCTCTGGCCGTGCTTTTGCAGTGACAAACTGACTGCAGCGCTCTTCCAGCAAGCGGCGCTTGCTGTAGTTCTCCGCAAAGGCCTTTCGGAGGCGCTGAGCTGAAGCATCCGCCCCGCGGGGTGAGCAGCATGTCTTCGAAGCAAAGCTCTTGTCGCTCTTCTTCAAGTTGGGCCGAAATGTGCAGTCCAACATTTCCTGGTCCAGGCGAGCCTGCTCACGAGCAGCTGCGCTGGCCTCGCGGCGCTGCTGCTCCAGGTTTGCGCGCTCGTAAAGGCGCTGGCCGAGCTGCCTGCTGGGTCGCTCCGCGGAGCGGCTTCGCCGGGAAACCAGGCAGGGCTGGAAGGTGCACTGCTCCACCTCCTCAGCATCACGCTGCTCTCGCAGCCGCTGACGAGACGCCTCAACCTGATTCTTCTGCCAAAGCAGAAGGTCCACGTGGCGGTCGCCAACAGCGCCAGCCTCCGTCAGCTTCTGGCGGAATTGCTGCGCCAGGCGGCGGCTATGTGAGGTGAGCGAAGGGCTGGGAGTCTTCTCGGGTTCTGCCTGGCGCTGCGCTCGCGTCTGGTGCAGGCGATCCAAGTAAAGCTGCTTGAACTCCGTTCGAAGCTGCTTCGGGTTGAACCGCATCAAGAGCTCACAAATCCGAGTGCCCTCAGGATCCGCTGCGGCAGCAGCATCGCGGGCTGCCGCAGTGGCCACCGCCAGCTCCTCCGAGACAGAACCCCCCGGTGTTGCCTGCGGGCTGCCTTTACTCGCGCGCTCCTGCTGTGCCAGGTTATGCAGCCTCTGAGCTTCCTCATCTACGGCACCCATCAACACGTGGAAGAAGACGGTGAGCGTCAGGAAGTCCACAAAGCCCACCTGCTCGGGGTCCAAGTGCCGCCAAAGAGTCATGCGAAGGCGTCGGGACTCCTCCTTCAACCGCTCTGTGGCCAGGAGTGTGGAAGCCGTCTGATCCTTTACGACTCCAAAGTGTCGCAAAAAGTCCTCCAGGGCCGTATACGCGAGGCAGTTCCCATCATCTGTGGACTTGTCAAACGCTTCCCGAATCTGACGCTCCAGCATATGCCAGTAGTACTGCCGCGAGCGGCTGAGAACCTGGCTCCCGCGCTGCTCTGCGTTGGCCTGCTCTGCCTGCGCACTTTGTCGCGCACGCTGCTGCAAGCCTTGGGCATACAGGTGCTCGTGTACATCTGTCCTGCGTGAAGGTCTAAAGTTCTCCTGAGACCTGCTCCTCGGCTGCGCTGCCTTGGCACGTAACCGCTCCTGGGCCACCTTGTAGAGCCGCTCAAAGACACTCGAGAAGGGCTGGCGAGGCAGTTGCCTGGCCATGTTTGTGATCTGGGGCTGGTAAGTGAAGTCACCGTACATCTCTTCCTCAAGACACTCGACCTTCTTCTTCTTGCTCTCAAGCTGCTGCCCCAACCAGTCCTGCAGCCCATCTGAGCGCGTGCGAGGAGTGCCCTCGCGGCTGCCTGACCTTGCAATGAGGCGCGGGGTAAAGGTGCATTGCTCTTCCTCCCGTCGCTTCATCTCCTCCAGCAGCTCTTGGCGCCTGCGCGAGATGCGCTCTTCAGCCTTTGCATGGTGGATCTGGATCTCGCTGTCCTCCCAGCGCCTCCACATTGGCTGCGGGCCCTCACTGTGAGATCGTCGCATCTGCGGACTGTTTGCCAAGTCGATCTGGGCTTGCGACTCATCCGCCGGCATGGCCGGATAGGGCGAGGCCTGGGGCGACGACCTCATCTCCGGAGGCATGCAGAAGGAGGCATGGTACTCGAGCTGCGATTCGTAGAGGGTTTCCTGGCAGCAGCCGCATCGGAAGAGCGCTCCGGCGGGCGGTGGTGGGCCCAGAGGTAGCGGCACCTCCAGCAGGACTGGATCATCTGCACTGGCCTCCGTCATCGAGCGCCTCCTCGTGCAACTTGCACTCCAGCTCTCACGAGCTTCTGGGATAGAGACGCGGCGCTTCTTGCACTCATTGCGCACAGCCCCAGCCCGATGCTTCCATACAAGGTCTGGACAACGCGGCAGCGGCGGCAATGGGAAAAGACGCTTCTGGCGGCCTTCTTGGTACCTGCTTTTAAAAAGACACACGCCTTCCAAAATGGACAGCAGTTCCACTCTCCCCATGTCGAAACGACTTCTCTGCCTTGCCTGAGGCACCTGTGCCGACCGCCTGCTGCCACAGTGCCGGCAGAAGATGGAATCCTGTCAAGTTCCAGCGATTCACGTGGATGGACAAAACCCTGCTTCAGTTGGTGATACATCCCAACTGGTGCTCGATTCTCTCCATTCACAGTGGGTGCTCAATCATTTCGCTAACTTCCACCCCGAGCAAACAAATCACAGTTTCACCCTTTGAGACAAGTCTCAAAAAATCCCTTGCCTTGAAAAGACAAGGCGTTAAAAGCTCAGCATACATTGACTCGCGTACGACATTTGCAAGGGATCGCATTTCTGGGTCCCCACCGTTTTGAAATCCACTTGACATTTGAAGTCCACCGTCATTTTGGTGGCGCGCTCTTGGGGCTGCTTCAAAGTATGTAAAGCAGAACAAAACACCCCGCAAGCAGGGCTCTCCACATTTCTCCTTTAAGCTTCACACGATCACGGAGAATCTGACTTTCAATTGGGTCAAACGCTCAAAAGTCTCCAAAAACTAACTTCTTGTGTGGATTCGCCACAAAAAAGAGAGGCCTGAACTGTGTGTTTCTCTCACTAAAGTTGTCTTCCCAAAGAGATTCAAGTCTGGGACTCGGGAAGCAAAGAGAGTCTTAAACATAGGGACTTCTGAACCCATTGTCTCCTGCGTGAAGGTGCGGCTGCAGCTGGGGCACACCTCGCCTTCGACAACGCGAGCGAGCGGAGGTCTGTCTTCTTTTGGGTGGTCCGAGTGGTGCGACCGGTGGCACCGTTCGGCAGAAATGGAAACAACATGGATCCTTCTTGGGGTTGAGTGAGAGTACAAAAAGGAAGAAATGGGGGGGGGGGTCCCAACTTGGTTAACTTCTTTGGGATGGCCGTTAAAGTGAAATCACACAAAAATCATCGATGTTTTGGGATGTCCAGTTCTTGTAAACACCTAGATGCAGAACCAAGTTGTTTGGAGGGAAGCGGCGATTGCTAGGTATCCCTTTTGAACAAAAGCTATCTGCCTGAAAACTATGTGGTGCAAAATCAATATCACAATCAAACAGACTCATTCAGAGTACTTCCCGAAATCCTCAAAGAGCCACTAGGAATACTTCCGAAATGAAAGGAGCTTCATGGTGATCTCGTTTATGCACCAGGTGAGCTCACCATAAGTTAGGCGTCAAGCTCAACATGGATTCCCATACTCATAGCGTCACGGGAATCCAAATCACCGGCCAATCTCCCTTGGGCTAAGGCAAAGGTTCGAGGTGATTCTCTTTTTGAGGCGCACACTGACACACACACACACGCACACAAATCAAGCGCACAGGCTGCTGATGAAAGAAGGGTCAACACTGTCAGGCATGGCACACCCCAGATTTGCATTATTGTTGGCAGGTGCAAGGCGAGTGCGCGTTTGCTTGGCTTGGACAATCCTTGGGCAAGTTGATGTTATCCGGATCTTGTGGCAGGCATCGACGGGCTTCACTAAAGCACTTGAAGCCTTTCATTCCAATGCTTTGGGACCCCTGGTCCCACTCGTCTCGACCTCCACGAAATTCCGCTTTTGTCTCATAGACTCTGTCAAATGAGCCCAGCCCAGCGCCTCGTTTCACGGGTGCAAAAACAACAACAACGATCAATCTATGTCGTTCCACTTCGGCAGTCGGTCAATTGCAATATATCCAGGTGGGGCGGGGGGGTTGGGGTGGAGGCCCCGGCCTCGATCGGGCTCATAGAAGATCTCCGTCTGCGAGGCGGAGGTGCGTTGGAGAGTTCCCGATGTCGGGGTCCCAAAGCAACAGCGGGCAATGTATATATATATATATATATATAAATGAATATGTACATATGCATATTATATATCTATATATATCTATACATGTGTATACAGGGTCACTTGTTTTCTGGCCTCAAAATGGGGGTCCCGTTTTCTTCTCTGGAATCCGTGGTGGGACACCACCATCTGGCACAAGGATTCTGGATTCTCCTTTGAACAAACCTGATTGTTAGGCAACAAATGCCTGCGATGTGTTTTATGGACGGTGTTGTTTTTGTTTCTTGTTTTGTGGTTGGGAAAAGGCGTCGCTTTGACTGGGCAGCCGAAGAAAGGTGTCTGGACAAGGTGATGGTTCCGGACTAAGAAACACAAAACAACACTCTAAGCAACACTCGAAACCACTCAAAACGATAGTGTGCCCACGAATTCTTAAAGCCCGCTCGTTTTCTCCTCAAGCAATCCAAGCCGACACAACAGCAGCGCAAGACGGTGTACAAATGTACAGAGCAACCAAAGGTTCAACAGCATTTGAACCTCTAAACAGGGTACAAACCAAAACAGGCTTTTGCTCCTTCAAGTAATCACATTGCCTGCTCTGATTGGATAAACGCAGGCCACAAGCAGGCAGGATTGCCTCCGAGAACAAGTGTTCTAGTCAGGGCTTGACATCACACAAATGGGAATGGGTAGAAAGTTTCCCCCTGGACAAGGACACCAAGGGCACCCAATACCAATTGTAGCAATGATCAAATATTGTGATTTGGTCTGTCGTTGTTTCAAGGGGAGCAACTGTGGGCACACTTGCCTTTGGCACACATAGAATCCCAACCTTCCCCGACTATCCGTGGAATCAGGCATTGCTCCGGGAGCCCTGGCAGAAGGGACTCCCCAAACATGGTTTGGTCGTCAAGCTGCTCCAGAAGCAACCCAAACGCAAACACAAGTATGCACCGACCCCCAGTGGCCACAGTGAAAAAAGGGATCTACTGTTGAACAATTGAATTGCCAATACTGGTTTCATGGTGGGACCCTTTTCAATAATTGATGGATGCAAACATAATAAATGTGTTGTTGCGCATATGTGTAACTCTATCAACAAAACTGAAGAACTTGTATGGACTTTGTCGCTCTCAAGATTATGATGAAGCCACTTTGTAGTTTGTCGTGCTTGCCGAGTATCTGTGGGGATTGGGCAAACACTGGAAAACAAAGAACCCAACATGCCGAGAAAACAACACAACACACAAAGAAAGACAACGCTAGCAAAACAAACGATACAAGAAACACCTCCAGTCTCCCCAGCCCAAGATGGGCAGTTCATTGCTTTGTTGGTTTTGCTCTCCTGCTTTCCCGAGGGGTTCTTGTTTCGGTGTACTTGGATTTTGTGATCCAGGAGTGTGCACTGCCTTTATTGTGACGCCAATTCAGACGTGTGATGCCGTGCAATAATTATGCAAAAACAAGCGCACGCTCAGTCCCAGTTCCTTTTTGTGGGAAGCAGCCCCTTTGCTTCTCCCATCTTCTCCAACAAAGGGGCGTGCCGAAAAATACGCAACCACAGAAACACACAAACTAAAACACAAACACAAACACACAAACATAAACACACAACACACAAGTATTGTGAAAAAGCTCACACCACACGCACACACACACACACAGAGATGTTTTTTGGGGGGGGCATCCTGCCTGGCGTGCCGCCTCACGCGCTACCGGCTCTCGAGCTGGAGCCGGTGGCGGCGCCATCGTCGGCTCTCGGAGCGGCGGAGGTGCAGCCAAGGGCCTGAGTCGAAACCTGGGTGAAATAGGGTTAATGTAGGTGTTTATTAAGGGGTCTAGAATAAATGAAAGAATGAAATAATGAAAGAATGAAAGAATGAAAGAATGAAAGAATGAAAGAATGAATGAATGAATGAATGAATGAATGAATGAAAGGAAATGACATGGAATGAAAACAAATGAAATTACATTAAATGAAATGACCCGAAATGGAATGGGAAAGCATGGAATGGAATGAATGGAATGACTGGATGGCTGGATGAATGGAGGAATGGAAAAGTAAATTGAATAGATAACATCCCCTTTGCTTCTTGGGGGTAAGTCAAGCATGGACATTTTTGGCACCCAGGATGGCTTGTAGGATTCAACATGGGTTTTAAAGGGTCCCTTCGGTGGGGTTGCTTGGAGGCCAGTGGGTAGGGATTCGAGAAACTTGCAGTGCGCGCTTGTGCGAATTGCCCACTATGATAACAACAGAAGGCCTTGCCGACAAAATAATATCCATACAAAGGGGGTCACTGTTTCCCACAACCCTGTGCAGGCCCTCAAAATGGGATGGCCTATGAGGGACTGGAGGTGGTGCAAGGGCATGACAGCTGATCCAAAGGTGATGCTGACAATACACATATATATATATATATATCAATATATATATATATTTCAATTGGTGGTTTGGATTGGTGGTTTGGTGGTTAAGGAGTGGTTTCCCTCCCATCTACCCTCTGCAAGGAGTTCAAATCCCCAAACCACCGATCCAAACCACCAATTAAGGCTTACCTGAATAGGAAAAGTATATATATAAATATACCATGTTCATATACATCCATATGCTACTGTATACAGACATATTAGCTATTAGATGTATATGCAAAGGAGCGCCCAGGCTGTCTCCGAATTCTCGTTTCGTTTCAGCATGTTTCAGCCCAAGGCGCTCGGCCCGGGGCGGCGGCACGAAGGTCACCGGCTCGCGGAAGTGCCCGGAGCTGCGGCCATCGAAGCTGATGCTGGGCGCCTGCGCGATTTCCCGCCGGCGTTCCCGGCTTTCCCGGCTTGGTTGACGATGGAAGGGGAGCAACAAATTTACGTTTTAGCAGTCAAGTGGCTGGATATCAACCACTAAACCACAATAAGCAAACATGTAAAATGTTGCCCAACAACCATGGCTTGGGAAAGCGGTCCAAAGAACTGGATCTGTGCTTGGGGTGGTGCTTGAGTTTGGTGGGGTTTGGCAGGTTTGCTCTGGTTGGGGGGTGGTGATGTTTGAGTTTGGGGGGGGAATGGCAGGTTTTGAGAACCTTTTTGAATCACTACACCACCCCAAGTGTCAGGAGTTTCCATCAGGGTCCGTTTGGAGGTTGGGTCTGGGTTGTTGAACATGTGAGGGATGCCGGGTTCCCGACAAACCGCAGTGGGACACCAAAAGGTACGCCACGTGATCCATCTGACGGGATGAGTTGAAAGATCCCTTCACAAACCCCAAGCCAAAGCAGAATATGGCACTTGGGGCTTTGCTCGACTCAAAGAAGCCTTATGGTGAGCTTCACCGAACGCAAACAAAAATGAACAAATTCCCCGGGCGCACCTCCTTGGGTTGGTACAGCTCCGCCAGCAGATTCCGCGAGCTGCGCCGGCCCCGGCCCCGGCCCTGGGCTGTGGCCGGCTCAGCCGGCCTCGCTGCCGGGGAGAAGGCCACTGGCTCCATTGGCTGAGGCCTCTCCTGAAGGTCTTAATTCTTGGCCTTTGGACCCAGTGGTTCGCTGTGGGGTCTAAGAGGGGTTTCACTGCAAGGGAAAACTGGACCTCTGTTACATAGTGGTTGTGTAGCCAAGTTTCTCCTTGGTAGTTTGGGGGCAGTGGAAATCATGGACAGGTCCGGGGACACAGACCCCTTCCCACGATGGTGTGACTTGTTTGGCGGTTTCAGCAGCTTTGACTCCAAATGAACCGAGCAAAAACAAAGCCAGGCTAAGCTTTGGGCACAGGACTTAACATTAGGACATCTGTTGCGTGCATAACGCCATTTCGCGTGGCGTGGCCGACATGCTAAGAAAGCTCACACGAAACATCCTGGATCATGGGAAGGCCTTGATCTTCCAGGAGCGGCCCGGCACAAAACCCTGGGATGACTTACCAAAATGTGAGATTGACACTAAACAGCGCTATTGATCCTCACTAAACAGGATTGTTCTTGCGATTCTGCTGCCTTTGCACAAGTCCGTCCCTCGTTGTGGAGCAAGGTGTTAAGTGCCACCTTGGGACCTGGATTCAAAGAATGGGCTCAGGGCTGCGTGCAAAGTAGGGGCCTCAAGACCTGTCCATATATCCCACTAGAGCGGCTGCTCTTGACAGCCTGCTGGGGTGAAAGAAAGAACAGAATACAAGAAATCCAACATGCAATTGCTTCAGGAGACCCCCATGCCCAATTCACAAATTATCCCAAAGGCCCAGTGAACCTTGTCGACTATGCAACCAGCACCAGGCCGAACTGTGAGGCGTTTCGCAACCCTGCGATGAGCACACCGTCCTTTGGCGCAGAGGTTGTCCTGGCGAGGCACACGCGCAAATGGCAAACATCCAGCAGGTGCTTCCACAAACATCTGCACACCATTCCCTGAACTTAAAACCTTTGCAATGGGATATCATGGGTAAGCTCATCTTACCACGAGAGGATCAGAGTTATGTGCAGAAGGCCATGTGAAGTAGCTCATGAAACGCAAAGTACTCCTGTCCAAGTTGCAACTGGAATCCTCCGAAGCATACATGCGTAAAGTACACACCTCCCTTCAGATGAAAGGCCTCTGGAAGAAGAATGGCCCTCCCAATGAACGGTGAGGACGTCCAAACCACCAGCTTGAAGAAACGTGCCCTCTAAAATCCGCTTTTCACTCCATGCTGGAGAGAGGGGGGAGAGAGAGAGAGAGAGGGAGAGAGAGAGAGAGAGAGAGCAAGAAAGCGACACCTGTGGGATTGGGCGTGCAGGTGCATGCCAAACATAGGGAGCCCTCCAGATCTTTTGGTTTCATGTTAATTGCCTGTTCAACAAATATTCCCGCCCCAAAAAAAAAAACAAACTCCGCACTGTTGGAGCACTGATGAGCAGTGCCATCTGCCCTCAGTCCGGATGAATCATATGCTTAAAAAGGTTGCCAATGAGTCCTTAGAAGCCTGTATGTAAGGATTTCGCATGGACTGTCCCGAATCTTTGCCTTTGGCCGTGGAAAAAGGAGCTCTGCCTCGCGCAAAAAGGAAACCGGGCACCACTGGAGGTGAGGGAGAGTGGGTTGCATTCAAAGCCATACCTTTAAGGTTCCCAAACAAACAATGTCCAAATCACAACATACAACATGTACGCAAAAACACCTTGGTGACCAATATGTTCGAGACACAACAATAGTTTAGCTCTTGAATGTGAAACAAATACTTGTTTTTGTAGCTGCAGACATCTGCTACAATTATGAGCCCTGAAGAACCACAGCTCAGCGCTGGAAACGCGGCACCGTCGGGTCGGTTCCTTCCCCGCACCGGCCGGCTGGTGGTGCGTCTCCTGAAGCCAAGCTGCAACTTGAATGGCTTAGGATGCAGCCCTCCTCTTCACTCCCCTGGCTTTCTCCAAATGGCTGCCGGCTGCAAAGTGGGCCTTGTCAGGGAGTCCTCTGAATCGAAGAGCACGCAGCTAAGGGAGCAACATAATCTGGGTGCTACATTGGATGTCTGGAAAGATAAACAATACCCCCCCCAATAGGAAGCAACTAATATGTACTCAGAAGTCCAATTTCCCAGGGGGAAACAACAGCTGAAACAGGCGCTCGCATTTTTCCTGGTTGGTTTTGAACTCATCGCACACCCTTCCCCTGCCAAGCAACCACCTGACGCATTGAAAAACCCGAAACCCCCGTCCTGGGCCGCACCTCCACCCGGAGCTGCGCTGAGGGGACGCTCAGCAGATTCCGCTGGCCCCGGGGCGGCCGGGGGCTTGGAGTCTTGTCCTCGCGCGGAAGGAACCGCCAGGGATGGCCCGTTGGGGGCATTCCCTCTGAGCAAGCAAAAGAACCCAGAGAGTTCTTTGTTACCCGAGGATTTCTGAGGCCAAAAAGAGACTAAAGCCTCACTAGAGAAAGCCATCCGGCGCAGCCTCCCCTTTCATAGAAGCTCTGTCATCCAAACATGTGTTCATTTCAAAAAAGAAGGAATAAATACATATCTTCAGCACCCTGGCTATGTGCTGTGCGGTCGCTCTTAAAGCTTGGATGCTTGGTCTGAGGCTCAGGTTTGACCCCTCCTGCCCCGGGAAGCTCCGCAGCTCCTCCAGAAGGCTTTGGCCCCTGCGATGCTGTCGAAGCGAGTACCCCGACAAAGCTTTCTATTGACCTCCTTACTGTGTGAGCCAAGCCAAACAAGCATTCCTTTCAGTTTCCCTTCAAACGCAAAAGAGGTTCTGAGCCTGTAAGTTGATCCGCAAGTTGTGCAGGTAGGGTTGGGTATCGAGGTTGATCCCTCGAACCACGTCGCTCTGGCCTTCCCGCCAACCATTGCTGTGACTATCCTGCCGAAACCTTAGGCTCCGTCAAAACGTGCTTCCCCACAGGAAACTCGTGGATGAAAAACCATGGCAAACCAACCCAGCGGGGTTGGCGCCCGGCTTTTTTGAGAGCACCCCCAAATATTCTAACCCCTTCCTTTCAAGGACTTCTTTTCCCACAACGGGAACAACGAGGCACTCAATTCTAGGGCCTGGCCAGTTGCAATTTTAGGAGCACGTGCAAGAGTTGCACACCTTTTGGATGGTGGATAATAGGCACTGGATGTTTCTCCGTAGTTTTCGGGCAAAGACATGCCAAAGGACAAGCAGGTTCTGGTTGCAAACCTCTTTGTGGACACCAACTCGAGCAGCACCCAAAGCCCATAGGCGTTTGGTTCCACCAGCATGGCGATGAAGGTCTATACAGGTCCTGCAAAAACCACCATGAAACGAGGTACTGGACAGCATAAAAAAGCGGTAAGGATACAATGCTTCATGTTTCAAGCTGGCCCCAAAGGGGTGGTGTAGCTGATCTTGTCCCACGTGAACTTCGCCCTAAAGCGATGGAAGCACAAGCCTCAACACCAAACATCTCACTTAGTTTCCCTTTGGGTGGATTCAACATTATGAATCTAAAATTTAGCACCCAGCTTGTCTGACCCCTTGTCAGGCAATCAATGGGACCCTCTCAACAGGTTGACAGGCGTTGTGCAAAGTCATTCTTTCTGTACCTACAAATCAATTGACCTCAAAGCTGGCCCAATTAAGACTTGCCTAATTTCTGGATGCATCCACCATCCCGCAAAGCGGCCAGCTGCAACTACCTCCTCCCGCAGACCACCTTCTCCCTCGGAACCAGTTTAATCTGAGGTTTGACCTTTCAGGGGGGCAGCGGGGCAGGGCTCATTCATCCGACGTTAACATTAAATGATACAAAGGTCTGTCTCTGTGGTTTCAAACATGGGAATCTGTTCCAATGGGCTGTTCCCAGATCCCCTGCTAAGAGTTTCAAAAAAAAAACATGGCTTCATGGAAACTCCCACTAAACCGCCCCCCCCCCCCCCAAAAAAAAAAAAAACAATCATAAAGCCTAAGGACCCGGATGGCTGGGAGCCACCAAGCCCCACCATTTCCTTCCCCCTCCCCCGTGACGCGAGACGTCCCCCCCAGCCGCGCCTGCGGGGCTTGGGGTCCTTGGGCTTCGGCTTCTTCGGCTCCGGCACCTCGTCGGCTCCAGAAGCCACGAGGAGCACGAGCGCTTGCGTAGGACGTGCTCCAAACAAACCCGAGAAGTGCTCCCAAAGACCCGATGGAAATTATGACCCAGGAGCACACCTGAATTTTTGACCTTGTTCTTTCTGGTCGTCCTGGAGAGGCTGGGAGCAGCCACTAGGTTGAGAAGGCTTTTGAGCTCTCTTGAGAAACACTCACCAAATAGTACTCCCAAATGTGTGTTGGGCGCGGTTGTGGGATGCAAACTGCATATGTCGGATGCGCAACTGGCCATCTCTACAACGTACACCTTTTCTCCATTAGATGGGAGCGGGGGGTTGAGAGTGGGGCTTGCCCATGGATCCGCTTGCTTAAAAGCAAAGCTGGGAGTCCCTTTATTTTCAACCGACAAGATGTACACCCGGCCAATCCCCACGCAGAAACACCGCAATGCCCTGCCTTTTCCGGCGCCTCGGTCGGCCGTAGGGCCAGCCTCGCACGGCGGAAGGGCTTCAACTGATATGTTAGCAACAGGCCCATCTCAGCGTTTGCTTCTCAACCAGAAATTACATCTTTGATTCGGTTGAACTCGAGCCGGTGCCCGCGCTCGTCTGACCTAAACCAGGCCCAGTCAAGCTGCGGCGCGCGTGGAGAAAGCTGATCCCCGTGATTACAGACAAGAACCCCCATGAAATGAAATCATGCTCCAGCCGGAAAAAACGAGAGGGAAACCAAGGAAAAACAAAGGAAACAAAAACATCAAAGGGTTTTAAAAGCAAAGACGGTCTCACAGAGAGCTTTTTTTGTCGGTCCCAGTTTTGAGGGAGGGCGTCCAACTCTGCGCATCTTTGGCCCTGTGCATTTCTGAGACCCCATGACGGTCGTATCATGCCTGGCATTGCCCCGAGGGAACTTTGGACACATCATTACAACTAGGACAAAATCATACAAAATCGCTCACGCCGACAAAAAGGTCGTTCACTGCTGGAAAAAGTCGTTCACGGCAGTGTCACGCTGGATTCACAGAAATTTCACGGTGCCGAACAGCTTCCCTCGATTACAGCAGCGAAGCTGTTCCACTGGTTTCAGAAAGCTCGCTTTTCTCGCAATTCGCACAATGGGACGAGCCTCAAGTTGCAGAACAAAGCTAGTCGCGCCCAAGAAAGGTCGGTCAAACGTTCAAGGAGATGACTCGCAGGGCCAACTAAGGGTGCTTGCCCTTGGGTTGGCTCACCTTCCTGCAGGACCTGGAACAGAAAGGGTTCACCTTTGGGGACTTTGACCCAAAATAGCCCAAGACAATAGGAAACCCAAAAGGTTGAAGGTCGGCTTTGGACAACTTTGGTCCTCTGGATTCTGAAGTTGAAGCAACAATGACTGTTTTTGTCAAGACCATCGAACCAGAAACATGGGATTTCCGTGTTTGTAGCGGTTTCCCTTTGGCTGTGGGTTCCCGATGAAACCCTCCCAACAGCCAACCGCGCCCACGTACGGACGCCGGCCAAGCCGCGGCTCTCGCGGCGCAGCTCCGGGAAGCGCCGCGTGCGACTCCGCGCGCTTCGCACTTGACAAGGCGCTCGTCTTCGCCTGGCGCCGGACCGCGGACGGCCTTTGAACAAACCACCCATTGACCCCGAATGAATTGGTGCATGTTGAATCGTAAAATCTGACATACATATGCATATGTATATATAGCAAGTTATGTATACATGTATAATATATATATATATGTATATGTACACATATTTATTGCACCCGTCATACATCCTCGCGTCCAACAAGCCCACCAGAGGGTCCCTTCATTGAGGAACGGGTCCAAGCCCATCCCCAAATCCAGCTTTCACTTTCGTGGGCAGGAGGGTGACTGACTACGCTTCTGTTGTAGTTTGGAGCCGAATTACTCCGAATTACTTGGCTCCCCTCAAAAATAGTCCTCAACAGGGGTAGCTTAAATGGGTTCGGCTGAAACTTGTTGGACCCCTTGGGATCTGCTCGGTCCAAAGGTTTCACAGGGGACACATTCGGTGTGTGGGAAACCCAGGTTCCATTTGGAGCTAAAACTTCTTTGGCTTGTTCAAAGCGCAGGGTGGTTAAATCGTAGGATCACAACAACTTAAGGAATCCGTCCTGTCCATCGCCTTGCGGCAAGCAAACTGAGAGAATCGGCCTGTTTCCGAGCTGGTCAAATCTCAACCTTTGTGATTGTTTTGACAAATATGGATGTATTAACACCCATTCTTTGCAAACATATGGAACATGGCTGGAACAATAGCCCCTAAGCAAAGGCCCCCTTGTGCTCAAGACCAACGTCTGCAATTGCAAGGAACACTCCCAAAATCAATCTGATCACCATTTGGCTGATTCATGACTTAGAAACAACCAGCACATATCACCTCTTCGTCGTCATGGTTGAAGCACACAGGCCAACATGGTTTCTAGGAGTCTTTCTGATTAGGCGCGTGTGAGCAAACTATGAGTCTTTACTCAATAGACAAGGCCCGCTTTCTCGGAATTCGAACCGCCTCGCCTTCGATCCGTTGGAATTGCTCTTGCTCTTGGCGCGCGCCTTTGGCTGAGCCGACCGTGGCCTCGGCAGAAAAAAAAAAAGATCCACGAGTTCCGGTGGAATGCTTTTCCATATGGGCGTGTCTTGTTTTAGCCCTTAAAAAAAGAGGGTGGTTTTCGGTGTCCATTTAAAGCCACGGAAACAGGTACGGTTGGAAGGGGAGCCTCTTAAGGGGGTACCTTCCTCATGTCAGTGGCTTCAAAGGGAAGCGGGGGTTCAGCTCCCCAAGCAACCAATCCAAACCACCAACTAAGAGGTATCTGACAAGATGCTGCTCGGTCCTGGAACAAATATCGTCGAGATTCTCCTGCTGAACCAACCATATAGCACTCAATGATGACCCCGGATTGATACAATTGATAAACCTGGTGGATTGTTAGGAGTGTTCTCCCAGAAAGTGAAAGGAGTCTCTCGTAAATGGAACCTCCCAAATTTCTAGGTTATCAAGTAGGTATGAAGCCTAGCCACATTAAAACTCGCAAGTGCGGCAACTTTCAGAAGGCTGCCCCTGTTCCCCGGATTTGAAATCTTCAAGGCTTACCCCACCCATGAATTGTAACTGCGTGCAGGGTCGGGCAGGGGGCTTGATTCAGGACTCACAGACCATAAAGCGAGGGTCAGTTTACCCTCCATTGTGGGATCAATCATGTGCTTCTGTACCGGCATACACCTTTTGGGCCCCGCATTTAGGCACCCTTTCAATTCTTGGTTGCTGTGGGTCCCTCTGCAACAAGCTTGACTTTGTGTGGGTCCCATGGACAATCTACTTTCTCACTCAAACAGTTAACGACCAAAGATTCAACTAAATAGACACGGGCCGGACATCAACCAGTTCTTTGAGGGGGGCTGATGCGTCAAGACTCCACCCAGTGAGGTTCCCCCGATAGCGAAGGGTTCGGACCAAACCTTGGGACATTTGTCTGCACACTCTCGCAAGGCGGGCCCACTCCAGCTGTGCTTTCATGACATGCAAGATAGGAAAGCCAAAACACCTCAGCCCCGCGCACGTAATTGAGCCCGCAAGGCGTCACTGGAAAATTGGCCTTCCTCTTCAAATGGACATTGAGCATCCTCACAAATAATGAAGTCTGGCAATTGTACAGAGCCACAGTCTGGCTTAGACGTGACAAACAAACGGAAGCAAAGGGTGCCTGGCTTAGCCAACCCCACTAATTGCATGAGTGTCGTAGAAACACAACAACCTCCACGTGTCCAGGCCAAGTCAATAGGAGAATGCATCCACCCCAGTGCTCATGTGCAGAAGCAGATCCCCAGCAAGGGTTGAGAAAGAAAAACTTTGGGATATGGATGGCCCAATTGACGGTAGCAAAGGGGACTTTCGGGAGCCAACCAGCTTAGTGAAAAAAACAAAAAGGGGAACAAGGGTGCCACTGACTTGCCTTTGTAAGCGATAACCATGGCTACAACACTTGCTGGTGCTCAGCAGGGCAGGAGGGAATGAACCCAGTGATTCCCTTGAAGGAAACCACAGCAAATGGTTTGTAGTCACCATTCCCTCATTCCCTACTTCCATTTGGTGAAAAAACTATTTCCAGTAGTGACAAATTCCTCTTGAAACCAACAAGGGGGAAACAAACACTTAAGCAAATGGAGGCCTACCAGCAAGAAACGGGGCCGGCCGAACATAGCAACTCGGTCCGGTGGTCGCCGGCTGCCGGCCTCTTGGAGCAGTTGCAACACTTGCAGCAGCGGCAGCAGCCCAAGCGCGTTCCGCGCGTGCCCATCCTCGCTGTTTTGGGCCCACATGGCTGGCTAGATTCAGGTTTGAAGGGAGCCAGAAACAAAACCAATGTTTGGAGTCCCCCTATTTGGCGTCCCCCTATTTGGACATCCCAAATGGTTTTACTCAACATAGGCAAACCTCCAAACTAGCTACTCCCTTTACCTGAGCTGCACATATATGTGTATATATATATATATATATATATTTGTACATGTGATCCTTGTTAGGTGGTCCACCTGAGACTGACCAACGGCGCCTTGGGCACAAGCCATTCTTGTGACCAACCTAAGCCTGCCAATGGCTTAGCAAAACCGTGTGACATTGCAAAGTCAACAGGCCCTCAAAATACAAAGCCGATGTTGAGTATGTTTGATCTGGGCAACGTATCATTCGCACAGCGGAACGGGAGAAAAAGTAAACAAAAGTAAGGACCGTCATGGGGCCCCTCCTTTACCCTCCTGAAAAGCTCGCTATGGGCCGAAGGCCCGCCGGTTCGGCTTCCAGGCTTCACCCAAGGTGAGGGGCCAGGTCGGAGTTTGTCCGGATGAGAAAAGCCGGACGAACAAATCAGGTTCCTTTTGAAGAGACCTGTCAGACTCTTTTACATTTAGAGCCCGACCCTCTTTGACAACTTGAACCCCTCACAGAAAAAGTGAAGGCAATTAGAGAGACCCCAGTAGCGTGGCTCCAACATCCCTGGCACGACGGCCAAACCGTCCCAATGTTTCTACCCCAGGTTTGGTCAGCCATAGCATGGGGGGTCCGCGGAGGGCACGAGAGTCCTTCCTAGCTAACCCGGAGCTGCGGAAGATGAAACGTTCATGGGCGCAAAGCCGGCCCACATACAAACAACACGTAACTAATGCACAGCTCGGCTCGGGTTAGTTCAACTTGGGGCAATCCAGCGTCTGCCTGAAACTGTTAAAAGCCATGCCACGCAGAAATCTAGTCTCTCCAGCAAATGTTCACCCATACGTGGCTTTTGGCATGGTGAGGCAGTTGCCCTGGTGAATCCAGCTGAGAGCAAACTGTTTCACCGTCGCCGTGTGCACATCTAGAGCCTTCCCTGATTCAACTACAACACTATCCTTCTGCTTCCCCTTCAAATGGGAAGGTCGGGTTTTGCAAGGTGATGTTTAACCCCCGTAACCCCAAACGGGAAATATGGGTATGTCAAAAATAACGTGACCCGAAAAGTGTGTTTGCGTCTTCTTTTGGCTTCCCTTTCGAAGCCAAGCTGAAAACGGTACCAACTCAAAGGCGCGCAACACCCGCGGAATAGCACATCTGCCGTGAGTCTGCTGCGAAAGCTGCTCCAGCATGGAGAGCAGTTGCTCGCTGATCCGGGCGCCTCGTTTGAGTTAGGGACCCTTGTCCCGCGCGCGTTGGGGATGTGATTCATGTCCGACTTTTGAGGCTCAAGCGGCGTTTCTGAGCTTCGCCGGCTTCTTTACTATCAGTATTCAGCCCCCCCCAAAAAAAACGTGCTGAATGGGGCAATCTGGTAACATAAACAAACATAGCCATCCCCTGGTGGTGTCTACAACATTTGGGGGATTTTGCAGCCAGATTTTAACCCGTGCGGGTTGGATTGCTTCCATGAGCTCTACCACAGGTAGACTCTGACATTTGGAGAGTTGCAGGAAGGAGCAACTCCGACGAGCCTTTGACTCACTCGCCCAGTTCCTGGACGGCGCATTGCCGGGAAAAACAATTTAGTTGTAAAGTAAAGAACTTTTTCAGCCAATCCACAAGTCGTAGTTTGACAGGGTTTCTCGCACCTTCCCTTTGAACAGAACCCCACCAGGAAATACGGCGAAAGACACTCTCCTGCATATGAATATGCAACCCAAAGCCCGGAATCTTCGATCGGGGTTCCGCGGAACGGGGTTCCCCACAAGGAGTTTCAAGCGATGTTCTTTTTAAGGGCTCCAAACACATCTGGCGAAGCAAGGACCCCCTTGAAAACTCAGAAGTTTGTATAACTCTAGTCCATGCGTGCCAAAAGGTACAAGAAAGGGGCTTTCAAAAAACACAGGCCGCACGGCCTGTAGCTGCTCTCTCGACAAAAAACACCGCCCCAAGCCGCTTGGGCCTTTCTGCGGCGCTTTGGGTCTCGCAGCCATGGCGTTCCGAGGCGTTCCGATGCGTCGACTGGGGAGGGGATTGGTTCCCGGTTGGCCTGGTCTTGGTCAGGGCCGATTGGCGCAATGTGTCGCAAAGTTAAAAGCAATGGCTTCCGGCTCAGCGCGACTGCCTCAGGCAGTCAGGTCCCGGAAATTTCTGGTATCTCTCTTGCAACCCGCGTCTCTGCCATACTAGTGCCCTGAGATCCCGATTTGTGGCCGACTTGCTCGCCAAGCCAATCACCAACAAACCTGTAACTTGGTGATCACCTTCAGGATCTATGACAATGACTCGATTCACACCCCCCAGGTGTTTTCAGATCGATTGGCGAAGTGAGCGATTTGCTTTCCTCTCGACCATCGGATCGTTGAAAACGCCACCTTTGAGCCTTAACGCCAGTGGGCTCGTGGCTTCCGGTGTGAGACTTGCAGGTACAGAGGTCGTACACCTTAGGCATGCTAAGGGAGGGCGTTGGGGGGGGAATTCAATTCCATCGCCTGAGTCCTCCCGGGAGGGAAACTTGAGCTCAGAAAATTGGGGCTACCCCCGTCCCCAAATTCCATTTGCAAGTGGATGGGGACCCTAAACAACTCCATGAGGCTGCTCACATTTAAATGCACGTATACCTATTGTGGGTGGCTGCCCTTCAGCTTTGAAGCCCGGACTCAGGATCTTCCAGGTACCTGGTTTGTACCTGAAAAGAGATGTCCACAGTGCACATGAAACATTTGTCCAGGGGATGAATCCTCAGCAATTCGATGCAAGGAACAGGAGAACCACTGGGAATGCCAAGGAGTCAAATCTGTGAGAGCGCTCAGATTCTTGTTCTTGCGAGGCTGGTAATTGCCTGGTGGTCTAGAGTGACATGAGGCAGACTCCAAACCCATCAGCTTGATAAGGGCCTGGCAAAATCAAAAGGGCGCAACGTGGGAAGACGTTTGGCGAGAGCAGGGGGCGTTGTTCCATTCAGCTTCCGTCTCGCGTCACGATCACGCCAGCGCCTTTTGGCCAACGAACCGCCGAGAAATCCACAGGGCCCGCGCACGGCTCAGGCACTGGAAGCTTCAACCTGTTTTCTTCTTGAAATTGCGAACATGGGTGTGGCTCAAAATTTCAGAGCCAGAAAACTTGAAAACTGCAGTTTTCAGTCTACTCTTCCATTTGCCAGGGTGCCATTTTGGCCCCCCATTTTTGAGCCACACCCAAATGACTAACCATGGATCTAGGCAAACTACAACACACGTGAAACAAGACAAAATGTAAGGACAATCAAGGCTCCATGTCAACCGATGCAGAGACATGTTCTACGAGGGAGAAACGGCAAGAAGCCACACCCGATTTCTGGCGGGCGTTCCTTAAATTTGCAGTCGATTCACTGGTAGACTCCTGCGCAGTCGAATCATGTGGAAACCAATTCCTTGCGTGGCCTGAAAAGAAACCAAATATTCGAAAAACACCGATAGGAAACTGCCCAAACCGATACCCAAGAATCGGAAAAACCAATAAACGCCGACCCAAACCACTACAACACCGATAGGGGCGCACCCAAAACCGAAACCCGACACTTTGCAAAACCGATAGGGACCTACCCAAACAAATACTCTTGTAACATGCTGTTTCCTCAAAATGAAACATCCAGCAGTTCTGCAGCCACTTGATGGCTACAACCCCCCGTCCACAAAGTGTTCAACCTTTTCTAGCTCAGTTCCACGCTTTGCTCCAGGTCATCCTGGGTCGCCAGCACCGGTTCGTGGGAACATACACATGAGTCATAATCAAAACCCGGTATCAAAATAGTCGACCCAGAACCATGTAAAGAATTAAGAAGGCGGCCGCAGCTATTCATGGCTGGGATTGTCCCTTACTAACATTCACTTACCCGGGTTTTGGTTGTGACTCACACGTTTCTCAAAAAGCAAAGGTTCAGAACCCAACTCAGCACTCAAGGGCCATGGCTTCTATGCGCCCCGCCTCAGCTCGGAAGCACCAGCGTCCGCTTCGGCGGCCTGGGGTTTTTGAGGTGGGAGAAGCACCTGCAGGGCTTTGGGCATGTTGCTTCAGGGCATCCCTTTCAGGTTTGCAAAGGGAACCCAAAGACACATCATGACTTTTTTGCTGTCCGCCCGCCCGCCCCTCATTGTGACACATACCTTCTTTTCTCCTTTAAGCATTTCCCCGCTTGGGAAGCTCATGTTTGAAGGGACCAGAAGGGGATGCTTAAACGGAACCAAAGGAATAATCGCCTAGCAGGAAAGTTGCACATCGTGCAAGTAAGAAGCGTCCCCCCATTGCACTTGCGGGTCGTGGGGAAATACTCCCCTGGAAATCAACATGGAACCCATAACAAATTGTGTGCCTTCTTCCCCCCAAAGGAGATGCCTCTAAAAATGATGGCTTCTCGGGTTCCATGTGAATCTGCATTGATTTGGAGCAGAAGGGGCGATTCGCAAAGAACAAGGACGCGTGGGCTTGGCCTTTGACGGGGTCTGGGAAAGTAGTCCTTGAAGGTGAGGAGCCGCCCAAAACTCGTCAAGCAAGTGTTATGGTATACATATACAGATGCAGATACATATACATATACATATACATATACACATATATATCTAATTGTTTATATGTGTATATGTGTAAACTATTGTTTATAAATCTACGGCTAGGAAAACCACTGGGCCTCAGCCAACCATGGGTAATGCAAGGGACCCCCCCGACCGAATTGGCTCGCGCGGTTCAAGCCTTTGGCTTGGCAACTGGCGAGTTCAGGCCCCCCAAACCCCAAATCGCCTCCGCTTATGAGTCTTTCCACAGGTAGCTGGCCTTCTAGGTTTGCAGCTTTGGGCGTGACTCGCGCTTTGAGACTGGAACGCATCTCCACACGAGCAACCCCGCAGTTGGGCTGACAAAAATCGGCGTTTGCCGGCATTTGTCGGCACTGTTGGCCCCGTAACAATCAACCCCGTCCTCATGGGAAAGATGTTCCCCTCAAGTGATTTTCCACACCCAGGGATGCGCCTCGGATTGTTACAGGGGGTGATTCATCCGGGGTTGACATCTCAAGGCAAAGGACACTTTTCGCTTTGGCCGTTTCGCCCCACAGAGCCCCACCGACTTCCAACTTCTCGCACCTGGCACGCTGGAAGCGCGGCTGCAGCGCGGCCTGGATCCCGGTGACCAGAAAATTGAGGATGTCGAATATGGGGTGCGAAAACACAAAACACATACATGACAAATCAAACATTAGACCCAGTGGATATGGGGAAGATGGAAAGCGTGGTTACATACAGACATGTAGATGTTGCTCGGCGGTGATTGGCGCGGTAAGCCGCCCATGGGTTGGGCTCTGACTCTTGACGTCGTGAACGTTTTTTGAAAAGGTGCACGTGGAGTCCGATTTTCGGCCAAGCAAACCGCAAGTAACAAATCACGTCGTCAGGCAGCCTACTCTTAGCAAAGAAATGTCGACGTGTTGCCCAGTTCTGCTCCTTCGCGATTCGCAAGCCTCTCACAAGAGCCTTGGCAGGGTAGCCTTACTACAAACTCTCACGCACATGTGTGCATGCGAATTAACCTTGTGAATATGCGTCACCTTTATACATATATGAGAGAAAGGTACATGCAGTCTATAAAACATTGGCAAGGACCATGGTTCCGCTGCTGAAAACAAGCCTGCAAACCTTGCTTCTGTCTTGCTAGCTTCGCGTCCAGCGCCAAGCTGCCTGACAAGACTGGATGGATCCATGTACCCGGCCTTTTGCCAACTTACTGGCTTACTAGGTTGGCTGGGTAACAACACGGTTGAACTGGCTGGCCCTTGCTAAAACAAAGCAACCACCTAACAACATAATGCATGCATCTTCCCATCTTCCGGCGTGGTCCACCCAAGTCGGAATCATGATGCATGGTCTTTTCTTTCCCACACAATTGGGTTCACCTAACAAATACAACAACTTATGGTCATGGGGATGCCCCACTTTATCCCAGATGTCCTCCACGTGTTTCCCGCCCTTTATGTTTTTGTTGTTTCCCCATTTCCCGGGGGTTGATTTCCCGCCCAAAGCGTATCTCCCTGGGCCCCACGGCCAGCAACACTGCAGCGAGCAGCAGGTGGAAGAGCAGCAAGAGGCCCAGGCATTGCAACGACTGGCGGAGCTGCCCCGAGAAACCGAGAGAACCGACGCCGGTCGCTTCTGGCCGCCCTCAGATCCCCCTGCTCAAAGTTAAACTTTTCGTGGCTTAAATGGAAACTACCACTAAACACTAAAAAGCTAAAAGGCTAAGGGGACGGCTGGGGGCCAGCAAGAAAACCTAAGCCGGTTGGAAAGACAAACAAACCCACCGGTGCTTTGGTGTGTGTCCCCCAGGAATATGTCACATGTATTCTAGGCCCAGTTTTGCATTTGAGCACCACCCAAAACCCATTTTTGTGTCTACACACAGCCCAGCATTTTCAACGGGTTTCAAACTTCCCCTGCTGGATCATTCGGGTTCCACCAGAAACCGCACCAGGCCAAGTCGGTTGACTCTAAAACCGTTTGGTTTCCACACATATGGCACCTCAATCGATGAGCCACACATGCAGTATCTAGGGCTTCCAGGCGTCAACTGAAGCTATGATCTCATTTGCGAGCTCATAGCAGGGAAAGTGGAGGTGGCAGCTGCGAATAACAGCGGCCACAATCGCAGGTTCTGTTTGAGCTACACTGTTGGGGATGTCATGCGGCAAGGATGGAAGAATCGCCGCTAAGATTCATCCCCAGTCACCACCGGGACCAGGGCAAAAAATAACATGGCCGCCACCAAGCAGTATATTATGGGATCACCTCCGTTCCCTAGCGCCTGCACCCCTTCTCTCTCGAACGGGCGGTGCGTTGTGCAGAAAACAAGAGGTCACGAGGTCGAAGTCGACCCGCCTTCTCATAGCTCCGCGTGATGCCGAGGCGCTCGATGAACACCTAAGCCAATGGATTCGTGACATTCCTAGGGTTTGCCGTTCGATGCTCTTGGTCGCAATGTGTTGGACCCTCTTAGGCTCACTTTGCTGCATCCAAAACGGGTGGAGGCCACGCCCTGGCACGACCTGTCGTCTCGAAAAAATCCCAGGAATGGAAAGGGCCCCAGAGGCGCCCCCAGATTTGTCCCACCAGACTTCGCATGCTTGATTCGAAGACCCCAATATGCAAAACTACTTCATAGACATCCCGGCTTGGGTCCCCTTAACTTGCCGCAACCTCAGGGTACACCCCCCAAAGAAAAAAACATATATACATATATATATATATAACTATACTTGACCACATGTTCACTCCTTCTCTCTTCAAACTCTGTCTCATACTCAACCTTTAAAATTACACAAGGCGGCGCTTCCGGCACCCCGGCCCGTCCTTTCCGCCCCTCCCGTCCCTTCGCAGCAGGTGCCCCGGCATCCCCGGAGCGCAGGAAGGCCACGCCCCCCAACTTCCCCGCCTGCGCGGAAGGAGCCCCAACTGGTTCTCGGTTGCTTTCTCCCCTGCTAAGAGTGACTAACTTTTAGTGGTTTAATACGGAAAACCCATGAGTTGGCAAAAAAATGAAGTCCTAATATCCAAGCAAGATGCATCAAAGGGTTGGAACCGGTTGGGAAGCCAACAAAAGACCAAGGAAGACGGCTGGAACCAGAAAAGCAAAGACCAAGGACGACACAAAGGAAACGAAGGGAAATCACGGGCCTGGATCCTTTCTAGGAAACCGATTGAAACACTGTGTTTGGGGTGAATTAGAGTTTTAAGCTGAACAAGGACGAACTGGGACATGTTCCTGTCAGTGGAGAATCCAAAAAGGGAACCATGTATTTTTGGGGCTGACCACGTTTTGTGAACCTCCCAACCAAGAAGGAACAAACCCGCCTAGCTGCCTAGCACCTTCATGGGCCAGCTCGTTGTATCTCGAGGCGAGCCTTGCCAAACAATGCCACAAAAGGCCCAAGTTCAAACTGGTTACCCTCCTGCCAATTAGTTTGGAACCTAAACATCCTCATTTGTAAACTAATGTCCTGTGTGATTAGGGTTTAGGGTTTAAGGTTTGGTTGTAGGTTCTGGTGCGGCCGGGCGTCCGAGCGGGGCTGCGGGGCCCGACGCGAGCTCTCTTTCACTTGCCACTTGCGTGATGTGCCACAAGCACAGAGGAGAAGGAAGGGGCTGCGGTCTTCGCAAAAAGCCCCTGCTGCAAACTTCTATTTGCTATCATTTGCTAAAGGTGCCGCTGAAAACTAGGATACGTGACAGTGCTGACAGTCCTGACCCTGACCATGCCACATGAGGCTCCAAGACCAACTGGGGAGAAACAAACTACCTTCGGCAAATGAAAGCAAAAAACGCCGTAAGGACAAACGCCTTTCGACTCATCCAAAATTGCCAGTTCCTGACGGGGGGGCGAAGGACCTCTTGCACGTCTTCAATCCGGATGGGTTGGAGCAAGGACAACTTCCTGTGAACCCTAAAACATGGAGCACATAGTCCTGGTGTGAATGGTAAGACATCACCAGCTCAAAACTCCCCATAACGAGGAACCGTACCAGTGAAACCACAGACTCCCATCAGGGCTAGACTTTGCCCCGAAACTATGAAGCACTTGCTCGAAGGTCAGTCCAACAACTTAGCGATCGAGAAGTGCAGAACCATGGAACCTGAACAGTTGAAGTAGGCCCCGCAACTACGCTCAAGCTGCATTGGCAATAGATCGTGGACAGCGAATGTATCTAATGAGGAAGCATCCATGCGTGGCCTGGTTTTGCCCCAATCAAAACCAAATTCGTTGAGCAAACCAGAAAATCTGCGGTTGGCCAAGAAGCAAAGATGCTCCTGAAGGGCCTGGAAGCAAGGCAGGCCTTGTCCAAAAGAACGTCCACTCTCGCATCCCCAGGAGGAAATGTGGTAAGCCCTGGGGTAGTGGTTGCGGGTGTGTGGAAACCCTCAGCAGGCCATTGGGGGGTTGTGTAAGGTGCGGTTTTCCATGAGGTCCAGGGCGTTCCCGTCGGTTGCAATCCGTACAATACCGGCGTTCCTCTTTGGAGGATCGGCCAATAAGCAGTGCGTACACAATCGGTGTCACTGTTAGACAACCAGCTGCAGCAAAGTCTGCAAAATAGAAACATCTATAAAGGGATATTGCAGGCTCTTACATCTGAGAGTTTGTCTTTTGGCTTCGAGTCCTTGTGCACGCTCGCTTCAAAAAAGAAGGGACGGACCCACACAGCCGCTGTTCGTTGCTGGGTCTGCCCGATTCGATCCGCGCGTTCGCGCGTTCGCACTTGCCTCACTTCTGCGGTTGCTCCTATGCCATGACATCCTCACAATTCCCTGCTCTTAATGGTAGCTTCAAGGGGGCATGTACAATCATAAACACACTAGCCAACATGGTGGCTTGACGGGAACATACGGCAAAATTTGAACAGCCATTTGAACAGCCCTCAAAGAACCAAGTTGGGGCAAACAAGCTCGCCGGAGCTGTCAACTGTTGAGGAGAATGCTTTGTTGCCAACCCCCTCCAGGCACCCCAAATTGTTGTGGCCCAGAACCATGCGAACCATAAAAGGATCCTGGTACCACACTTCGAGGAAATTCTAGCAAGGAGTCCTTGAAGGACCTTTATCCTTCACTACTTAGAAAAAGAACAAACATATTTCCAAGGGTTGTAAGTTATGCCTTCCCTTCTAAACTTGCTGGCGCCATGATCTGATTCATTTCCCATCCGGCAACAATACTTGCAGATACACATCCAAAACTAATAAAGCAATATGAGACTGTCCCAGCCTAGGATCCTTTCCGCTTTCTCTGAAACACCGTGTTGAACTGTGAGAACTACCCAAGTACAAAATCTCTATAACTTGTGCCTCACCCTTACTAGGGTTGGGCAAACAACTGGCTGAAATGGGTGGTTTAACTACTGCTCGAACATCTTGATATTTGCCGTGGCTAAAAGTTGCGGGCAATGATCATGCTCCCCAAGGAACATGATATGATTCTGCAACATCCCCGATCAGCCCTTGATCCTTGATGACGGCCAGCCCAAATCAAAGGTTGTTGTGAGCACAACCCAGAACTCAAAGTACGACTAGCCGTGCGCGACCCGCCCCAGCTTGCCCCGACTTGAAGCGACCGGTCGTGGTTAGTCTGCGCCCTCCCAATCTCTGGAAAGTCATTTGGGTAGGTATCAAAATAGGGGGATCTTACAACTAGTGATTTTCCTTTTGGCTTCCGTTTAACCCAACCCCCCCCCCAAAAAAAAAGAAGAGGATACCCTTTAAAAACCCACACCGTTTGCAGTGAGCAAACGGTGCAACAAGCCCCAAGGACCCTGAAGGGCTCCTTCATGGAGAGGGCGAGCTGCAGCGGCTGCTGCTGGCGACGCTCCACCACCTCCTTCCACAACCTCGGGCTTTGTGCGGGCCGGCAATCTTCAGAACCTTCAGTTTTGGTAGATGTCCATGGGTCAAAATCCCGTATGCCCAGTGAAAATCCCAATCCCCACTAAAATAGACTAACATGGGTGGTATATGGGTGGTGCACCTACCCCAAAATGGTACCACTGGTTTTGACCCACTGCCAGATAGGTTCTAAAGAAAATCCTGGACTCGTTCTGAGGGGGGGCCAGGGGGGTTGCTGCAAACCATTTAACCCTCTTTATCCTCCTTTACCGTCCTTTATCTACCGTTAGCTTCCTTTAACTTCCTTCAGCTTCCTTTGGCTTCCTTTAACTTCCTTCAGCTTCCTTTAGCTTCCTTTAACTTCCGTTAACCTCCTTTAAACTCCGCTAGCCTACTTTACCTTCCCCAAACTTGTTTCCTTCCTCTAGCCTCCTTTAGCCTCCTTTAGCCTCCTTTAGCCGCCTTTAGCTTCCTTTAGCCTCCTTTAGCCTCCTTTAGCCTCCTTTGGCTTTCTTTAGCTTCCTGTAGCCTCCCTTAGCTTCCTTTAAATTCTTTTAGCCTCCTTTACCTTCCCTAATATTGCAGTCACTCCCCTTGCCCCCCCTCAGAACGAGTTCATGAGAAAACCCTTCAACTTGGGCCCGGGGTTTGCAGTGCGTATGTGTGTGTGTGTGTGTGACTGCACAATTTGGTTGGTGGGGGGTGGGGGGGGTGGGCGCGTGGCGTGGCGGCGTGGCAGAGAGCAGCATAGTTGCGGCAAAGGATCGTTTCTGTGATACCAAGGTAGGATTCCATCTCCATGCCTGCCTACTTTGTGTTACAAAGGAGTCCCTCGGCAGAAAGCCTGCGGCTCAAGTGACTCGCGCTCGTGCTTGACCCGCTCCAGCTGGCTCTCGATGTGTTGCCTCACCGCCCCCAAAAAACACCACTCTTGGTCGCAGCACTTGAACCCATGGCATGATGCTCGCACCACCCTCTCGGAAAAAAACCCTGAAGATGAAGACACCCCTTGGAAACGCTTGAAAGCCCAAGCTGGCCAAAAACTGGGCGCGTTTGGATCCGAACCTTTGAGGCCATGACTGCTATGAGCGCGATTTCCATTCTTCGTTCGGGCCAAACACCACCCATTGTCCCAGGGTTGTGGGGAAATTTCTCCAAAGAGGGATCCTTCAACGGAACGGGGGAACGTATTGCAAAAACAAAAAAACTGGATCCAAACAAGGAACAACTCAAGGTCAGCAGGCTCATTGATGTCCATTGGTTGCTGAGTTGCGAGCGTCTGCGCTTTTTGGGGGACCATACATGCCTCCAAAGTCGTCCGAAAGGACTACCCTGTTGCAGGTAGCCTTCCGGGCATGGGATAGGAAGCAAAGCAAGTTTGTCATAGCCCCCTGAGTAAAAACCTCCGAAATCACTTACAGCCCCCCCTAGGTGCCCGTTAGGCAAACTTGGCCGACATGTAATTGAATTGAACCAAACTCAGACAAGTGCCATCTGTTGACGGCCAAACTGACCAAGGACCTATGCGTCGGGGTAATGGAGTAGGTGTGAGGTAGTGGAAACCATCTTACTGGATGCTACGCAAATGTAGATTGTTGCCTATTCAGCACACCCCCTGCATCCCCTCTACTTTCTGAGTGGGCCAAAAGTCCCAGCTGTTTGCTTGCGACGAAAATCGTCTTCCCAACAAGTTCCAATTCCTTGGAACTAAGGGAGTCGGAACATGTCTATGGAACTTGGCCCCCGGGGATTTGGGCCACCAACCACGGATGTCCAAAATTGTGGGGTGTGCGCTGTGGTTAGCAGCACATTTTGGAGCGCATCTCTTCATCTCTTTGGCATATGAGGTGATAGAGTGGCTTGGAGAACCCGAAGCTCAGTTCCTGAAGCGAAGGATGGGCATGTCCCACCCATCCAGCACATTCTTGAACTGATGCCGAGAAAGGGATTTTGCACGCCTTATCGAGCTTTCCACTCGCTTCAGTTGCATCATTCAGAGACTCCTGCCCTCGACGCTGCAACACCGGCAAGACTATTCAATGTTGGTCCTTGACTTCAAGGGACCGTCCATCACCAGAAACCTACTGTTGTTTACATGTACGTGAGAGGCCAGCAATTGACATACAGGTTGCATAATTGCCTTCCAGAACAAAGAGACTCGCATCGTGACGTCAGTCGTTTCTTCAAAGACGTTTGCGAGATGGAACAATGCAAAGAGAACCCGTTTCTGTTTCGCGCAGTGAATCCAGAACTGCAAGGAGATATCCTAGCCGTGGGATAGCTGTACGGACCTCCAAAAAGTGGTGTCAATTTCCTGCCAAACCCAACGACCCCTAAATTTCCATGAGTGTGAGCGCTACAGCAGGGAGATCTTTTGCCAAATGGGTGTGTCTTTGTTTGTGACTACCCCTTTCTTGGTTGGTTGATGTTGCTTTATCGGGAAGCCAAAGGAAGCCACCAGTTTTCTGGGGGTCCCCTACAAAAAGACGCACACTAACGCGGTTGCTTCCCACAGATCGAACCTGCGCGCCGCATGCCGCTACGCCAAGCGCCAAGCGACTGGGAGATCTGCAGGAGGCGCAGGACGCTGTGGTCCGCCTTCTTCGCCACCATGTCCTAAGCCGCAGGCAAAATGCCACAAGCCTTCGACAATCGCCTGTATTTTGCTGGTCAAAAATGAGAGTCCCTTGGCTTCTGCGGGCAAAATTAGCTGGTGAGCAGCCATGTCCTGCCCAAATTGACCATGGACTACTGGGATATTGAACCTCTCACGAGAGCAAGCATCCGAATGAAGAAGCGCGCAGCAGAACTGTAAGCTGCAAGGCTTCCTTCCGTCTGTTGGACCCCCCCCTCCCCGCGCATCGTCTCAAAACTGTTTGCGAGAGGCGGGAAGAACTTTTGTTTGGCAGTCGGTAGGGCTGGTACCTGACTCCTTTTAACCCCCCCCCCTCGGGATCGGGTCGGAAATCGGAACTCCGAGGCACCAAGATGTTGCGGAAGCGCTGGGAGCAGCGCTGGCGCCAGGCCTTGTCCACGCGGAAGGACATGTTCTCAGCGCACTCCTGGCCGAAACCGAGGCTTCATGCTGAATTCAGGGATCTTCAGGTAAAGGTGAGCTCGTTGAAGCCTAGGTGAGCTCGCTGTAAGATGGGCAAATGGATGGAGCACGAAAGGTCGGGGGGGAACCGACCGACCTGTTAGGCCCTTACGATTAACAATCATCCATGAAGCTTGGGTGAAACCGAGCTTTCCCTAGAACCGCAACTAAAGGAGGATCAAACGTGGAACTACCCAGCAATCTACAGGTTGATTTCCGTTCGTTTCACCCGCAGTTTGATTGAACAACCACTAAACATCCAACACCTGACAAGAACGAGGGGGTAGATGGGGGTAGTACGGCAAGAAAATTCATGTCCCCTTTGGAATCCAAAAGCGTTATGTGAAGTCAGTAGGACCCCCCCTCCCGAATCCCGACAAGTGGTGGGCGGATATAAGTTCAGGGTCCCCACATCACGTTACAGTTGGGTGAAAAAGATGGCACAGTTTCCCCCCATTCGCTTCTTTAGTCTTTCGTCATCCTGGTCATCCCCTTGATTTACCCATCCGGGACTTGCGCCATCTACCTTCTCCCTGTAGAATCTTTCCGGTTGCCCCTGCCCAAACCGCCCCAACATGAAACCGAAACAAGAAGATCGAGGCCCACGTCTCACTCTCCGAGTCGACTGGGCGCCTCCCATCCCAGCAGCTCCACATCCGCCTCCCCCTGGTCCGCACCGTCGGCATCATCGAACTTGGGGCCAGGGAAGACTCCCACCACCTGCCAAGTCGCGCTGGTGGAAAGAACCCGTACCAAACTGCTTGTTTCCCATGAGTACTTCACCTAGACAACTTCCCTATGGCCAATTGCAACCATGAAGCCAAATGACTATCAGCTAACCCTCAATTTGCGATTTGGATTGATGGACGTTGTTATCTTCCCAATTTGGCTTCAAAAGGAACTGGGGTTCAAATCGCCTTTGTTCTTTGGATTCGCACACGGGGAGGTGTTCGACCCCCACAACGCCCGATTCACCAATGCAAGCCACCCATCCAAACAGCAATTAAGGCCTACCTGAAAACAGGGTTGCGAACAACAGTGGGCCTGTTCCTGCCTTTAAGCTCCAACAAAAACCAGCCAAGCCATACTTGGACGTTTAATCCCTTTACTGAGTGTGTTTTAACCATAGTTCGGCATGAGCCCTCATGGATATGAGACCTAATGGGACCGTTGAGAGGACACTCCAACCATGTCATGCCAACCAAAACGAGCTCGGGAACAAGAAAAGGCCAAACCCTTGTTGAAATTAGCGACCACCACTGCTTACATAACCTCCTTTAGGCTTCCTGGGTGTTTCCTTTTGTTTAACGCGTTGTGCAAACTGGTGGTTTCCTCATGGTTTCCTTCAACAAAAAAATGACAAGGGTAGCAGCTAGCCTCAAAAACCACAAGCACACGTGCGCAAACACACACACACACATTCCTTCCTCCTTTTGGTTTCCCTTGAAATGCACACAACTGGTCCAAGCCTGTTTGCCCAAATCTCGCTTGGCGGGCTTAAAAGGTCGGATTTGGGCAACTGAGTTTTCTGGGGCAAGTAAGCCTCACCAACTGGACATAAAGAATACGCCTCAGAAAACATAGGAAAGGGGACTTGTCTAAATCGTGTCACCTTTGAACGGCCACTGCAAAGCCCCCTCGCCAGGGCCCAAGCCAGTGGCGAGAGCTCGCCTGGGCGAACTTCACCACTCCCCGGGTGAGTGCTGCGGTGCAGTGCTTCAGGTCCTCGAAGGGCTTCTCGTTCACCTCCGCGCGCATCCGCCAGCAAGCTGACATCTGGGCCTCTAAATTCTGGTTGGCTCGTGGGAAAACACGGATCCTCCGCGAAAAGTTGAGCGTTCGAGATCCAACCGAATCGAAGCCAAGGAAAGCCAGAAAGGCAAGAGCAATGCCGGAAAGGCAACAGAATTGCAAGTGTCCAACTAGCTGGCCCTGGGGTTCCAAAAATCAGATACAAAGCGAAACCAAAGTACACTCCAACAAATGGGCCTCAGGTGGGCATCAACTTCTGGTGTCTCGAAAATGAGTGCGAATAAACTAAAACCTCACAAATTAGTGTTTACAGTTGGTGCCAAGGACAGGCATCAGGCATCCCATAACAAAGTCATGGTTTGCGAACCAACCATGCACTCCCGCAGAGTAACATGGAACCACCCCAAAAGCTCATTTCTAGAGGAAACCTTTTTTGGGGAACCCCTCTTCTTCCCGTTCGCAGCGGAGTATAGGCGTTTCACCCGGGCCTTACAATTGAAACTCGGATCCGATCGAAGCCTCCACTTTCTGGGTCCCAGTTTGGCCGTACCGAAGGGGCGAAGGGGCGCGCTACTGGGGGGCGTTACGGGACACAGGGAGGGGGGGGGGGGGGGGTATGGGAATGATTCGATGAGTCTTTTTTTTTGGGGGAAACCGAAAGGGTCAAAAATGGCCATTCCCATCGCAGCCTTGGTGTCCAGCACGTCGTGAACCTCGATGCAACCCCAGTAGATGAGCAAAAGGTCTTACATGCTGAGTGGGATAAGCCAAGCAGGACTTGGACGTTCAATTCTTATCCCCGCAAGAAAGATGAATGATCAACACCAAATTGGCCTTCACATGAAGAAAACAGTCAAAACACGACGGACTAATAATTTGTCTTCACAAGCAAAAGCAGTATCCAAATACTTGATAGCGATAAATCTGCAAACTGCTTTTGAGGAGGGCGATGCAAACGAAGAGAGCCAAACAAACACCAATAAGCAACATACCAAAACCACCAGAAAGATACTCCAAAAGGGAGCCTGCTTCAAGTTGCGAAGGTAAGAAAGTGGCTAGTCATAGGGCAACGGGTATAGAAATTGATTGGCTTGTTTATCTGATCTCGTTACAAGTTTTCCAGAACTATGCAGCCCCTCGGTGGTTTCGAATTTCCTTGCAGCTCCCCGAAAGGAACAAAATGCATGTCTGAAAACATTGGGTCTTAGTGTCAGTTTCCAAGGGACCCCGTTGAGTGATTGAGCAGTCATGGAACCACTTGGGTGTGACAAAATGTTCGCTTTCAACAAGCATGCGCATGACAAATGAGCCGGCTCATCTTTTCCTAGTGACCTGGGACCGGAATTCCTGAAAGTTGTTAAAGGTTGTCCAGCGGCCTCCGAACCACTAGCCTGAAGCGACAAGCCGTACGTTCAATTTTTATAGCCGCTTTATGAGCACATACAGGAAGCAAAAGGCATCACAGCCTTTCAAAAAGGCACAGTCCGAAGCCGAGTTAGCTCTTCCCTGACAACAACTTCAAACTGGTTCCGAGAGCAAAGAAGCCACTGTTCCAAGCTGAATCACAGGATTGCATCACAACCCCTGAACAACGCCTCAGCCATTTGGGAATGAACAACCGGCACCTTTCAGAGGGGGAAGCCACATACACACAAAAAGAAAAATGGAAAACCGGCTCCACCGAACACCTGGGCGTCCTGTGAGACGCGGATCAAACCAACCGGGCTGCTGCATCCATCTGCGCTTTCCAGTTCTGCTCATCCATGTTGCCTCAGGCCATGCGCTCACCAAGCTCTGCGTACACCAGGGTTAGAGTAGATGGCCCAACTGCCTTTTCGTTAGTCTGGGGCATGAACTTTCACCCACTGTACCTCGAAAATGGGTTTGAAACTCGCCCAAGGCAATATTCAATCCATAGGATCATAGTTGAAGGCTACACTTGAGTCGGGCTATGACCGGCGATTGACCAATGCTAGCAAGCAGAAGGAAACCTGGTTCACTTGGACAATCGAGTTGAGCCTGCCCACGCGGTAGCTCGTGTTGCTTTCTTTGTAGAGGAAGATTCCTTAACAAACAAAAACACCTTCCTAATGCTTCCAAAGGGGCGTTTGTTTTAACACATAAAGGAAAGTTCATGCCCCTCCAACGAGCCCGCATCGAGTTGCGCTGCTTCTCCATCTTCCGGGTGGCGTCACTGTTCTTCTGGATGTCCACCTGCGACAAACCACCTATGTTTTTGGAATTGAAACTTCAAGGTTCATCGTTTTCCAGCCCGAAATCGCAGAATAGCAAACCAATCCAAACCACCATGTAACACGAACCTGGCATGCGTGGATTGTCAAGACTGTGATGGGCGAAACAAGCACAATCCTGCACTGAACACTGGTGCAAATCACCTATGCACTGGCAGCATCTTGTCCATCAACAGTATGGACCCCTTTTTTCGCACCCCTTTAAAAGGCGGCACAAAGTGTTACCACGGTTCCTTTAGCATCGCTCGTGACAATCTCTCTTGGAGGGTCCAAAGTTAGGAGTCTATTTTGGTGTGGAGGCCTTCTCCCTTCCCAAGCCATCCCGAAGCCTCATGGCTGGCGCTCTTTACCGTCAGCCCGTTCACCTCCTGAAGCCATCAATGTGTTTGGCTCGGATTTGGCTGGCGGCACGTGGAAACTCCCAAAGATTCCGCGACAGTCTCGCTGAGTTTGTCCCCAAAGGCAAAGGTTTCCTGGAACTCGGAGGTCTAAAAAACTCGGGTGATTGGAAACAGAAACCAACTTTTTGCAACATCCAGGTCCTGCGATTTGTTGCGATCCGTCAAGCCAAAAGCCATATACCAAAGTGACGTTCCAAGACTTCGTTAGCACTGTAGGGGCATTCCTATACGTATCCACAAGATCCATGATGTTTGATGGCGGGCGCCACTTGCAAGGGTGGGAAAGACCTCGAAGCCCCACGCGTTGGCAAGTAACCCAACTCTTACGCATGAATTACAGCGGGTTAGGTGTTCCTTGAGTTGAGGTTCCTTCTCCCTTCTTTGGGAGGCCCAGGCTCTCATCTCCAAGATTCTGCAACGCGCGCTCAGCTGCTCGGCGGCTCTGGAAAAGAAGTGATTCCGTATCTGTCTCCACCTGGTTTCTCCCGGGAAAGCCGAGAACGCAAAAATCAAGCATCCATCCAAAACTTGGCATTCTCTTGGCGATTGAACATGACATGACGCATTTAACGCCCTGTACACAGCGGAATCTGCGCCACGTATATGTATATATATATATATATAATATGTGTAACACATATATATATATATACACGTGTGTGTGTGTGTCCGCGGAAAAGTCCTCCCGCAGCTTCAGGATGTCGCGCTTGTGCTCGCCCAAGCCCCCCTGGACACCGCTCATGCGCCTGGAGTGACATCCGGCCGCACACATCCAGTAAGAGAAAACCTCACTTTCAGTCAGGGTGGTTGTATTGATCCGCTCGGCAGCACCGCAAGCGAAAACCTATTTTTGGGGGAAGCCATTGATTTGTTCTAGCAAGGTGGTCTGACAAGGACAAAATCGTGTTTGCCAGATCCTTCTGGTTGATCTGTATAGCAGACCAATCTTCAAAGGGACCCAATTACATGCTTCTGGTGGCTCTCCAATTTGCTCCAAGCGGTCAAAGGCGGGCTCACCGGAAAAGGAGGGCTTCCACCACCCAAAACACTCAACAGTGTAAACCATTGAATTGGGCCAGGCCTTCAGGGCAAATGCAATGTGAGTGGACGGATTCAATGGGAATCCCGACAATACCAAAGCCTTTCGTTGACTACAAGGCTTTGTGAAAATATGTGCGCCTGCAGGTTACGCGGCCTCAACAGCGGGTGCCCTACAGCTTGCAAAAGCAGTCATTGAGCTGGTGTCTTCCGGTCTGTGTAAAACAACGGGTTAACCCTTGCACGACTTTTTGCTGGCTTCCATGCAACTCTTGCAGATCGAGCGGACGTGTTTCTCTTGTATTGTCTGCAAACATTCAGAGTTTGTGACATCCGAAGTCGTCAAACAAAGAAAATGGCGGTGCCGAGCGAACTCGCGGTGACAAAAACACAGAATGGCTAAAGTGATGTGCAACAACGACATTGAAGGTCGACCAACAATGTGAACGAGCTCACCGGCAGGATCTAAGCAGCACGGGCAAACCATGGATATATTAACGCATATCTATCCTTAATCTTGGTACAAGTAATTGTTTTTGCGCTTGCCCATGATAAAGCAGAAGCAACACGTGTGTGCTTTGCCAAAAGCTCTCCGTGCTTTTGCGCATGCGGCAACGGACCGCACTTTCCGAGGAAAAAAAGGTGTGCTTGACACAAGCCGCCACGGCTGAGGCTAAGCCTTCCAACAGTGGCGCGCGCGAAATGTCCGAGAGCATCAGCATGCACGGGAAAACTTGATAAAAAAGATCATCTGCTCATCAGCAACACCAGCTCTTGAGAGCATGACAGCGCAAACTGAGAATACAAAGGCGCTTTCTCATCTTACTGCGCTTGCAACCACCTGCTGAAGTCACGAATGAAACACAGAAACAATAACACATCGTCAACGCATCGCTGTAATGCAATGCCCGTGGAAGCCTAAGACAAGGGATCACCGACCCAATTACTGAGGGCCAGTCCGACATTGCCAACTATCTCATCTCACCAACAGCGTAGGGGTGTCTCACGCCAATCCCAACATCATTCAGATGCTCTGTAAACTGGATGGGCGCGCCTGCAAATGGGGCAGGTGATCTTTTGCTGGCGTGCGCCCTGGGAGAACCAGCCCAAAATACAGGCTGAATGAAAGCAGTGCTTGCAGATCAGCTGTCTGGCTGGCTGGCCAGGCGCGATGTCCTCCAAGCAAACTGGGCATATGTCCTGCGATTCTTCGATGTGCACTTCAGGAAGGCTGGCTTCAACATCTCGCTCGAAGGCTTTCAGGCTCTCGCTCTCTCGCCAGCTGGCGGTGCAAGTGTGGATGATTTGAATGATGAGCAGCACCTTGAGGATTACGATCATAACAAAGGCACCGATTTCCCATTCCGATATTTCGAACTCTCTCATCCTCAGTCTCCACCTCCATTGGAGCTCGTGGAAGAACGAGCACTGGAGCCATAAGTTGCCGCGAAAGCTTCTCAACCCTCAACTAAATGCCGTTATGTACCCATGATTTACCCATCTGGACACAAAGTACCACAAACAAATTGGAAATCAGGAATCTTCAAGTAAAGGACATTCATCATGGGAACACTTTCTGTAACCGGTTTATACCGTGCTACCATGGGATTCTCATCCCCTGGCCTAAGCGTTGCAAAAAAAAAAAAAAACAGTTCCCACAGTTTTTTTCAGATATGTGGGAATCCCGCCCACCCAACCTGAAACCAGAAAGGACTCCTGCCCCAAAAGCCCCTCTTGAACTTCCCAGGGAAATCCTGCTACTGTCGACCTACCCCGAACTCCTCTCTTTTGGCTCCTGAAACAACATGTTGATTCTGGTCCTTTTTCGATCCATTTTCTGGTAGTGTTCAAGTTTGGACCAAAGTCCCACGCAAGGGACACCACAGGTCCCCAAAGTTAGGGACCCCCCCCCCAAAAGCGGATTCCGTTTTGGTGTCCATTCAAAGCGATAACATGGTAATTACCCTCGAACAAAAAATGCTACACACCACCCAATTGGTTTCCTTGTGTACTCCCTTTACACGTAGTTTCAGAAACTCCCATTAAACCATCTCTAGTAAATCAAGGAAGTTAATTACAAACATACCAACAAAAACAAATATATACATACATGGCTGTGTCTTTCTTTCGACCCCCAAAATGGTCTCCGATTTGGTTCGCCAAGACGCGTCACCCTCACAGCCACAAACCCCTCCAAGCCCCTCCGTCCGAGGCACAGGTCCAGGGCGCCCAGGCGCCGGGACGCCTCTGCACTCCTCAGCTCCGCCTGAGCGGTCCGGGTGACAAGCAAGTACGAGGGAAAGGGGAAACATTCTCCTCAAAATCACTCAAACTCGAAAAATATGATGAAACTTGAATTTGACAATCACCCAAATGTTTAAAACAAAAATGATGCATGGAAGTTGACAGTTGAGCATCACCCCACAGGAAGATGATGAAACACATGTGGAGTTGGGGGGGGGGGGGGCGCTGGCCTGAACTCCATTTCGGCGATTCCAGGCATCCGGCTTAATCCGGCCTGGAGACAGGTCTCAACGAACCTGTGTTGGGAGGCGACCAAAATGCCATGGGCGCAAAAAGTGACTCCAGGGACTTCAGAGAACCTCACTACAGTCTCTAAGTTGGCAGACAAGCTTCTTTGCCCGCACTAATCAAACAAGCAAACAACAAAGCAAGACACTACAAATACATACCAAGATCGAAAAGCCCAAAGCAAGTCAGGCTTTTTCGTGTTCTGAAGAAAACCCTCGAAATGTTGTTTTTCCTTCACCAGGGCGGACAACTGGCACAAAGGAAGCCTCGTTCCATGGCAAGGGCAATCTCAGCTTCCGCCCATTACGGATGTTGAGTCTGGTCCAAGCTAAGGTTACAGAAGTGAATATTTGGGCTGGCTAAACTGTGGAAGTGAACATTTTGAGATTACGGATCGATCGACCCGCCTGCTGCTCCACCGCGCCGATCTTTTCGAAGGCCTCCTGCCTCCGAGGGTCGATAGATCAGTTGGGGCGTGGGTCTTGGGTGTCTGTTCCTTGGGCCTCCAGATTTCAGCAGTGCGAGCGCTGTAGAAGAAATCGGTTGGTCGAGGCCCAGGGGGGCTGAATTTCTTAGCGTCCATTTTGTCTTTAAAAGAGCTGGCTTCTGCCCCTCTGGAGCCAGGGGCGGCTGGATTTCTTAGCCAATTTCTTGGCAAAGGAGCCCTTCGTTGCCCGAAAAGGCCGCTAAGAAATCCAAGGCCCAGTTGGTGTAGCGGTACTAGGAACAATTGGGTCAATTATTGGCGTGCGGGGTGGCTTTCTTCCTCGCACAAGGTACAAGTTGGGCAAGGCATTGGACGAACAATTAAGGGGGGCTCAATTTCTTAGCCGCAGACTCAGTTGCAACTTGCTTGATTTGGGAATCTCAGCCCCTCAATTTCTTATAGAGTGATTTCTTCTACAGTGCTTGCACTGTAACCATTTTCAATGCAACATCCAAATGTGACATTTGAGTTTGGGGCAAAAGCTTAGGCAGCTTGGGGAAATGACGGGATTGCCGGCAATGGCAATCTTATCGCGGCAGTCGAATTCGGATTCATCCAGAAAGGTTGTCTAGATCCCAAAGGGAAACCACCCGTTGCAAAGGGAACAAGAAACATCGCCAACCGGCCAAACAAGTTGAAGAGTTTGTGTTTTGGAAAATTCGTATTTGCTTGAATATGACGTGTCACTAACCGAAGATTCTCAAGGACACCCTACACTTTCCGCCAGTGACCCGCGGTTAAGACCAACAAATTCCGGGCCGCCTTGGCTCCCCTGGCTCATCAATGTCAGTTGGACACCCCCTGTCAAGGGGCTTGATCGGTCCATTCTCTGAAGGAACCTAGGTCCCCAGTAGTGCCCTTTTACCCTTCTTTGGGGGAGGGTTTCCCTACTAAAATAGACAATAGAAAAAAAGTTGGTACCCTTATTCTAACCTAAACCAACAAAGGGAAAGAAGGCAAACTAATACTCGCAACAGTGATTTTCGAGAAAAGGTATGTAAATACAGGGTGCTGGGGAAAGATGGATAAGACCAACTCAAGGTGATGCGAATCTGCACACTTGATCGAACAATGACGACTTCCGGGCAGAGGTCGTTGAGGCGTTGAGATGCACAAAAAAAGCCATCTCCGGCCAAGCGGCTGCTTTTGACGGATGTCATTCTTCAGACGCGCCTCGGTGTCCGCCACGTTCCTGGCAAGGCGATGGCCTTCCCTCCAAGATGGGTCCCTGGGTCCCGACATTTCCCTATTTGGAAAGCTGAAAAAAACATCACCGGTCCGAAAGTTTCAACACTCCTCAGGCTTGTAGCTAGCAGCTAGCGCCTCCTAGCAGCGTTGGCCTTTAGGGGTGCCTGGCAGGGCCTTGGCAGGGTTCGGGGAGGTTTGCTGAAGGGCTGCTCAGCGCAAGTGATGTTCAACCCTGGCCAAAGTTTTGTTTAGAACGTGGCGGCCCAACCAAATCACGCAGGATAGGGTCGGATTCATTGACAACTGGAGGTTGACCTATGAGCTTGACATGCTCGCCTGCTTAGTTTGCGGATTAGTGGCACATTGGTTTGTCAGGGAGTCATATGAGCGTCTCTTGACATGGGGATCCATTTTAGCAACCACCCCCAGGTTAAAGGACAAACACGCCTTTCTCTTTCTTGCTTCCTCCCCACCCGCTGAAAGGTTTAGGGTCTCTGCCAAAACAAGCTCCGGGGCGGTTCGGAGCAACTTTCAGGGATGGTTCCGGAGGATTGCACGCGGTTCCGGGGCTGTTGTTGGGATACCACATGGGCAGATCTTTTTTGAAATTGGGGAACCCACCTCAAACAAGATTCCTTTTTAGCCTCCTTGCTTTCCTTAGAAGCAAATCCAGTTGATTTGTTTACCCCAGATTCAGCCTAACAGGCTGTGCTCTCCCCAAAAGTAAAGGATGGCCTCTTGAATGAAGCCTCCAGCAGCTCCCAAAAGCAATTTTCAGACCTCATGGAGCCACCCCGGCCGTCAGCCCTGCCTTTCCAGGTCGCTGCGCACCACCGCCACCTAGCCGAAACACGCAACCGCAGCGCCGCGAGGGGAAGGGGCGGTTCACCTGTTCCTCGCATCTGGGGATTGGTTTTGCCTGCGATGCCCAGATATCGCGATTCATTTTTCTGCGGCTTGGTGCTTCTGGGGATTCTTTGGGGGGGGGGAGGGTGCTGATGTCGCTACTGACTTTTTCGCAGAGTTTCAGGCGATCCTGCGACTCAATCCCGGAACTCGGATGCGTTTTAAGTCCGCCTCGTTGAAGCAGTCGCTGAGGGAGTTCTGCGTGGTGTGCAGGGACTCCTGTGTTGCCGCCAGGTCCTTGTTGGTGAAGTCCTCAAGCCGATTGCTCGGAAAGCCTTTCCAACCCCTTGTCTGTTCAAGAGTCTTTACCCCCTTCCCCCCAAAAAAAGAAAAGAAAGAGCAGCCATCAACCTCAAAAGGCCCTTGAGAGGGCTTGAAGGGAGAGAAGCAAATGGCGCCGCTCTCTGCAAACGTCAACAAAATGTAAATTGGTAGTATCAATAAGCCGCACCCCAACGCCGCAATTCTAGCATTCTGCTACCTGCAAGCAGGCAAGCATTCGCCCAGGATAACCAGGGGAACCCCAACGAAACGGGATGTTCGGACACCACTGGACCCCCAAAATAGATCCGGAGGTCAATGAATCCGAGGTCCAAATATATACATATATTCTATATAGTTCTATATATATATATATTCAAATGAGCACACCAACCTCTGAAAGCCTTGGAGACCCATGTCTCTTGGTGCGCAATCAAGACTCAGACATTTCGCATGCCCAGACGCAATGCGGCCGTTCAGGGCGTTCACGGCCTGGTCGGTGTCGCTGGTGATCTTCGCCTTGGACTCCTGGCTTCGGTTTGGGTTTTAGCGACCAAAAGGGGACGAGGGACCCGATCCAACACGGTTTCTCCAAACGAGGGGACTCCTTTTGGCGAATTTAGGACCCCGCAAGAAACCTGGGTGGCAGGTTCCGGAAGACAAGCTTGAAGAAGAAACGTGGACGGGAGGGGGACTTCCAACCGTCTTCAAGCACAGGCGTCAATCAGATCTCACTTGGTGGGCAGGTCCAAAGTCGGACCTGATTTTCCACGCAGTAGGGGTAACTTCTCTTCAAAATAACCACCAAAACCAGCCCTGCCATACCAAAGGGTGTGAAGTTACCCCGGAACTACTCTTTACGTTCCTGTAAATTACCATTTCGTGGGCGTTGGTTCCTTGCAATACGGCACGGGCAAATCAAGAGAGGCTGGGATTGGGCAGAGTGTTCAACCAGCCAGCAGCCCTCAAAAAAAAGGAGAACAAAAAAGTGAGTGTCTCAAATACAAAGGGAGGCAAAAAGGGTGAAAGGGAGGCACAGTGGGCCCATGTTGGCCCACTTTCAAGGCAAGACAACAGGAGGTTGTTTGAGTCCAGGTGACAAAGCCATGCTTAAAGGGGTTGGTCCAAGCTTTATCTGACCAGGAAAAACAATAAGAGTGGCTCCCAAGCAACAATAGGAGGTTGTTGAAACAACGAGTGTCTCGATCCTTTTACTAGGGACCTGCCGATCGATTGAGGCAACCACAAAACGTTGGTTGCCCATTCTTGTTAGGGACTCACTAAGTGCATGAGTGGATTGGTCATAAGTCATAAAGTCCAAAGTCTGGCAGGCTGGTTGTTAACCAGTAAAGTGATCTTGCCACAACGTTTTGAGTCCTCGCTGGGAACGTGGGGGCCATTTGTTCCAGAAAACCAGCTAAAACCACAGAGAAAGGGTTGGTTGCTCGTTTCCACAACGGCATGTTTAAGGAGACCGTTGAGAATCCACTGCGTCTTACACTTAAAGGGGCCGCTGCTTGGGCGCCTCAAGATTGGTCTCGACGGCTGTGATGTCGTGGCGGATCGTGGCCAAGATTTCGTCCACCTTGCGCTCAAACCGTTGCCAGCAGCTTAGCAAACGGCAAAAATCCTCACACGCTCTCAATGTGTCAACCCTGGAACCTAAAACAAGCTCTCCCCAAAGATGGGCACACCGGGGTTTTCCAATAGGTTCATTGGCAAAGGGAATCCAAGGGAAGCCGCTCGCAAAGGACACCACTGCCTACTCTCGTGTCAATATGTGGTATCATAGGAGGCAAAAATGTGAGATGTATTTGCTTCTCCCTGAGCGGTACAGAAAAGGCCTGCATTGGTTGAGTGAAAGTCAAGGACGAGTCCGAAAAAAGAATTGCCCACTCTTGGCATTGCTTGGTTACAAGCTCAAAAGCCGCGGGGAGCTTGCCAAAAAGAGGCTGGCCCATTCTTTGCGTTTAATTTACAAAACAGGCGAACCGGCAAACGGAATCAACCGCGCAAAGTAAATGGTTTTACATTCCTTAAGGACTTGAGGCCATCAATATCTGCACGACCCGGTAGTACGGTAGCAAAAGCCGTGCTAAACTGGTCAACTTTCCACCAAACAGGTGTGGCAACCCCACGTTTACATATGGGACGCCGGAGCTGAGCCGGTAGATGTATGTGGGGCCTAGGCAGGCGGTGATCTTGGGACGGCTTCGGACCTTACACCTGTCGCGCCTGTGAGTTGCTCCTGTATATATGCGTTTGCTGTTTGGAATCTGCGCACTTTTCGGATGAAGCTACTCCGGTAGCCGAATTCGGCACCGCTTGTGGAAACAATCGAGGCTACGCTGCTCGTTCCTGTGCGGCACAGCCGGTTGCTGAAGTCTGTTCTGTTTACATTTCAACTAGCACTTTTGTCTCAACCCAGGCCTGGCCAGGCACGCATTCCATTGAACATATGGCACCCGACGCAAGTACCACCTATCACCTACACCCGACACTTTGTGGCCTTTGATTTTGCAACCCACTTGATAGCTCCAAGCCCACAAGCATTGCCTGGATCCGCTTCTCGCTCCAGGACTGTGCCTGCCGCACTTTGTGTTGAGATAAGTTGATTTAGTCAACCTTCAGCGCCCTGCCACCCCGCACTTTGCGGGCAAATTTGCAGCACTGGTGCAAATGGCCGCAACTGCCAGCAAATACGAAAGTGTGCGTATGCATGTGCGCGTTTCAGACCTTTTTACGCAGAGAATGTCCTGACGTGTGCAACTTGCCAAGCAAAAGCTCGATTTTCAGCCAGGTGTGGTCAGTTGAAGCTGCGCCGCTCCGCCCGACAAGGCCCAACAGGCAGCGCATTTATCCTTGTCCTAGTCGTGTTCGAACAGCTTGACAGGCTAATGTCAGGACTATATACACCCAGAAGGCTTACGCAAAGCAGCCAAAAACGCCTCGCGCAAATCTTGGAACTTTGAACGCTGGTTGCTTGATATGCGCATTTTACATCACTTGTGTATTGTGCGCACTTTGTTTGGCTCAATTGAAGGACGACCCCTGATGTAAACATCATAATCCTGCCCCTCGTGTTGGAGATAGTTCGGCGAGGGGGGAGGTTTTCGGGCGGCACGATGGGCTTGCGGCGCCTTGCGGCGCCTCGCATCCACGTCGAGGCGAAGGCTCGAGACCTGGACCAACATGCCGGTCAAACGAAACCCACAGGTGTCCCCTGTCCCCAGTCCTGAAAAGGTCTGTCCCATGCTGTGGACGAAATCTTGCACCGCTTTGAAACTAAGGGAAACCATGGTTTGTTGGTATTTACAGGGAATCAGTTTTCCAGGGTTTCTTAGGTGGTGCAGGATTTCGTCCATCCACAGTATCAACCGGGAGTCAACAACCAAGGGTTTGGTGCATGATTGGTCCAAACCAAGGTTTGGACACCGATTGTGTTGAAGGGAGCCCACTCAATGTGAATCATCTCTCACCAAGCCACCATGTCCCGAACTGTCTTCACTGCTGCATCCAGATCGTCGTTGGCCTCCTGCAGGCGTAAGGTCCGGAAGGAAGGGGCAAGTTACTACGAGTTACCGACTGGAATTAAGGCATGTCTGGTGAGTGACATCATATCCATGCTGGTCCAACGAGCCAAATCTGCGTCCGTGGGTTCCGAATTTCGCGTCCAAGCGAGCCTGGGATGGCGAGTGACTTCTTCCCGTCCAAGCGAGCCAAAAATGGCGAGTGACTTCTTGTCCCTTGCTCGGATGTGCCATGGTCAACACTCCTTTTGTGGGACATGGCTCGCGTACACGGAACCCCTCTGATGGTTGTCTAAATTCCCTAACGGCTTCATGACCATCCCCACCAACCCGAAGCAAAAGGGTGTTTGACCATGGCTGAAACCACTCACAAGCTTGCCATGCAGGGCCGTGTGTCAAGCCGAGACACGGGAGCAAACAACGTCGGAACCCACCGACAGTTCCGGTCGCTTCACCTCCTGTTTAACATGAGGTCAGTCTGTCAGGCGCAAAAAAAACGACCTCAGCCGGTAGGTCTTTTGAAAGGCTTGTCGCTTCGGGGCTGATCTCTCCATCACCGTGTCTTCATTAACATAACACATGTCAAGGCCCGATCGCAAAGAAAGGGCATGTGGTTTGACCCGCTGTTTATTGTAGTCTTCCCGCAATTCCTGAACAGATGCCCGGTCTGGATTTGAAGCAGCAACACCTGCTTTCGGATCCTTCCAGGCAACGTTGTCCACCTTGGTGTCGAGCTTGGTATTCATCTCATTCTTGAGGTTGATGATGTCCTGATGCGCATGAACACCACCCCCAAATTGGAAAAGCGTAGGTCTCCCCTATTTTAAGATGATTTCCACTACACCCGAAGCACCACCAGAGCCCTTTACGTAGCGGCTAGATGGTGATGGTATATCCCAAACCCCTGGCACTGGATTGCGGGTAGTGGAAGCCAGCGTAGAGACCTGTGCCTATAATCCCATCGGCAATTGGAAAGAGCCTCCCCCCCAAACATACACTTTTTCGCATGTACCACACAGGCAAGATGCATTTGGGAAAGTAGCTTTGAACGAATGTCCTCCGTCCATACGGGACTAGGGGATACACAATGTTTTGCCCAGGTGAAACTTAAGGCTTGGGCAGCTCTGTTGAAACCTGCGCATCACCGAGGCGACTAACTCGCCTAACATGGAAAAGCTGCAACTGTTTTGGTCCGCATCCGCCTGAAAGGACTACTAGCCAGGACCACCCACAAAAACACACCAAACAGAAGGCCAACTAATTAATGCCTGAACGTGGCAAAGAAAAGCGGCGGAGCGCAGAAGAAGCGCCCCAAACCAGCAAGGACAAGTCGGCAGCCCACGTTGAAACAAAATCACATGTTCTGTTGCAGACCCCACCACAAACAGACAGAAGCAACAACGCAACACTCAACGCAACAAACAAGTGTGGCAGTATGTTACAGTAGCAAAGCAAATATAGTAATGACATGTCTGCGGAACCCTCCACAAAGGTCCTCTTTAGGAACAGCGCACCGTTTTTGGTGGGCGCAGTGCCTGTTCCAGAAAACGCCCAAAGCTGAGGTCCTCTGTCAAGTTCTCCTCCTTCTCCTGCATCTGCTGCAAGGTACTGGACACATCCTCCATCCTCAGCAGGCATGTGACGTCTGACGCCATTGAGACCACGAGAAACGTATAAGCCTGTCGCAGAGCTCGTCGCCCCCATGGCTCTCTGTCTGCAAATTGCGAGACGTGTCCATCCTGCACTTGGGACGGATGAAGCCCTGGGATAAACCACTTGCCAACTGGTGCAGGTTTCTCCACTGGAACATCTCCGGCGCTCAACCAAACCTTGCACGCTGAAAGCCTGGAAATTCCGAGGACAGTGACTGAGTTGAATGGTTTCCTTTTTTGGTGGGGAACCATACGTGAATGTTGATCTGTGATGGTAGGTGTCCTGAAAGAAAGGAATCCCCCTTCCAGCAAAGGCCTCAATGTCGACCCCGCATAATGAAATACACCACTCGGCTCAACTGGTCCGTGCTTCCTCCCAAAAGTGAAGCACCCCCACTTGGACGGGACGTCCCCCCTATTCAACCAGGGCTTTATGAATCTTGAACTTCCATTTCCCCCATAGATACAAACGCCCGTAGAAACGCAAAAAGGCTCGCCGAAGGTCCAACTGTCGTGGTTCTTGAGCGCCTCCTGGATATCTCCGATGTCCAGTCGCATCGTAGAGATCTCCGCCGTCATCGTCGCCTGGCCGGTGCTTGTGAGAAGGAGCTCGGTAAAAGAAGATAGGTGATGCGTGCAAATACGCAATATATGAGCAATTGCATTTCATGCATAATATATACATATATATATATAGACATGAAGCTCCGTCAAAATTTGCTGTTCACAGTAAGTACGTTCGAATTTAGAGAGTCCCCTATCGTTTAGTTTGGTCTGTAACACAAAGGTGTCGTTTTTTTGAGAGTCCTATCGTTTTCCATGGTTTCAAGCACCTTGAGCTATATGGATGTCCAAGTGTAGACTATTTTCCTTTTCCGTAAATTCTGACCGCGCTTCATATACATACGCAGGTGATCTACATCTATACAAAATCTAGAACTACCTATGTGCATGCAACGTTGTACATCTGTATCACTGGTGTGGATGAAGTCGGGTATCATACTTCGGGCTTTGCGTCAGCTGAACACAATTTGCTCCGGGCCACTCTTCACCCTGCCACCGAAGCAACGAGCAAACTTTGGAGCCCAGCACTGAACCAGCAAACTAAAAGCAAGCCAACCACTCGAAGCCGTCTCCAATTTCGAGCCAATGTTGCTCCGGCCCCATCAAGGCACCCCCGCAATTCTCAAGCTCTACCTTGTGACCCCGTTTTATCGCCCTCTTGCGCCAGCTAAAAACCCGTGAAAAGAAAGAAAAGAACCGGGCTTTGGTCTTCACCTTCGTAATCGATCCAATGGGCCAGGTCCAACCGGCGAAATCCCGATGCCTCCACTCGTTGGCGGCTGGTGATGATGGAATGCGTCGCCTCAGTCACCCAGCGATGGGGCATCAGCCATGGCCTAAAGGAAGGCACCAAATAAAAACATTTTTTCTGGAGATACGTTCTACTGGCTGCTGGGTTGTTGCACCTTCAGTCACGCAAACATGTAAGGCATATCCTAACTCCAGCCTGTATCTGGCCACATAAAATCAATATGCAAGGGTAAGCTTGGAGTCTTAGCATGGCCATGGCAAGCAAATCCTTCACCACAATGGGTGTAATTCACTCTTCTTTCAAGCAAACTGACCTGCCAAGGATCTGTGATCCTGGACTAATTCAATCTTCCCATCTTTTTCAGGGCCTCAAAGAAGAGGTGATAATTAAAGGGCCCCTGAGGTGTCAGTCCGGGAGCGGGCATTGGTGTATGTTCGGGTCAAACAGCGCCTGGGTAACAGCCGAAAAGTCAAGGTCTGCGGACCTGGAGATTCTTTCTACAGCTGGGCCCACCCTCTTGAATTCAAGCAGCGTCCACACGGGCGCGCATCTCATCGAGGTCCACGTTCACGGCGTCCATGGCTGCAGTGAAGTCCTCTAGTTCCACAAAAAACGTGCGGCGGTTTGCCATGTGGCGGTGAGGCAAAGCAAAAGGAAACATTGCAACGTGGAACCTAGCAAGGGTTTCCTTGGAGGCAACCGGCCCGGAAATACCTTTCAGGTTCCTTGGGGGAGGGGAGCAATCTGTTCGGAAGTCTGCAACCAATACGAAGAAACGTCGATCTTTCTGTGCTTTCGTTTCTTTGGGGAACGATGATGGGGAAGGCCACCCAAAGAACAGTTCGGATGCCGCACCAGTGAAATGGCTGGCGACTCCAGAGCAACCCTCAAAACTCAGCTGCCGGTCAGCCCAAAGGAAAAAGGTCACTGTATTTCCACTCAACTGTTCTCCAACGGAAGCCGCTGAACATCTTTGGAACAATGTCGAGTGGCCATGCCCATGCAATGTAGCAACCGTTTAGACAAGGACCGCTGCAAAGACTGGGCCGGGGGAATGAACTGGATCGACCGGATCGATCTCGCTCCTCCATGTCTCGCTCGCAGGCCAAGACGATGCGGCGGATGTGGTTCACCTCGCCCTTGTTGTTGCCTCTTGGGTCAGGAGGGAGCCCATTTGACACTTGAGAGCGACGCCCTCTCTCCAATCACAGAAGTGGACAGGATGGCTTTGGAAGACTACTCTCTTAAAAAGGCCCTTTGTCCACCTCCATGAGTGTTGGCAAACAGTGGCAATGAAGGAAGCTTCCGGCTTATGGTCTGGCAGTTTGTTCACGGCTCTTTAGCCACCATTCAAGTCTTTCAAGGTACCAAGCCTCAAAACCATCCCACCAACAAATCCGGTCACGAAAGAGTGAAAACAGCGGTCGGTCCGCCAAGCAGCCCAGTAGGTCTTTGAGCTCGCCCACGTCGTATTTCAGCTGATCCAGGTCCTTGGGGCGTTTCAAACCAACGCTCCAATTGCAACAAAGGGACTGCGGTAGCAAAGGCAGCCCCGTTTTGAGGTTGACCGTGGGTTTACCATTGCAGATGTGGAACCTACCAAGAGGGAGCAAGAGTGCCACTGAACTGCTGTAGCTTCACCTCCCTTGGCATGAGGCTGTTCGAAGGCCCAAACAAAAGAAACGGCTACACCACACGGACAGTGACACTCTGTCTCAAACCGGAATCTTACCGCGCTTGAAGAACTTTCTTCTGGATCCCCACGTGGGAATGGTCAGCAGACCTGTCTCTGACTTACCATTGTTGTAAGTACGCGCCCACCCACAAACATCAAACCTGTTTGGAGGTCCCTGGAAGACAGTGTTCCTTTTTGGGGAGCTCTCTCAGGTTCCATGCTATCCTCACTCACTTGATCGACCAACTATTCCACCTTCATAAATGCAACATCTGACTACTCATCTAGTAAAAATGATGAACATTCACAAAACAAGAGGAAGCATGTTGATGATGTCTGCCAAAAACGAACGGGTCAACACAAGCAAAGCGGTGCATAGCCTATCTGGTCAAACTTTGTTGTAGTTGTCAGCATCTGCAGGCGCAGACCCAACAAAAAGCAATTAAACCCAACGCAGCAGCAAACTAACACACGCAATAACACAGCTGCGGCGATTAGACCATTGCACTTCTACTAAAGCTTCTGAGAGAAGCGGGCAATTCCAAGCTCAATCCTTGCGCTTTCCCATGCTGCGGCAACAGCAATGAGACGAACCACTCAGAGCCGAAATCCCTTGCAGATTCTTTTGTGAGGTAGTGAGCGGCGATACCCCAAAGCACCAACTACAAGCACACATTGCATAGTATAATATTTAGTGGAGGCCAGGGTTGCAGGAACTGCCACCACTATTGACATCAATTATGTCGAACATGACGCACTTTCCATTCTACCTGCTAGTCCGTTACTATGTACCACCGGTTGGCCTTCCCAGTCAGGAAGTCCTTTCGCCACCAAGGAGCAGATATGTTTTGGCAAACCATCTAATCTGGGTGAATTATAATTGTGGTGCCGCTATTCAGAAGCGGTCTTTTCCTCGACACAAAAACGGCTCCATTGTGCATGGTTTGTTGCCTATACATGAACTCCTATGGTTCACACTCCTCCCAGGTACAATCCGTTAGGCTTGCACCTGCGCTAACGGTTCTGCCCCTCAGCTCAAGCCGTCCTCGATGTAGGTCATCACCACCCCGGGGTCCTGGCGTACCTCCTCCCTCTGACTCCGGCGCATCGTCGGCACCTGTCGAAGGCGCTCCACCTCCTTGTAGCCGCCAAAGTGGGGCAGTTCAGGGAGTAGTGGTACCTGACCCCGTAGTCTGTGGTGAGCACCGGCTTCCAGTCCCTCACAATGACTGGGACCGTCTGCTCCTCTTCCACGTCTTGCATCCGGAGCTCCTGTTCGAAGCACCATGTGCAGACATACCTTGCCTCTGCTCGACTTCCGGCGCACTCTCTGGTGTGGTGTGCGATCCCGTCCTTCTTGTTGAAGAATAGCTCTTCGTCCTCGATGTCCCACCTTTCGTTGTGCACCGCCTCATCGATCTGGACCAGTTGCCGCTCTTGATCATTTACTGGCGGTTGGTCCTCACTCCTCCAAGGCGGAGTGGGGTGTCTCCTCGCATAATCTCTCCTCCATGGTGAATTGAGGATCGGCTTCCCTTTTCCTTTTCCAGAGCCGATTCCACCCTTTCCCTTCTCTAACGGCCTCCTCAAGGCCTCTGGTGCTGCTTTTGGTCTAGCACCCAATGCTTCCGACCCTCCGCCACCTCCGGTAGTAGTGGATCTTCTCCTTGTAGTTGATGCCGATGCTCTCGACGACGATGAAGCCTCTTCTTCCGACTCCTCTTCTTCGTCACCCGCCGGCATCTTGTTGTGTCCACGCATCGCCCTTATAGATGCACACTCCCCTCTGCTTCTCTTCTCTCATGCCTCTTTCACCATTGCCGCCACCTTGATTGCCAGAGCCGTGAAGAGGGCCACCAGGATGCCGAAGCCGACCAGGGCGTTGTAGTCTCCCTGATCTTCTTCTTTGACTTTCTCCTCTTTCGCCGCCACTGCCTGGACTTGCATGCAGCATGCCAAAATGGCCAACGCTGCCCTTCCTTTTTCCAGGTCCACCTCCAGGGCTCCTCCTTCTTCTGGCTTTGGTGCTCCAATCTCCACCAAACCTGCCATCTTGCGCAGATCGCGTAGGCGAGTTCCCGGCAGACACTTCGTGCCCATGTCGGCGACCAGATTGGCGCCCATCCGTTGCACTATCCGCCAGTCCCCCATCTGCACCCTCCATCTCACGTAGAACGCTCTCAGACGAAGATGACGCGTCCGCCACGATCCAGCATCTCCCGTGCACAGCGCGACCGCCGCTTGGTTGTCCCCGACCAACGTCCGCGAATAGTCCATCTCCGTCTTGATCTCCTGGATCAACGCGTCTACCGAGTCTCCAAGAACCATTCCCTCTATCATCTCCATCAGCTCGGACTCGGCTGTCGACAGCGTAGGGAAGCTCTGCCTCGAAGATCTCCACGCCAGCATTGATCCCTGCCATTTGACCATTACACCGCCATGGCTAATCTCGCCGCCCGGCGCGAAGCTCGCATCCGTGATCACCTCCAAGCCCGCTCCTCTACTCTTTCTTCCATCTGCGTCCTCCCCCATGTCCTTGTCCAGCAAGATGCCCTCCGTCTTGGTCGCGTTGAGGTACCGCAGTGTTTGGGTCGCGGTTCTCTGTGGAGCCTTGGACACGAAGCTCGACATTCTCGACACCACGTAGGCCAGGTCAGGTCTGCTCCGGGTGACCAGCCAAATCAACTCGCCCACCAGTCGCTGACCCGTCTGAATCTCCTCCGCCGTGATCCCGATCTCTGCCTCTGGCTCGCTGCACTCCTTGCTCATGGGGATCACCGACTTGCCAGTGACATTGTTCCGATCGATGATCTCCTTGATGTAGTCCATCTGGTCCAAGGTGATCCCCTGCTCCGTCACAGAGATGTTCACCCCGCAGAACCTTACCGGCTCCTCGCTGAACCAGCTCTCTTCCGATGACTCCCACGTGCCCTTGATCTTCTCCATGAGGGCTTGAGGCACTCCTTCCACGCCCAACGGCATGAAGTCGTCCACGTAGACTCGCAGTAGGCCGACCAGCTCCTCCGGATTCAAGTCCTCCTCCACCTTCTTCACCAGCCACAGATTCGGTTCGCTCCTCATCTGCTCCAACTTCAGCCACCGCTTGCCACAGTTGATTCTCCACCTCCTCATCTCGTCGTCCCGGTAGTCCGACCAGCACCTCGGACTCTGCCGTAGGCCGTACATTGCCTTGTTGACGATCCACAGCTCTTATTTGGGTATCAACCCCATCCGGACCAGTACTGCCGGCGGTCGCATGGCCACCGTCAGCTCTCCCTCCTGGTCAACTGCCTGCAGCGGGGCATTCAGGAAGGCTCCTTTCACGTCCACTGTGCCTCCTTGCCACCCGCGAACCGCCGCCTCCTTCAACGCCAACCGCAAAGCCACCACGTCCGTGCCCGCCGCGAAGAGCGGCATGGCCTCGTGAGACTCCCCGTAGTTGCCGCACACCACCAGTCGGCACTTACGCTTCCTTCCTGGTTTGATTGTGAACACCCCTTTCCCGGGTAGTACTTGCACCCGTGGGTTGTTCTCCAGCAGCTCCCTCGCCGATGCCGGGTTGAGCCTGGTGATTGCACCCTTTTCTTCCACGATGGTGTCCAGCTCCTTCTTCATGGGTGCTTTCCAATCCTCCAGGTTCATCTCCTTGGCACTGACGATCTTGGTCTGGAGTATCTGCTCCTCGTCTTTTTCCACCTCTGTGCTGCCTCTTCTTCCTTCTTCAACCCTTCTAGGGCTTTCACCATAATGTCCATCACCTCCGGTTCGTCGTTCGTCACCGCCTTCTCTTCCTCCTCTATTGTGGCTCTGAGCGCCCGCAGCCTCACCAGAACCCCTTCGTCTTCCAACACCTTCTTCTGGGTCTTATCTCTTATCCTCCTCCGGACACGATAGGGTTCCTCCGGCTCGCGCTCTTCTCCCTCATCACCTCTCCTTTCCACGAATTGCCACCCGTCCACCGGCTCCGGGAGAGGTTTCCGCTTGTGCAGCACATAGGCAGCCAACTGGACTGTTCCATCCTCTCTCATCACGGCGTGACCGTTCGGTACGTCCACCACCGGGGCCAAATACCTCCCCTTGACGTGCCTTGGGCCCAGCTCCTCTGACTTCCACTTCCTTTTCTTCACCATCACCTCCTGGCAGAATCTGGGTATCGTGCCCTCTTTTCTCTGCCTTGTTCTCTTATCCTTCTCCACCACATACCGAGCTGCAGCTGGCCACCACTGTCCATCCACCTCGGCTGCAAAGAGCACTCCCCTCATTCTTGACTTCAAGTGCTTGATGGCCACTTCTGCTCGCCCGTTTGATCTCCAATCGTCTGCCGCCGTACTCGTCTTCGCGATGTCCCGGTTGAAGCACCACCGGCGCAAGGCATGGTCTCCTTGCCCCTGTCGCTATGCAATCGCGCCACTGGAAAACCTTGGCGCTTCAATTCCAGATACATCGTCTGTATGGCGTCCAAAACTTCTTTGCCTCCTTTCGTCGAGAGAGGCACTGCCAGCGTGTGGATTTCAATCTCCAGCGGCTCCTCTCTCTTCTCCTCATCCTCTTCGTACTCGTCCAGGTCGCCTTCTTCCATCTCTCCATCTTCCTGTTCTCCAACCAACTCCTCCAGCTCGAAGTCCCCTTCTGGGGGTTCTGGATCAGCCGGATCATGAGGGTCTCCTTCTTCCTTCTCTTCTTCTTGAGGCTCTTCCTCCTCCGGGCCCTCTAGCTGGAAGATCGTCCGCCCAGCCCATCGGCTCTCGTCCTCAAAGACCTTTTCCGTCTTTTCGGCATTCCTCCATTCAGCGGACCATCTTTAGTTGTCCGTGCTATGGTTCTCCTCCGTCCCCGTAATCGCTCCACGGGCACCGGACATCCTGGGGCATCGTCAGGGAAGAACCTTACCTTCCGGTGGCTCTTATGCACCCTGATCACGTACTTGCCGTTGGCGCTGGTGGTCCAGTAGTCCTCCGGTCGTTGCCCAGGTTGGTCCGGTTTCTTCACCTCCTCCAGGCCCTTCGCCTGGCCAGCTTCTCCACCTCCATCTCGTTCCTTCTCCGGGATCTCCTCAGACTTCAGCGGATTCTTCGGCCATGTGTACGCGCCCACAAGCATGTACTTGCAGCTCCGCCCGTCGATGTCTCTTCCCTTCTTCAGTGGTCCGGCCAGGTCCAACGAAAGGCAGTAGGCGTGCTTGTGCTTGATCCTCCTATGGGGTCGGTCTTGACCACTAGCCTCTTGACAAACTCGGCAGTCCCTCCTCATCGGGCAATGTCCCGCCGCGATGTGCTCTTGCCAACTCAGCTTCCGCAGCTTCACCACCTGCTTCCTGACCTGCGTCAGAATCGCTCTCGCCACTTCTCTCATGAGTCCTGGAGCCCACCTTGCAAGGTTCTTCGAGTCTCTGAGGTCCACCTCTTCCATCCGGGCTCTCGACACTAGCCCTGTCACCCTTCTCTCAGGCAGGTCGATGTAGAGGTTGGTCCCCAATGACCACCGCCAGACTTGCCCTTGCCACCGGCGAAAGCTCCTGGAGGAAGGAAACTAGCATAGCTTCGCTTGTTGCGGTACCTCCGAGGTCCCTTCTGGGCGAATCGCCGCCACCTCTTTCGAGCGAAGACATAGGCCTGGTAAGCGTCCTCGACAGTCATGTTGGCCTCCGGGTCATCCAGGGGCGCCTCATCTTGTCGGCTTTTGCGCTGCTCCTCCGAAGTCCCCCTGGTAGAACTCGTACTCGGCCATGCCTTCCATCTCCCCAAATGCTTCCCACTGGGTCGTTCCCCAAAAGGTCGGGCATCCAGGCATGTACTTCCTGGGATCCGCCGGCTGCTCCAACACGAAGCCAACCTGTGGGCCTCCCTTCGCATTCCGCGCTTCTTCCGCCACGAGGTAGATGGCCAACATCCGCCACATCATCACGTCGTCCTCCCAGACCGCCTTTTTCTCATGCGTCGTGAGGTCGCTCCTCCCAAACGGCTCTTCTGGTGACCTAACCGGTCGTGGACCACCGCCAGGTAGTGGATAATGTCGGAGCACACTCCTGGTCCGGCAATTCGGTCCACCCACCACCGCATCGAAACGGGAATCCAACGCGCCCCGCAGCAGGGCTGCATAGAGCTCGTCCGACATCATGTCGTGCTCCGGCCCACGCTGCAAATCAATCTCCAAGACGTCCATGTGGTCGCCTCCAAGCTCCTTCACCGCCCGATGGCTTTCCGGCCTTTCTGCTCCAAGGACCTTCTCCGTCTCCGATTCCATGGGATTGCCCGCAATGTTTCCGCCGGCTCCACCAGAACCTTCCTTCGCACCTCCTCCGGTAGGTCACGAAATGCAGGATGTAGTTCCACCACCTTTCTGACCGTTTCCCAGTCCAGGACCTTCTTTAGCTTTACCTCGCTAATCCGGCCCTTCCTTTTCTCTTTCCCCTTTTTCTCAAGCTCCCCGAGCAACTTCGTCGCCGTCCGCTGGGTCACATAGGGGCATCCATCCTCCATGTGAATCCGCAAAGCTCCCAGCTCTGGATGTACCGCGGCACTCCTCCCCATCCCACGTCACCACGCAGTGCAACCTCTCCACCAACAGACCCAACTGAATGATGGAGCCCACGCCCTCGTTCTCCTGGACGATGATGCCTCCCTCCGTGATCCGCATGACTTTCATCTCTCCTCCGGCCAGGGCAACATCGATCTCGTCCAGATTCTCGATGTCTTCACCTTCTTGCCGTGCACGTAGAGGATGCGTAGCTCCCGAGTCCAGTAGCCCACCATCACTCCACTTCCCTTGAGCGTTTACCTGGGCCCTTTTGAGAGACCCAGATCTCAACCCATTCAGCTGTTTCTGCAGGTCGTCCAAGCGGTCGTTCCTCTCGTCCACCTTCTTGACTCCCTGCGAGGCGTTGAGGCTCCGTAGCATCTTTGCTGCTTCCTGTTCCTCGAATCTTCCACTACCGTTTCCTTCTCCCGGATCGGCTTGATCTCCTCCTTCTTGGGTGAGGATGCCGAAGCCGGTGTCGTCGCCACGTCGTTCTCCTGGGCCACCCTTCTCACAGCCGCCGGCTTCTCGGGTAATGTCGGCTTCTGCTTTCTGGGGCAGTCCTTCCTCATGTGTTCCACTGATCCACACTCCCAGCAGCGCCCTCTTGCGGTCTCATCCGTGGGATGCTGCCACTCGCAACTCCGGCCCTTTCTGCAGCCAGCGTCCTTCATGTAGAACCTGCAAACTAGGTCTCTACGTCCCGTCCCCTGCTCCTTCTCTGTCTCGACCTTTTATGGGTTTTGTCACCTTTCTCTCACTCCCCTGGTTGCTCTGTTCCAGTTCGGCCAAGACATGCTCCGCGAACTGCTGCACCGTTCCATGCGTCGGCACGCTGTCCACCCGCAGCGTGTTCCGGGCAAGGGAAATCCGGAACGTCAGCTCCCGGTTCGTCTCCACCACCTTTCGAATCATCTTGCTGAGTCCCCTCATCATAACCGTGGGGTCTGGCAACGCCAAGTTCAGCCTCCACCTCAGCCACTTTCTCAAACCCTTGAGTGCCTCCAGGATCGTAGCAGCTTCCACCGGCTCCTCCATTGCCCGTAGTACCACTCCTTTTTGTCCAAGACCTCCTGGTTGATACACTACCAGAAGTCTGCAGATCGCCCCGTAGGCCGACACCGTATTCGTGGCGATCATCTCGTCTCTCACCGTCTCCGGAACCGCCTGGATGATGAGCGAAGCTGCCCGCCTTTCCAGCCGACTCCATTTCCTTAGCCCCAACACCTCCGGCGTCCTGGGCACCATGTTGACCCTGTTCAGCGGGATCTCCTTCATGTACTCCTCGTACCACTCGCGGGCCTCCTTCAAGAGTAGGTCCCACCATTCCATCGAGCTGTCACTCAGGTCCGACATCAGGGGATGGATGATGGTGAACCAGTCCCCTAGATCTATCGGACCATTTTCCGGGCTAACTTCGCCCAGGCGAGGCAACTCCGTGAAGCCCGCCTTGACCGTCTCGATGGTCTCCTTCTTCTCCTTCTGGTCCAAGAGCTGCTTCTGCATCATCTGCATGCCCTCCATGAGCTTCAGCATTACGTCCATCTGGTTGCCATCCTTTCCGGATCCGGCCACATCGCTTGCCCTTTCCGAGGCACCGCCATCCTGCTCATCCCAAGCATTTCCTTCTTCACCACCAGCTCCAAGTCCGCCTTCTCCGACCTTGCCATTCGGGGGGTCGCGGGTCGGGCCGTAGGGCTCGTGGTTCTGATTGTCCCTGACCGTGATCATGCCGTTCACCTTCTCCCGGCTTTCCGGCGTGCCGTAGTCAGCGTCCGTCTCCTTTCCTTGCTTCTTCAACACTTCCACCTCATGCTGAAGCCTCTGATTCCGCGTCATCAGCTCCTGCATCATCTGCATGAGGTAGACCGGGTCCACTCCCGTTGCCAATGGTGTCGTCCTCGCATCCTTGAGGCACCGCCATCATCTTCACCATCTGGCCCTCCGGCTCCGGGTTCTCCATGGGTAGGTACCTCGGTCGAAGTTGGCCACCACCCGGATTGTCTCCCTCCAGGCTACTCTCCACGGGCAAGTGCGCCGGCCTCGGTTGGTCCATCCGCGGTCCCCTCAGCAACGGTGCTTTCTCGTCCCACTTGTTGAACTCCCTTATCTGCTCCGGGGTGAACAGAGGCTTCATGGCTTCTGGCTCTCCTTCCGGTCCATTTGGCCACCTGCGTGGAGGCTCCGGATCGAGTTCCTCCTCGCTCTGGCCTGGCTTGAGTGGTGTTGCCGTGAGCTCAAGCGGCTTCACCACCTCCACCATCCTCCTCGGAGGCCTTCTGCCTCCAGCAAAGGGCACCATTTCCTGCCCTATGATCTCCAGGCCCTCCACCTCCGGTTCTTCTCCTTCGGCAGAATCGAGCCTTTCTCGAGGTTCTCCACTTCCTGATGCCCTTGTCGGTTCCATTGCCGAGCGAGGGCCCCTGTTTTAGGGGTTTGGGCTCAGAACCTGTGGTGCCGCTATTCAGAAGCGGTCTTTTCCTCGACACAAAAACGGCTCCATTGTGCATGGTTTGTTGCCTATACATGAACTCCTATGGTTCACAATAATATTTCACCAGCCTGAAATAAGGTGGTTGGAGGGATATTCCCCACATATTCCACCAATTTCCACCATTTGGGCTGAGGTCGTGTGAGGTCGTTATGATTCACCCAGATGTTTTATCATGTCCTGGGTGCAATGGTCAGCAATGATTGCCTTCTTGTCCATTCTAGTGAGCAATGGATGCAGGAGGGCCTTGGGTCGAAATGGTAACATATATGCAAGATCGAATGAAGCTCACGTCTCTGTGAAAAATGAAGAAAAAAGGGGAAACAAACAGAACACCCACCCCCCCCCCGCTCCCCACGCCACCGAAACCCAAAGCGTCGCCCTTCGGCCACGAGGCCTCCGCCATGGTATCCAGCCCGGCCGCCCCACCGGCGCCGTCCGCTGCTTTGGTGGAGCCCGCCCCGCGGCTCACGTGCGACAGCTTCTTGTCGAAGTCCTCGGACGCACGCGGAGGACTTCGGCGATACATGGGACATCTGCCAAAGGGAAAACCAACCGGAACTCATTTGGACCAGACAACTAGCAAAAGAAACCTTGGGGCAGTGCTTTTCATCGCACCCTTTAGGTCGGCCAAAAGGGAAATAGGGGCGGTCGCTATCTTGACACATACCCGAATTGACCTTGGCACCAATCCGCGAGTACACCAAAAACAGAGTCCTCTACACAAGGCACTTTGAGTTCAAACAAGAAATGTCGAAACGGCAAACACCAAAATACTGGGCCCTAAAGTCCTGTACACACCACTTTTCCCACACGGGGAAAGGCTTGCTTGCCACCCTCCTTCACCACTCCAGTCAGGGGAGTGGGGTGGGGGGTCTGGATTGGGCATCCAGGTCGCGGTCTGCAGGTTGGACAGCTGCGCGGTGATTTGGGACTCAAAGTCTTGCAGCCTTGTCGCCACTTTCCTCAAGCAAACGCTTCGAGGCAAAGGGCCTCACATCTCTGAGCAAACTCCTAAGCTCACAACTTTGCAATAAGGAATCCCCTTCATGCGTGCGCTCGTCTTACAAAACACATGGTGCCCTCAACGCATGCTTGGTGCTGAAGAGGGGGGCCTTTGGCACCCAATACTAGGCTCAAACACATGTTGAACGATTGGATTTGAAGACGACAATTGAGCCATGTCCTGAACGTATCATGTCTTGCTATGTCGCATGGTTTTGCTTACGCCACCAGCTTCCGCCACCGTGGAGTTGCTTAGACGACACATGTGGAGGTGTTGCTTACGCCGCCAGCTTACGCCACCTTACGCGCGTGGAGGCTTTGCTTACGCGCAAGTCGATATGACACGTCGCTTACTAAACATGCACACGGAGGTTTTGGACGCTGCTCAATTGTGCACCACAGCGCAAATACAATGCAAGTTCCGGACAAGGCTTTTGTGTAGCGCTCTTCTCTTGTGTTCAAGTCTTTGTGTGAGAATACCCTCCCTTCCAGACATGGAATCTGAATGGACACCATTCACCTCACTCCATCCCTGCGAGGCGCTTCATGACCTGCGCATCGCCGCCCGCCTTTCGAGGCTCGCCGCCTCGCGCGGGATCGAAGCGGTTCGTATGGGATCTATGAATTAATCGCTCCATATGGTGATGAAGGGGGGTGGGGTGGGTGTTAGAGTTTCGCTTTAGGAACTAGGGTTCACCTTGCACTTCCTCGCCCGAAGGACCCGGATGCCGAAAAAAGGGGCCGCATGCCTCCTTGGGCAAAATGTGTTTGAGACAGACCCTGGCCACCGTTCAGGGGGAACAAACAAATAATGACTTCTCTGCCACGTCCCTGTAGAACTCCTGGTAGCTCCTTAGCTCCCGCTTCCAAAAAGCCAATGTGGATGCCCCCAATGAACCCTCCCTTCCACACAAGCTAGTAAACAACAAGGGGCTCGGCCCAAACCTGCCCCTTTTGCCTGCATTCGCCAGGGCTTGCTCCACCGCGGCGAGACGTTGCTGGATTTCCTCCATGGACATCCTCACCGAGGGCAACTCTTTTGCTTGGACCGTTGGGACTCCAAGGTCGATGTTCTTTGCGCGAGCGAGGCGAAACAGCCCCAACTCCCAACGCCCAACTCATCTGAAAGGCGACCACAAAGAAACGCCCTGGCGAAAAAAATGGGTGAAGCCTGAGAAGGTTGGCTTTGAGCTGAGGGCAGGGTTTTCCCCTGTAGCGAGCTTTTCTGCCACCCCGGCGAAACAGCTGGAGTTCTGGCAGCTGTGGAAAAAACCTGCATCCCCAAATGCTCACACAATGTCTTTATATATAGTGATATTGATATACAAACATTTATGAATGTACATATGTCTGCATGCATGCATGTATGTTTTCGGAGTAGATGCATGGCAACCAATACCATTTTAAGTGCTGTTCAAACTCCCCGGGAAGGAATGTTTCGACAAGCCCTCTCACCCGCAGCCCGCTGGATTCTGGACGGGCCTTCAGAACTCGTGACCTAACATCGGCAGAGAGAGAGAGAGAGAGCCTTCCCTCGGGCTCCAGGGCTGCTCTTGACAGACTTCCCTGGACGCATCCTACCGATCACGTAACTTGCTTTAAACTGGCCACCAACACATGAGATTGAAAAGGGCATCTGTTTATCGCATCCTTTTCGGAGTTGGTTTTAAGGGGAAGCCAAAGGAAACAGAATATAAGGAAGCCTGCTCACCAGCTATCAACTTCCTTCACGCCGAGCAGCTCTCACCTGTCTCTGTTCAGCTCGGATTGAGGCTCAGCGGCTGCGGCAAGCCATGACTACCCGTCTAGCTCCAAGGAGCATCCCCAACCCGGGACCTGCCAAGCCCGGCACCGCCTGAGGCCGACCCAGGGATTGGCTACCCCAGAGATGGGCAACATCCGCACCAGCAAATTGAAGCAAACACCAGTGGAGGAAGTATAGATCTGAATACGCTTCCGGGATCTCCCCAGTGAAACTCCCAGTCAGCACATCTCTCCATGCCGGTCCACTCACATCAGAAGGGTCAAATACCTCTTGGCCGCACTTGAAGTTCAAGCTCGAGTCCATTCGACTCCACTCAGACTCTCCCCACCGATGAGAAAGAAAAACAAGAATGGGGTACCCCCTCCAGAAGTGCAGCACCCATTTGAGGGGGTTCCTGCCTTATCGCCAAACCACTGGGTCTCTGCTTTTAGCTTTGTTCGTTTAAGTCTCCAACAAGTTGAAGAGCTTAATAGTTCAATAGTTCAAGGGGACACTTTCGAGGAAAGCTCCATCCCCACACTTCGAGCTAAGCTTTTGCCCCCGATCAAACATAACACGTTGTGATTCTGATCCATATTTCGTGCGCGGTAAAAACGCACAAATGTCCAAACAACGCAGTGACAGGCTCACCGCCAAAATCCTCTCAACGACTCACATCCGAACCCCGAAGCCCATGTGCAAGCCCATCCCCCCTTCCCCAGCTTCGGTCGCAACGTTGTCGTATCCCTCCCTTCAGCGTGCAGGCTTCGGGCACTTTCCTCGTTCCCCTCCTGCATCTGAATTTCTGAGCGTCTCTTTTTTGGGGGGTTCCCCTTTCTTGGGACGTCTTTAAAGGGACACCAAAGGCAAACCCGCCCATAGGGGGACCGATCTCAAAAAAAGGACGAGCCATACGGCCTGCGGCTGCCACTTCATGCGCTTCCGGCCTCCCCGGGGCTCGGCTCCAGCTCTGCGCCCTCCAGCTCCCGCACGCACAGCGCCTCGTTTCCGACGTCGCTCGCGCTTGCCACGTGCGAGCCTTCATGCAGAAAGGAAGCCAACGGGCCACGCACATGTTGATATAATTCACAACCAAGTTACTGGGTGTTAAATGAGGGGGAGGGTCTGGAAACAATGAATTGCGCATCCCTCTTGGCTCCCTTCGGGAGAATAAAGGAATTATTGGCTACTTAATACGCACCCCAAGGAACGCTTTTGGTGGGTGAGGTTGCAAAACATATCCCAGTAGTCCTGCACAAGTTGCCAGTGGGATAATTTGATGTCCGATCCGGCAAGGCCATCAGGGCCGAAAGCCAGAACGCCAGGCTGTAAGAACCGTTGGAGGTGGTGCTGGTGCTGGTTGCTCTGCAGCTTCGGCGAAAAGTTTTGATAGCTTTGTTGGCAGTTTGTCCCCTTTGCAAATGGGGCCAGGGTCCAAAGAGATGTTTTTTGGGTGGGAACAAGGTGAAAGCCAGTATCTTCGTTTGTGAAGGGTCAGCCTTTGTGCCTTTTTGGTATGCAGGCTTCGTGCCAAACAGCGCAATAACATTTAAGTTTCCCCCAAACCAAACCAAAACGGGATGGATGAAGGTTCTATTTTTCTCAGCAAAGATTGGTGGTGTGAAGATTAAGGCAGCTTCCCATTTACCCTCTCCAAGAACCAGAGGTGCAAATCCCCAAAACGCCAATCCCAACCACCAACTAAGGGTTACCGGACGACACACCTCTCCGGCCCGGCTCAAGCATCGCTCACTTTTAGCTTGCCACAAGGCCTGTGCTAGTCGCTGAGAGCGAAGCGCCGGGGTTGCACTTCCAACCGCCCCCCCAAGATCCGCCAAGGAACTGAAGCCAGAAAGCGTCCATGTGGTTGCAGCATTTGTCTCAAGAAGGGCGGCTAAACAAAAGGATGACCTGCTGAGTCGACCGTCTAGAAAGGGACTAAAACTGGGTGGCACTAGACAATCATGAAGAAACCTGGACAAGGCTAAAGCTTGGAAGCTGGATGGGTAGAGTGGGTTCTCAGTGTTCTTGTTTTTTGTCCGGCCCATTTGGCATGGCCGGCCAGGCCGGGACGGAGATCGGCTGCTGCAAATCTCCAAGCGAAGGAGGCGGTTTCGCCCGCTTCAGAAGACCACGGTCGCCAGCATGCAGCCCAGAGACTGCCTCAGCATGCAGTCATCAACTTTGGCCCAGCCGTGAATAATTCAAGGTTAAACAATCCTCTTAAATCTACCATCAAAATTATCTGAATCAAGCTTACAAAGGGAAACAAACCAAGGTCATGTTGAGAATGTGCACTTGAACTAGGATTTGACTGGGCACATTGCACACCAGAACTCACAAAGCGGAAGCAAAGGAATCCCTGAAAAGGGTGCCAGTGTTTAGACATAGAAGAGTCGTATCAAAGAAAAATAGGAGGGGCGTCTCAAAGGATATTGTTTTTGTTTACCTTCATGATGAGCACGTTGTACTGCTAGGCGTCGTTCTAATTTGCCCAGATTTATGATGCATTTGGCGCTGTGCCATGAATCAGAGGGAAAAGCGAGATGAGCAAGCCCCTGCAGCATCGCATATCAATAAAAAAGACAGCCAGCACAAAAGGATTCACATTTTTTGGCCAAGCAAAACAACTTCTCATCCTTCAAACACACCAGTGGCCACATGTAGACAATATAAAACATGAAATTGTGTCAATCAATCATATGCATATGACCTAAACACATTTGATAGCACAAGACCTCCACACAACTCATGCGTGACTTGAGTCAGGCCGTGGTCTATGAGTTCGGTTTCCTTTCTGCAAAAAAGAAAGCAACTTGTCTAATTATCTAACACCCAGGCAGCCTGTAGAAGCTCTCGCCACTCCTCTTCGGCTCCACAACTCGACGTTTCTCTTTTCCCGGGGAAAAAGGGACCTATGGAATCCCAGGGGTCAAACTCCCCCTCGCACTTCCAGTGGGCTGTGACGGCTTCCAAGGCCGGGCCGCAAGATGTTGTTGGTCATGATCTCGTCGATGTCTCTCTCTAATCGCTTCTTGGCATCCACCTTGCCCGCCTGAACCAGATGCACGGAGTCAAAAAGACAGCGGGCACGGTGGATCGCAACATATGGCAAGTTGACCGAGGACTTCCCTGCTTGACTGTACAGTATCACGTGGTATATGGAAGGGGGACCTCAAAAGCTACTGAACAATAAGCGGGTGGGAGTCGGTACGAGCAAAGGGTATGCCTGTCCCCTTTCCAGCGTGGAGCCCAACCAGAGGGTGCCTTCTACAGGACCTCCAGTCAGGTTCTGTGTTGGTGGGTGGGACAGAGTTCCCTGCAATTCCCCTCAATAAACATCACCTCTGCCAGGGAAAACTCAGCGCACATGGGCTAAACAGGTGATGCTTAAAGCCACCACCAGGAGAAATGTAGGGACCCCTTTGGAGAAAAGTTCCACATGCAGGCCTGGTTCACTACGAATTCGTCCTCCGTGCTCTTGAACTCCTCTTGGATCACCGTGTTGTATTTCCCCTGGGCGATTCAATCGGAGCCGGACACTCCCACGGGTCCCACGAAACCAGCGGCTCTTGCTTCCAGGGAACTCAGGGAACCCCTGACTTCTCGGTGTTCCGCCTGCAGATAAGTCTGCAGAGTTCCCAAGCAACTCAGAAAAGGTTCGGAAGGAACCTTTTTGGAAGGGGGTCTGATCGAAGGATTCTTAGAACCATGCTGGTGGAGTTCCTGATCACTCACCCTCTGGAAGCAAAACGCACGGGTTCGGAGGATTCACCCAAAATCAGAGTTTTCTGGCCAAGGCCGTCGCAAGGCATTGTAGTTCTGCAAGATTCCGATCCCCGAATCTGCAAGATGTATCAACAACCAAAAGCCCAAGGAAGAGCAAAATTCCGACCCGACCCGAGAGGATTTGAACAACGATCTCAGCAGGATCAGCCCGCCGCCGGCTGGGCCCGTTCAATCCGCCCTCTTGCCGCCGGAGGGCAGTAAGATCCAGCATTTCCTTCACCTGCAGAGACATGTCTGGCCAAATGACTCGCAAATTCGAAGGACCTGCCGCCGGCCCTGACGCAAGTTCGTATTGCCTTGGAAGTGCACAGGAGCCCCTCAGATGGTCCTCCGAACCCCTCCCACTTCCATTGATGGAAAGCTGATGGACGGAGTCAAGCCCAGCGGGTCATGCGTGCTTAACAACTAGCTTCTAAACAAATCCAAGGTGAAAGGCGCTAATACTGATTCAGAACCGTAGCAAGAAAAGGCATGGGAGGGCTATGGACCTTGATGGTCCATAGTGGCCCCTGATAGCCTGAGAGTCACCACTCCTTAATGGTCACCGGGCTGCAATGGCTATGCCTCTGAATCAGACTGGGAAAGATGTAGGTGCCTCCAAGCTCCCAATGGTTGTCACGTGATGTTATTCTTTTGACTTGCCACAAGTACCTGCCCTGTCTTTTTTCACGCTCCTGCCGCTGACAAATATTTGCAACCAGCGTCGCTCTCTACTGCGACGCACTAGTTCAGAACCGAAGCCGCAGCCTGGTGTCCAACGAATACCCAGAGGCTAATGTGATCATCTCATCGTCTCCTGCTAGGGGGCTTGACGTGCAAGCTCGGCCTTTTCCACAGACCCCACAATTTCCCCTGCCAACAACTCATTGGAATTGAATTTAGAAAAAGCCCCCCTTTCCCGATTCCGGATTTGGTGGCCCCCCGCCGTCTTCTCGTTGTCCCCTGTGTGGGTGTCAAAGTCCGTCAGCTTCAGCCCGTCCTGCGAACCCACGTGCTTGATTTTGTTCGGCGCCCTACAAATGGTGATTGGCAACTGCAAGTCTGGTATGCTTGGCGTACAGTGGGCACGTCACCCACGGGCCACAGGTGCGGGAAGAACAAATGATCACTGGTCACGTCTTGGGTTGCCGTGACTAAACTTGAGCACGCGTGGGAATGGCACCAGTAGAAAACCACCTCGCTCCGATCAAATCCGCTTTGGGCATGTTGGCGGGCCCCAGCTCATAGGGTTACACAGGGTGACACAGGGGTCAACTCCAGGGGCATGATGTGTTTTCTTTCAGTGGGGAGCGTTTTCGGCGAGCGACCTCTTTCTGGCGGACCTGGTCCCCTGTCTAGGGACAGTCTACCAGCCTAGTGACCCTCGGAAAGCAGGTATTTCACCGTGACACCTGTGGAGGCACATCTGGTCCCCAACAAGGACACGCGTTTCTTCCCGGCCATGGTGATGGTCTTGTGTGCTGCTATGATCTGCTATGGGAATTGTACAGGTTGCATCCGCCGTCGAATCGCTGACAAGGGCGCTGAAAGGCAAGGTGAACACAACTTGGGTTGAAACGGTGGACCAGCCTGCCACTTCTTCTTGCCCAAGTTCAGGAGCATTTTCTGCTCCAAGTCATTCTTCCGGTAGTTGATGGCGATAGAATAGTAGTGACCTGCAGTCTCACCACCACTTCTTGGTTTGCCGGAGTTTTGCAAGGTTTGCCGCTCTTTTGATTCAACTTTTGTTTGTGTTCCTGCCTTTAGTGTGAGGGGGCGCCGTCTTGCATCACACCACACTACGCACGGAGCTCCAGGGGTCGCGAACTCTGCCCCTCCACTTATCTTTGAAGGTAAGGATCACTGTTCCGCGGACACGGGTGTGGAAAAAGCCCTTTTCTGTGATACCAAAGTGGGTCATCCCTATACATTAGCTAAGTTGCAAAACCCGGTTGTGATAGACATGCCCATCCCGGCTTCTCAAATCAGCGTCCCGTTTAGCTGCTTCCAAGAACTAAGAAGCAGCCCACGGGTTCGAAGCATGGTTACTAAAAACAAAAACATCCATTCATTCACGTAACTACTTGAACATGTCGAAAGGAACTAGTCCTATCACGAAAGCACACCACATATTTTCCCCAAGCCATGGATGGAAAGCCCGTTCTCCCATGGGTCGGAACTTGCCAGGGCGCGGTTCAGCCCGTGGATCAGGGCGGTGATGCTGGGCTTGTTC